GATGGCGAACATTGTATTCGCTGCCTATACCAAGAACAAGACGCACTACAACAACATCCCTGCACGCGCTTAGGCACGTCGGCGCTTTCGGGCGTACGTAATCACCTCACCCTCCACCCGCACTCCTCGCCCCCCGCTTCTCTCTCATCCGTCCATCATCCACATCATCCAACATCCCCTCTCCCTCCCTCCCCCTCCCCCTCCCCCACCGCCACCATATCCCACTCCAACGGCTCACAGCGCCCCTCCCCCACCTGGCAGCAGCAGGCAGCGGGAGGGAACAACAACCTCAGGCCCCTCAATGTCCGCGACGCCCTCTCCTATCTCGACCAGGTCAAGGTGAGTCAACCCCCGTCGTGGGGAGCGAGCATCAGTGGACGGAGTGGGTGACTAGGATGCGAGCGTGGCGACACTATGGGATAGCCGGCGCCAGCCTACTCCAGATCCCGAAACTGCCTCCACCTACCTCCACCGGCGCCAGCTTTTACCATGAAAAGCACCCTATACTGACCACGCCCCTGCAGATCCAATTCAACGACCAGCCAGATGTTTACAACCGCTTCCTGGATGTTATGAAAGAGTTCAAGGGCCAGGTGTATGTCGCATCGCTTCCGCAAACCCCTTAATTTTCCGCTAACTCCGCGCCAGGATTGACACCCCCGGTGTCATTGATCGCGTCTCGACGCTATTCCGCGGCCATCCCTCCCTCATCCAGGGCTTCAACACTTTCCTGCCACCAGGATACCGTATCGAGTGCTTTGGGGGGGAAGGCGATGCCTCGGGGCTCATCACTGTCACCACTCCTGCCGGTACGGTGAGCCAAATACCGGGAAACTTTGCCGCCGCTATCGAGACCAGAGAACGGGAGGCTCGAGACCTGGCAGCGGCCCAGGCGGCAGAGGCTGCCCGTGAGAGCAGAGCCGAGTCGTCGGCACCCTACCCTGCTCCAACCCCCTCCAATGCCGCCCCCGCAGGCCAGCCGCTCCCACCGATCAATAGCATTCAGAACCATCTGGCTGGTGGACCTCCACCTTTCCAGGGCGTCCAACACACGAGCCGACAATCCACCAGCGCCGCGCCTGCCCGTTCGTCGCAGAACCAGGGCCCGGGACCTTTGCCGCTTCCCCCTCACGCCCAGCACCCTCTGCCTCCTTCTGGCCCTTCTACACCCTCTGCGGCCCAGTTCCTCGCCTCTGGCGGATTGTCCCATGGCAACTCTCAGCAAGCCCCGCAGCCCCAGCAAGGCGGCAACAGAGCACCCATCCTAGAGTTTAATCACGCCATCACCTTTGTCAACAAGATCAAGACTAGGTTCAACAATGACCCAGAGACTTACAAGCAATTCTTGGAGATCTTGCAGACGTATCAGCGTGACACTAGGGATATTGCGGAGGTGTATGAGCAAGTCACCAAGCTGTTTAACAATGCCCCGGATCTGCTTGACGAGTTCAAGCAGTTTTTGCCCGAGAACGGCTCTGGCGGCGCGCTGGCAGGCTTTGGAGGGCTGGGATCGTTCATGCAGGTCGCTGCTGGGACGACGGCCACCAACGAAAAGATTGGTGGCCAGAAACGCGGGGCAACAAAGGAAGGGAAAGAGACGGCGCAAAAGAAGCGCAGAACGGTCGACTCTGGAGCGGGTAGAGGCGGGCCCGGGAAACGCGCGAGACAGCGAGAGAGCCCCATCGACGACACTGAGCCTGCTACTCTTACTCCTCAGCAGCAGACCCTCGCGTCGCCTGATGAAGTCGCCTTCTTTGACAAGGTCAAAAAGTTTATCGACGACAAGGTTGTCTACCACGAGTTTTTGAAACTCATCAACCTCTTTGTCCAAGATATGATTGACACCAAGACCCTACTGGACCGCGCTCAACTGTTTATCGGCGATGCCCCCGAGGTCTGGGCCACTTTCCAGCGTGTTGTGGGTGTGGATAGCGAAGGCCGCATCCCGCCCAATCCTGCTACGACTCAAGGCGGGTACGGCTTTGGAGGGATGATTGGGATTGACAATCTGGTGGTGGAAAACACACCGATGTTGGAGAGGGTCAAGCCAGACATGAACTTGCCAGGTGCCAACCAGGTCGGACCGAGTTACCGACAACTTCCTCGTTCTGTAAGTTCCCCTCACTACATCATGATCACAAGCTTACAGGCAGCAGGAAATCAACCTCCAGTGTACTGGACGGGATGCGATGTGCTGGGAGGTCCTCAACGACGACTGGGTGGCACACCCTACCTGGAACGCTGAAGACGTCGCCCCCTTCGTGTCCCACCGCAAGAATCAATTCGAAGACAATCTCCACAAGTCCGAGGAAGAGCGTCACGAGTATGATTACCATATCGAGGCCAACCTCCGTACCATCGCTCTGCTCGAGCCGCTGAACAACAAGATCCAGACGATGGACCCGGAGGAGAGGTCGAGTTTCAACCTCAAAGCGGGTCTCGGTGGCCAGAGCAAGTCGATCTACCAGCGTATCATCAAAAAGGTGTATGGTAAAGAGCTTGGCCCGGATGTCATCCGAGCGCTGCACGACAACCCCGTGGTGGCTCTTCCTATCGTCCTCGAGCGTCTCAAGGCAAAGGACGAAGAGTGGAAACGGGCTCAAAGGGAGTGGAACCGTCTCTGGCGCGAGCAGGACGGCAAAAACTTTTACAAGGCCCTCGACTATCAGCACTCTGGTACCAAGGCGACCGACAAGAAGAAGGTTGCCCCTGCCAAGGTCCTCATCAACGAGATTGAGCTGCGCAAGACCGAGCAGCAGAATGAGAGGTCGGGGTTGATTGACCCTAGGATGTGGAGGGCCCGACCGCAGTTGGAGTTCAGCTTTGGGGATGTGGATGTGCTGAAGGACTCGATGAAGCTGATCATCAGCTATCTCGACCGTATGCAGAGCACCACGCTGGCCTCGGGTGATCAGGTGAGGGTGGAGCAATTCTTGAGAGAATTTGTGCCGCTGCTATTCATGCTCAACAAGGAAGAGTTTGATGCCGAGTTTGGAGATGGGGCCGTGCAAAAGACGCCGGATGATGACTCTGACGAGTCTGATGGAGAGGAGGGAAGCGCGGATGATGGTGATACTGCGAGCACTACCGCTAGTAACAAGGGCAAGGGCGATAAGCGTCATGCCAGCGATCTGCGCAAGAAGCTCTTGAAGCAGGCCGCCGGCGACACTGCCAGCCGAGAAATGTCTATCACCACTCCCGGCCCAGAATTTGACGTTCAGCCTCCTACCGAGCCATTGTCTGGTGACGCTACTCCTCTCACGGAGAATGGCGACCGCGCTGATACGCCTTTGCCCGCTCCCGTCGATCCCGAGGAGGTGGCAGAGGCAGTCGAAAAGGACAAGGCCGGTGCCGAGGCGAGCGAGCAGACTTGGGTCAAGATTGATGGGTTGGAGAGCCAGCCGCTGTCTAGAAGGAGCTCTGTCGGGGTAGAGCAGGAGAAGGAGAGCGGCAAGCCCAAGAGGAAGGCCAACTTTTTCGCCAACACCAACTTCTACGTTTTGGTCCGCTACTTCCAGGTAAGTATATTCAGTCTTCGATATCGGGCTCAGCTGATATGAGAACAGATGCTCTACTCTCGTTTGGCAACTTGCAAAGCTATCGCCGCCAAGCATGCTGCCGAAAAGCGACGCCCTGTCAACCCCTTGGCTGTCAAACTCGGCCTCGTTGACCCCGTCACCCAATATTTCGGTATCCTCGAGGGCGACAACCCTGCCCAGCATTACTACACCCACCTCTTGGGACTGTTGGAGCGCTACTTTGATAACGAGATCGAGTTTGGCGCTTTCGAAGACGCTTTGAGGTTGATGTTTACCAACGAGGCTTATTTGATGTTCAACTTGGACAAGGTCATTGGCGGTATCGTCAGACAGGTGAGTCGACATTTCTCGTCCAGGGGCTCCAAAGTTGACATGGCACAGATCCAAACCATTGTTGGTGACCTCAAGAGCCAAGAGCTGCATGCGTTATTACAACGCGATCGGGCCAACCCCAGGACATCTACCAAGAACCAGATTGCCTATAGAATGCAAGCTGAGGGTGTACTGGGCGGTAACGAAGGGCTCTACAAGATGGAATGGGTAAGTTTGCGTCAATGTGCATGTTTCATTGCTGACCCTTGGTCATAGTTGCCTGGAAAGGAGAACCTTACTATCCAATTGCTGAGCGAGGAAGATCGGACCGTCGACGATGCGGATAACCATCAAGAGCGATGGGCCCAGTATATCGAGTCCTTTGCCCTGGTATGTTTCATGTCGATGCCAAGTTCAACGCTTACACTATCTCTAGACACATCCCACCGAAGGCCTTCAAAAACGCGTTGATCCCCCCTTCCTCCGCCGAAACGTCGCCAAGACTCAAGAACGCGAGCCAACCATCTCCCCGTCCCGCATCGACGCCAAGGACGGGCTGGAGATCAAGATTGCTCTCGGTAACTACAGAATGTTCTTCACCCCTGGCACGGAAGACTTTTTCCACCGGGAGCCTTCAAATGTGAAGGCCAAGTCGCCGGAGAAGGCCCCTGCAGCGTTAGCGCCCGAGCCTGTGGAGAACGGTGTAGAGGTCAACGGGGAGGCGACTCGGGAGGCGACTGGGGAGCCGATGGTCGTAGAGGAAGCTGTCCCGGCTCCGGAAGCTGCTCCAGTGGAGGCATAGAGGAATAGTCTTTGGCTGGTTGGAGAGAGTCTAGTGTACTGAAGACTACTTTAGACATATCTCATTTCATCTCTTATTTCTTTTTGTTGCTTTCTCGTTTACCCAATTTGGATCTGAAAATGTTTCCAGAACTCTCTTTTGTGTGCGCGAGATTGATGGGGTGAGTAAATCTGCGCTAGAACATATACCCTTGGGTGTTGTAGTCTAATGAATGGTGTGCATCGTGATACTTTCATGATTTCCTGCTCACTCGAACTGGGCTCTAGTACACACAAGTCAATTCAATACATACACAGCTCAGCATCGGATCCTACGAGGCATTCTGGATACTTGACATCCAGCTTCTTTCAAGGTTGTTGTCCATCCGAATCCGTTCTCTTTTCATACTTGGCCATACTGGGCCCTCTCGTTTTCAGCTTCATGCTAACACTTTCGACGCCTCTCAGAGCGCGAAGTACATTACCACTGGCTAAACCAGCAAGCTCAGACTGGGACCAGCCTCTTTTGATGAGCTCAGCAAACTGCGCCATGCACATCAGAATTGATCAGAGGATAACGATTGATGGAAAGATACCCACTAAATGAGGGTATGTTGAGACATCCTCCAGGCCCTTGGGTGTGGACGCCACTCCGTCATAGTCGGAGCCGATACCGACACTAGGCGCAGGTAAGCTCATAAAGGAGTGATGAAAGCAGAAAAGTGCTCTCACTGGTTCTTGCCAGCCTTCTCGGCAATATATTCCACCTCATCCGCGATGAAAGATACATCAACCTCTTCAGGGTTCGCCGAGGCCAAGACTGGGAAGAAGCTGTGACGCAAATCAGTCTGGGTCATTGACCGATTGACTGGGCCGACGGCAAGTTACTTGACCATGATGACCCCATCATTCTTGCCCTCCCCATCACCGATTTTTGTGAGTAGCTCATCGGGAGCATTCCGACTGATATTGTGAAGGTGTCGGGCATCCGAGTGAGAGAAAATCACAGGAGCTTCAGTAAGCTCACTGGGTGTTCATGTCAGTGGAGGAGACGAGTTTGACAGCGATGCGTACAGAGCTTGCAGAGCAGTTTTGTCAGAGACATGTGAAATGTCGACGAATATTCCAAGGCGGTTCATCTCTGGGATCAACTCCCTCCCGAACGGTCTACCATTATTATTAGGCTCAGAGCATGCAAGATGAGTGAGAGTGTCGCTCACGAGAGCCCGCCCCATTGTTCTTCGGCATCCCAAAAGTAGCCGCCTGAATCGGCAAAAGCATTGTTGCAGCTGTGCGTCAAAGTCATATACCTGATACCTAACCGATGATACATCCTCAATACTGTTTTGATTCGTCAGTTCTATACCAGCTGTGAACCTGGGGGGGGACATACCACCGAGGGAGTTTCCGAGAGAATGCCCGCCCTCGAGCCCGAAAAGGGAAGCAACCTTGCCTTGTTTCCAAGCAGCTTCGACCTCGTCAGCTGTGCGCACCCGAGCAAATGTGTCGCTGTAGCGGTCTATGAGATTGTTGGCGACATCAAACTGCTCCAGCGTATCTACATGAGCCCATTTTGGTCAGCAAGGGCGTTGTCGAATAGTCCCGGTGAGCATCGAGGTTGTGGGATTGGACTGACCACGAACTTCGACACTGGGAGTCAGGAAATCGTTTCCCCCATCTGCAAGGCATTCGACAGCACTGGATGCGCAAGTCAGCGGATAAATTGGTTGCAGAAATCGATTCCTCACATGGACCAGAAGAAGCCGCCCAAATGCCCGCTCCTGAGCCGGGGAATGTCGACATGACCAGCCTGCTCGCCGTATCATCAGCGGAAGCTCGACTATGTTCTCTGCCTGTCTGCCTCACAGTAGGCTTGTTGAGGTCAAATTTGTTCAAATCATTACCATACACTAGCCGAGCGACTTCGGGAAGGTCAATGTGGCCGTCAATCACTGGGCTTCTACAAGTTGGTATGTCAGCCCGGAAAAACGTTACGAGAGACTTTGGGGTAGCCTCACTTCTTGAGATAGAACTTGGCCTTCTTGAGTGGGTCTTTTGGCTCTTGATTCTTAACCATAAAGACCGCTCCGGCCACGGCAGCTCCGAGGACCAGAAGGGACACAAAGGCAACGGCCACACGCTTCGGCGTGATGCGGCCGTGGGCGTTCCACCTAGTGCCAAGAGCGGCATCGTCGTTGTCGTGCGGAGGCAGAAGGGGTGTTTCTTCAGCCATGTTGCCGTAGGATGCAAGACAAGGCGGGATTTCAATCTGTGGGAAAGACGAGTCATGATTTCATGACCCATGTGCACAAGTTACGACGTACTACTTCCCACTTTCGTTCGGCGCCGCCTCGGCGGACCGACCCACCTGCGCCTATCTGACGACACATGTAGCGAATCGATTCCCGCCATCTTGAGCCTTCCACAGCTGTACATACTTGCTGCATGCATCCACAACATAGAGCTCAACTTTGATATATATTTCTAGTCCACGACACCACCACCTAGAGCTCCCCTCCTCCTTCAAGGTCCTTCCTCTTATCATATTTAGCCATACTCGGTCCCTTCCCTTCACCTTTCAACCTCTTGCTAGTTTCCTCCACACCACGAAGAGCGCGAAGCACATTCCCACCAGCTAAACCAGCAAGGTCCGACCTGGACCATCCGCGTCGAATGAGCTCGGCAAACTACGACATCACGGCACAATCAGCTTCTCTTCAGAGGAGCGTTTATAGAGGGAGGGGGAGAGTACGCACGAGGTTGGGGTATGTGGAGACGTCTTCCAGACCCTTGGGAGTGGACTCGATACCGTCATAGTCTGATCCGATACCAACGCTTCGGAGAGTGTCAGGTCTGTCAAGGGATGGCACGGGAGAGGGACTTACTGGGCTCTGCCGGCCTTCTTGGCGATGTACTCGACTTCGTCAGCGATGTAGGCAACGTCAACTTCATCCGGGTTCTTTGAAGCGAACATTGGGAAGAAGCTATAACTCGTCAGCCCTGTACTGTACATATGAAAGAGTAGAAGCAAGTAGCACTCACTTGACCATGACGACACCGTCATTCTTGTCCTTTCCATCACCGAGCTTGGAAAAGACCTCATCAGGGGCGTTACGAGACATGTTGTTAAAGTGTCGGGCACAAGAGTGGGAGAGGATCACAGGGGCCTCGGTGAGCTCGCTACAAACACGTTAGATGGGATGACGAGGTGGTGAGAAGGAGGTGCTTACAGAGCTTGGAGGGCGGTCTTGTCAGAGACGTGAGAGATGTCGACAAAGATACCGAGACGGTTCATTTCGGGGATGAGCTCCTTACCGAAAGGTCTGGTGTGTCTGTCAGCAGGCGGTACGTATGGATGAAGACCAGGTACGCACGAAAGTCCACCCCAGCGCTCCTCGACGTCCTCAAAGACACCAGCCGAATCGGCAAAGGCGTTGTTGCAGCTGTGAGTCAATGTCATATATCGGACACCCAGTTGATGGTACATCCTCAAAACTACACGCGATATTCAGCGCTATGTCTCTGGACAAAGTGAATGAAACATACCGCCCAAAGAGTTTCCAAGCGAATGCCCGCCTTCGAGTCCAAAGAGACTAGCAACCTTGCCAGCTTTCCATGCAGCCTCAACATCGTCGGCGGTACGGGCAGGGGCAAAGGTGTCGCTGTAGCGTTCTATGATGTTGTTGGCCACGTCAAGCTGTTCCAGAGTGTCTACAAAGGACCAAGACGGTATCAGCACAGAGAGACTACAGGGATATTGCTGGAGACAGACCTCGCACTTCAAATGTGGGGGAGAGGAAGTCTTCGCCGTTGGTCGTACGGCATTCAACAAAGCTGAGAAGGGTCAGGATACTTCTACACCCACACAGCCGAGGTTAGACGTACATTGACCAGAAGAAAGCGCCCAATTGTCCCTGCCTCAGCCGAGGGATATCGAGGTGGCCAAGCTACCGGTCTATCAGCAGCTTCCATGATACCAGTGGACATCGAATCTACAGTGGATTTGTGAAGATCAAACTTGTCCAGGTCGTTTCCATACACTGACCGGGCCAGCTCGGGCAAGTCAATGTGCCCATCGATCACAGGGGTTCTATACGCCTTCAGTCAGAACAAGACCAGAGATCCTTGGTGAGACTTGCTTCTTGAGGTAAAACTTGGCCCTTTCAAGTGGATCCTTCGGCTCCCGATTCTTCACGACGACAGTGATGACGGTAGACACTGCAACCCCGACGAGTAGGAGAGAGAGAAGGCTGATGGCGACGAGCTTCTTGCGACGGGCTGTCCACCAAGTGGTGTTGTCGTTGGTGCTCTGTGGGAGCAGGGGGGTGTCTTCTGCCATGGTGTGGATGCTGTATTCTATGTATCATTCTGGATTGCGAGAGATGTACAGAGTCGGGGATGGCCGAAGGGTGATCTGGTCCCGACTCCCGTGCCTCCACCTGCGACATCCATCCCGGCTACTCAGACCGGTCAACAACTTATATATTCATCTCTTTCATCTTCTCCTCCCCGACCCACCTCAACATGCCCCTCCTATCCCTCACCCGCCCCTCAGAGACCGTCTGGCAGATCTCTCTGAACTCTCCCCCCGACAACCGCCTCACCCCACCCCTCCTCGCCGAGCTCGCCGAAGCGCTCGACATTGTCGAGCTAGAATGGCGCAACGCTGGCGGGGGCGTCCAGGACCCCAAGAAGAGGAGCACTTACAAGAATAAGGGAGCTGGAGCGTTGATATTGACGAGTGGGTGTGAGAGATTCTTCAGTAATGGACTGGACTATGTGGGTTCGCTCAAGGTCGATAACTTCTTCCAAGGTAAGCTTGTGGATGTCAAGTACTAAGGTATGATACTGATGCTAGCTTTCAGACGTGTTTGATCCTGTGCTATGGAGGCTTATGACGTTCCCTCTCGTCACTATCGGAGCTCTCAATGGACATGGCGCGTACCATCACTACCACTTCAATATGAGATCGCTGACTCTATGGTAGCCTTCGCCGGTGGTATGGTGATCGCACTCGCTTGTGATTATCGCATCATGACCTCAGGAAAAGGCTGGATGTGCATGTCTGAGGTATGCCCTTCCTTACCCCTTCCTTTCTGGTTGTGCTGACACAGATCTACAGGTGACATTCGGCGCCCCCCTCCCCAACTCTTTCGGCGCCTTCCTCCCCACCCTCATCCCCAACCCCCAGCACCTCCGAGACACCATGCTCGCGAGGCGATGGACACAGCCAGAGTTGTTGGAAATCGGCTTGATCGATGAGATCGTCAAGCCCGAGGAAGTCTTGAAGCGAGCGATAGAGGTGGGAGAGAGGGAGGGGCCGAAGGTAGCGCCAGGGAGCTGGGGGTTGATCAAGGTATGCTGATAGACAAGTTGGGAACACGAACGGACGCTAATGATGATGTTGTAGGAGGACCTTCGCAAACCCATCATTGTGGCTTCTCACGAGCCTGCGAGTCCGAGGCGGCTCGATAGTGGCCAGATATTTTTTGAAAGGATTGCCAAGGACCGCAAGAAGCTGGAGGCAAAGGCCAAGCTGTAAGGCAATGGATCATGGCGAGAATTGGCGAGAGTGTTGTTGTACAAGAAGAAGTTCCGGTTTACAAAGGCGACCTCAGACAATTGGCATTGCTTGAGATATTGATAAACGAGATGCTATACATGAAAGCTCTCTTGAATGCTCCAATGTTCTATTGAGTATAGTGTTCCCTCTGTGTAAGAGTCCAGATGAGACCAGTCCCTGGCAACAAACTGTCAGCCAACCAATTCGGCGAGACTTTCCGAGAGCTCAACTCACATCCGACGACAAGGGGTCCAATAGACGCCCTGTTCGGCTTGACACTCTTAAATATCAACAGCTCGGTTGTAAAGTGGAATGTAGCGAGGGCATAAGTACCAATGGCGAGGCTGTAGATTCTGTAGACATGTCAGTGCCTCGTCCTTGCACATTTTGTGAGGTGATCCGAGAGTACATACCCAGGTTCGTGGATGTTGTAGGATGCGAGGCCTCGGATGAGACTGGCAAGCATAGTCCAAGCGCCAAAGATCCTGCCCGCAAGGAAAGTCACTGTCATTCATGATGATCAGCCATCGTACCACTTTACCAGCAACGGCCATGGCTCCGTCTTTCCACTATGCCCATGCAGCTCATTCTGCACTCGCATTATGCAAGATGGACTTACTCTCATCAGCCTTTCCGGCGTAGACCTCCTTGGACTGCCAGATGACAAAGTAGTTTTGGATGGCATTGTAGGTGCCGGCGACGGAGGTGAGGAGGAGCCAGTAGGGGAGGTAGCCGGCTGTGGCGACGGGAAGGACTGCGGAGGGGGTTAGTATATAGCATAGTGAGCTGGGCGTGGACTTGCAAGACATGGTGTATAGATGAAGATTGATTTGAGATGGACTCAAGGATGATGGACGGAAGCAACAATGAAGAGACGCAGCTCGCACATTTCGCCGTCTCTTCATCATTCCATCCATAATCCCTCTATCTCTCCAAAACACCCTCCCCCCGGCGCTCTTCACTGCAGCGCACCGCTCGCCATCCCACCAACAGGGACAAGACCGGCCCACCCCCGCCCTCCTCGCTCTGTACCCCGGGAAAAAGCAGCGGACCAGCAATGGACTTGCCCCAAAATGGCGAATCGAGCAAATCTCCCTTCCACCTCACACCGACCCAAGCGGCGCAAGGAGATGAGATGCATGCGGGTGTAGAGAGACGGGATGGGGATGGGGATGTGGAGATGAGCGATGGGCGTGCGGATGGACCGGGAGAGGAGCCGGTGTCGGGTGCAGACACCCAGGAGCAGAAGAGGGGGACTGCCAGGCTGATATTGCCTCAATGGGACAGTACGACCTCGCCATCTTGTATTGTTTGCATTGTCGCTAACCACACCACAGTCCCGCCTCCAAAACCTATACATTCATCGCAAGACCTCATATCCCTCCTCAACCTCGACACACTCTACAACGCTTACGTCCGTCCCTTCGCCGACTTGCCCGGGGAGAGCGACCAGCCCAACGGGGTGGGTGGGGATGATGGGAAAGGTGGGGGGAAGAAGAAGGGGCCGCCGGGGAGACGAAAGATGGAGAAGGGGTACCAGCATCTGGTGGAGGATTGTATCGGTCAGTCCTGCACTTTGGACGTTCGGGAAGAGACTGATGATGGGCAGACCCGATACCATTGGGAACAAGAGTAGATGCTCCGTCTTTCCTGCCGCTATTGAATGATGTGCTGCATCCGCCTGCACCCCCACCGCCGTTCGCTGAAGGTATTGTTGAAGAATTGCCGAAGGAAGCATTCAAGGTTGCCAGATTGGAGGCGGGTTCACAGGAAGGGGTATGTTACTTTCCGGCATACGTTCTGTCACTGCTTACATCTACACAGTACCACGGCGGACAGAAAGCGGGTGTCAGAGAAGCAGAAGAGAAGCGCAGGGTAAGATTTGCATTCCATAGCCAACTCATCCTTCTGACCCTATTCCTCAGCGCAAGAGAGCCGCCAGAACAGCCACCCACGACCCCATATCTCCTATACAGTCCACCTTCCCTCCCAACATCCAATCCACAGGCGGCTGTTCCTCCACCCCCGGAACCCCCATGCTCCCCGTTCCTCCGCCCATCAACGTCCGTCCATACCATACACCCGGTACACCCCGCCGGGGTACAGCGCCGCCTGGCACCGGTACAGGGCAAGGCGTACACCCATTCTCAAAACTCGGCCCCGGAGGATCAGGAGCAGGCGGACGACCGACCATGCCCAGTTCAAAGCAGAGACCGGCGAGTATGGAAGTACCCAACTCGCGCAAAGCTGCGAGTCGGAGTGCGAGCCCTTTACCGCCGTCTTCCCTTGGGCCAGGGGGTGGTGGTGCGGCAAATCAGCAGCGGCCATTTGCGGCGAATCGAAACAAACGGCCGGGGAGTGCGGATGTGCAAGGTGGTCCGGGGAAGAGGGCAAAGGAGAATGGGTCGGCGAGTCCGTTACCTGGCCTTAGAAGATGACAGTGTTTGTTCAAATGACATGTTGTATTGCATATATATTGCATTTGGTCGACGGAAGGGTGCTAAGGATCATGCCATGTGGCATTCGTACCACAAAGTCATCCAAAATACGAAGTGGGCGCGCTCCGAGAATGCAATGTGGCGTCGTCTCTCCAGCATGTGTACTTTCTCACTCGTTTCATATTTCGTGTTCTATGGTCATATACTCTACACCCCTCACTCTAGTATGGTCGGACCAGAACCAATCAGTACTCGCCAGACTGGTTCAAGGCCTGCTCAGCTTGCTGCTTGGCGTGCCTCTTGGCCTCTTCTCGGTCGTAGGCGTCGAGACCTATACACCACTGTCAGCTATAGCACCTCGAGCATAAAACGATGAAGCGTACCCTTGGTCTCGAAAAGCTTGTCGACCTCGGCAGCGGCAAAGCCAGCAAGGAGCTCCTTGGCCAGAGCGTGGTTGGCGGGCTTGCCGTTGGCGGCCTGGTGTTGCTCGTAAGCCTTCATGGCCTCGAAACCGGCGGCACCGCTGTACTCTTTGGTCAGCAAAACAATCCAAGCTGCAAGACAGACCCGGGGACGTACCCGATGAGCTCATGGGAGAGCTTGGCCTTGTGCTCCTCGTTGCTGGAGTCAATGTTGCTGATGATAGGTCAGCTTTGGACTTTTGGCAAGAGAGGGGAGTGCGCACTAGACCTCGTCACGGCCAGAGGCGTCGTTGTTGAAAGCATCGAAGAGACCTGGGAAGTGTCAGTGGTTTGGAAGATGCAGGCTCGAGGCCGGACAGGACTCACCCATTTTGATTAGTGTTGTTGTGTTTGGTGGTAATTGGAGAGAGAGTTGATGAAGAAGAAGAGACGGGGGATGAGAATGCGGTCTTTATATATCTGCGAGAGGCGAACAGAGCGTGTCGGGTGAAGCGGTGGGCGACTAGATGATGCGATGACCCTTGCTTTCTTAAGGGACTATGCGGTATCCCACCGAGAAGGCGTTACATCCCGCTGTCGTATTGTCCCATCACACGGGATACGCACTGTAGCTGGGTGACTGGTGACGCTGCGAGGGCGTCATGTGCGCCCCGAAACGTTCTGGGCGTGCAGAACAGACGATCTCTCCCGGCGACAACAAGACCAAACGCCAGAGACGGATGGACAGAAATAGAACTCGCAGGAGGCCGAAGGGCACAGCGTTCAGAGGTTTCCTGATAATTTATAGGGTGGCCGTTGTACGTGGTGTGGCTTGTTCTCTTGTGCCCCCGCCCCGAGCATAGAGCATAGCCCCCGAGGAGACAGCACACTCTCTTGAGCGTATTGTGCGGTGGGCCACCGGGACACTTCTGGCCCCCCGACTGCGAGATCTCGGCCACCCGAACGAACGCCAGGCGACATCCCCGTCGTCATGCAGCGTGTAACCTTCCTCTTCCTGTCGCGCTCCTTGGCTTCGTGGAGTCGGCTCCAATTGTTCTCGCACGGATGGTGGAGACTGGATTGATCGAGTACACTTGTACCGGCGAAGATACCAGGCGTCATACATGGAACCACGTGCGAGAAGTAACGACAGGGCCTGTCTTTGATCCGCGCTCGTTCAGATCGTACACCAACATTTCGACAAGACATACAGACATAGCCACAGCAGCAGCTCCATCATACCCGACCTGTCTTCCTCGAACACTTTTCCCACTGGGTACCAACAAAGTCTTCGATATCCGCCCACAAAACGTCAGGTTTCTCAAGAGCCGCAAAGTGACCGCCCTGATGACACATCCGCCATTGATCAGCTTTACACTCCTCTTCTCCCCATATCGCTCAGGCGCCATGACTCACCGCATCGTGCTGCTTATACCACACCAAGTTGTTTGAAGCCTTGACGACATCTAATGACACGGGGACGAACTCTTTCGGGAAGAAGCTAAAGCCGGTAGGGCAACTCTGGTACTCGTGCTCTGCGCGCGATTCTTTCCTTTTGATCCCGGCACCCTATGCAAAGATCAGTTTCAAAACATCCGGTCCATAATCCGACTTACGTATCGATAAGTGTACAGGCTGGTGGAAAAGCAATCCGTAAACCAATACAAACTCGCAAACGCCAAGATGGTGTCCACACCCGGCGTCTCATCCGTCCACGAAACATACTTTTCCCCGATCCACGCCAACAAGCTCAACGGATTGGATCCTGCTACCAGCCCAATCGTAGACGGACGTGTGGCATGTTCGAGAAAATAGCCAAAGTTCTGAAAGAGCTCGAATAGGCGTTCGGTGGATGGAGGGGGTGGTGGAGAGATGTCTGAGGGGGGCGCGTCGGGGGGTACACTGTGGAGGACATGGCGGTAGTTGAGATGGATCGCTAGACCGACATGACGTTAGATCGCTATCTAGCTCCTTCGAACGCTAGAGGATACACTGCACCTTTACACTGGTCATAAGTCGACCCCAGCTCCATCGTAACATAGCTCCCAATATCCCCGCCTTGTGACATGTACCCATCGCCAAACCCGAGCCCGACCATGAGCTCATTCCAGAGATACCCAACATCTTTGACGCCGAATTCTCTATCCTGGGCGGGTGGGCTGGAGAAGATCCATCCGGGGAGCGAGGTGACTACCAGGTGATACCTTGGCAGCAACTCATCAGCACGTTGTGCTCCAAGTATCAAGCTGAAACTCTGAGAGATAGCTTACGGAAGGGTCTCTGGCGTGTACTGCTTTCGAACCAGCTCCAGGATAGGAACAAACTCCAGAAAGGTTCCAGGCCAGCCATGTGAAAGGATGATCGGAACTGCATCTTTCTTCTGCGAGAAGAGGCCTGTGAAATGGATATCATAGTCCAAGCCGTCCTTGTTCTTCAGAGTTGCGATGTAGGCAGGAAAAGAGTTGATACGAGTTTCCTCCTTTCGCCTAGAAGCAGGTTAGCATGTACGGGTTATAGGGTCTCAAGGTACTCACCAATCATAATTGAGCCACTCGTCTCGCATGTTGACCAGCCATTCCCTTGATACGCCAAAATTGTTAACCTTGGCAGCCGATTCAGCGTTCTCATAGCTCTGTTTGGCAATCCTGGTGGACTTTAGGAGAGAGTGGAGATCTTGGATATCGCTGTCGGGGATGGAGACCGAGAAGGGGCGGATGGGGATAGTTGGCTGGTGTGGAAGGGTAGCGTATGACATACTGTGGTTTCGGTGGGTATGAACGTCTCTGAGAGATCAGAAAGATGGTCAGTGGGATCTCGGCTACCCGCAGATGATGTCACGTCGGCTAAAGATGGACTTTTGTAAATCTCTCGATGGGCTCCCAAGGGATGCGTGCTGAACAACGAGCAACGCTGGTCAAACTGCATCGAGAAACAATCTACATGATGACTGCAACAATCCCTACACAAAGATCTAGTCGCGCGCCTCAGACACCTCAAACCCTGTACTCGGCTTTCAGCCTCAGATTCCCCTGCTCCTGATCCGCAAGCTGCCTGATCCACCCCAAAAACAGCTTCTGGTTGGCATCCCTATTCGGCCCCGCACCCACAATCCTCTTCCTAAACGCCCCAATTGCCTCATTCATCGGGATCGCCTGCTTCTGATTACCCCTGAACCAGCTCAACACGTCCTCTTTGGTAATCATACCCGGGAAAGGAGGGATATCGGCAGGCTGAGGGACGGGCGTAGTGGACGACGACTTTTTGCTCTTCTTGGGTGGCTTGGGTCGCGAGTCGGAGGCGCCCGGAGAGGATTTTCGTTTGGAAGGGGTGCCAGGAGCAGAAGGGTTCTTGGTGGGAGAAGGGTTGCGTTTGGGCTGGGGTCCCGAAGTAGAAGCTGGTGAGGCCTCCCTGGAGGCTGAACCTGAAGCAGGACTGCCACCTCGGCCTGTATTGGCGCCCGAAGCCGGGCTGCTCCCGCGCACGACAGGGCTCGTGGCTCTTGAACCCGGAGCGCTACCAGACCCAGGGCTGCTAGCTCTACCAAGGGGACTCGTGGCCCGACCAGCGGCTGAACCGTGCGACCCAGGACGTGGTGAAGCACCTCGGGAGGCAGCGCGTTGAGCAAGAAGAGAGGCGCCAGAGCCGGGAGGGGCGGTGGAAGCCTTGCCCTTCTTTGGGCTGGGGAAGCGGTGCGCATTGGAGTTGGAAGATGGGGATGCGGTGCGAGCCGTGGGGGGACGGGACGTGGGGCGAGACGAAGGTTGAGAGGATGGTTTGAGGGCTTCTGTCTCCTTCTCCTTTTCCTTCTTCTCTTCCTTCTTCTCTTCGACGGGTTCGTCGTCAGAGTCAGAGTCCTGTTGACCATTAGCGTCAAAATCATGCACATAGAGTTGGAACTGACCGAATCTTCGTCCATGTCGTAATCCTCCCCGTTCTCTCTCATCCTCTTCCTCATTATCTTTCTGAGCTTCTTGCCTTCATCATCCAGATTGTTGTCCCCAAACAAATCATCCTCATCTTCATCATCATTTGCAATCTGAGGTCGATCGCCGACATTGGCGTTGGCGAGTCGGAATTCCTTCTTGAGACGTTCTTCGAGCTCGCGAGCTTCTTCCTGTTCACGAGCATCGTTGTAAAAGGTGTTGTTATCGTCGTCATCTTGGAATTCTTCGGCTTCGTCAAAGTCCAGCTCTTCGCCGACACCTCCTTCAAGATTACTCTAAACATTGTGTCAACATGCCGTCTAATGAGGCAGCGGCGTATACTCACTCCACCGACACGATGTCCTTCACGCTTATAGTCATCCTCATACTTTTCCACCTTGGGCTTTCTATCCACAGTAGATCCTCGCAGTAGCTGAATCCTACTTTCCAACCTCTGTGCTCTGTTCTCCAGCTCTTTGTGCTCAGCCTTCACCTTGGTAGGAGCGGGAGCCGAGCCGGAGGCTCCATCTGCCGGTCGAAGAGCCCATCTGTCATGGATCTTGTGCTTTGCCTGCAGCTCAAACTAGACACAGTCAATGTAAGTCGTCATACTGCACAGGATAGTAAGACACGATTCACCAATTTGTTTGCAGCATCGGCGTCCAGAGGCTTGAAAGGCCTCTCTGGCTCAAACTTGTACGTTCTCCCCGCAGGGATGAGTTCAAATCCATCTCCAGTGCCGTCATTAAAGAGCAACACCTGGCCGAGTGCACCTTGCTCGACCATCCTACCAGTCCACTGTTCCGGCTGGGGCGGCCTTTCCTGTGGATTGGCGCTTTCCAAAACCCAAGGAAGCGCTTCCTCCCGACGAAGACGCATGATATCAATGTCTTGGTGGAAGACTTCCTTGGTGCCCCTCTTGGTACGCTTTCGCTTACTCCCAGAGGCATCGCTGGGAGCTTGGCCGACAAGAGACATATCGATCGTCTCCTTCTTATCCACCATGTGTTTTCCATCCTCGTCCAGCACCGGCTTTCCAGCTTCGTCGTACAGGTATCTCCCATTTATTCGTCCTTCGGCATCTAGAGAGTATATAGGAGGTTCGGGAGGACCAGGCTTCTTCCTGTTCATCAGGATAGGCGGAGTTATGTCGGCAGGGTCTATCGTTTTAGAATGATTCAGACGCATGAGGTTGAATCGGAGCGGATTGTTGGGGGCTGTAGACATGATCCTGATCTCTGTAATGTCTGGTTTCACATCGGGGGTGGGGTCTGGCTTTACTGATGGGGAGGAGGCGGCGGAAGAGGAGGCTGGGAGGGATGAGGGTTTGGGTCGGGAGGCGAGGCCGGGGACGCTGGAGGAGCTGGCCACGCGGTTTACGCCCGAGGCATTGCGCCGTCGCTGCTTGTCTTTGTTTTTGCGGAGGAAGAGGGTGGCGTCCGCCATGGTGGGTGATGGGATGGAGATGTAGAAGCAAGAGAAGAGATACGTACAATCGAACCTGCCTTCATTCGCAAGGGAAGCGGAAACAGAGCGGGTTTCGGGGGACTTGAGCCTCCACTCGCGGCGTTGAGTTTCATGAATTTCTGGATATCGACCCACAGCATCTATACAGCGACGATGGCCACAGCAGCACCCCAGAAGACAGTCCCCCCGAGGGCACGACACGCTGCCAACAACCGCAAGTACGGCACTCCTCTCCCCATCCTCTTCCCACAGCCCCAGTCCACCACCGCCTCCGTCCTGTCCTCTTACCTCCCCTCCTTCGCTGCCAAAGCAGAGCTACTCCAAGCAGTCGGCGACTATGACCCCATCACACAGAGTGTATGGGTAACCGACCGAAAGGGCATGGACTTGCTCTTCCAAAAAGGTTTCTTTGGAAAAGGTACCCTCTCGCGATCAGAACCTTCGTGGCGAGAACGCCGGGTCGCGCTCTTGAAAGGAGGGGACGCTCTCGGTGCAGAGCAGATGAGGGAAAAGAGGCGTCTGGAAAGGAAACAGTTCAAGCAGGACAGAGCTCAGGCAATGTTGGACGCGGCAAAGAAGGCGGAAGCTATCGTTGCAGCTGCCAAAGCAGGTGCGCCTGTGCCCTTGGAGCCTGAAGAGGATGAGCAGGAGGAAGATCTTGAAGGAGGTGTGTCTTTGGTGGTCGATGCCAGTGAAGACGTATCTCGACCCGCTTCGCCGTCGCCTTCGGTGGCTACCACTACTACTGCTATAGACCATACGAATGTCACCGCGCAGACGTTCTTGGTCCGACCCACAAGACCAGATGCCAACCGAAACAGAGGCAGAAACGCCTTCCGGCGGCGTCCCCCCCCAGCGCAAGCTCAAACACAAACCCCTGGTACAGCTGCTGCCCCAGTCGAGCGCTCTCCCCCGCCTCCTGTTGAAGAAGACGATGAAGAAGAGGACGACTTGTTTGACGAGTCCCTAGTGGAGGAGATGGAACATCTTCAATTGTCTGCAGAAGAAGCCATCTTTTGCTCCCTTGCAATTGGTGCTCTCAGAGTACGCGATCCTTCAACGCAGGACATACTCCCACCGGGTCCTGCCCTTCTGTCTCTTCTCCTCCCGCCACCCTCTCCGACACCATTCCCTTCCTCAATAGAAGAACACCGCGGTATACTACTGCCGGATAACCCTGTTTTAGTGAGCTATGTGGTCTATCACCACTTTAGGTCTTTGGGATGGGTGGTGAAGGATGGTATCAAGTTTTGCTGCGACTGGTTGTTGTATCGTCGAGGTCCTGTCTTCTCTCATTCAGCGTACGTCTTAGCCCACGGGATCTTTCGCTTGTTCAAGCTGAATAAAATGGCAGATTTGCATGTGTTGTCATCCCGGTATATTCCGACCCGGAAGACCAAGCCAAGTCGCCATATGGTAAAGAAGATTGGTATGACGAACGTTTGAGCTGGAAATGGATGAACACAGTCATTCGAGTCAACGCTCTCGTCCAAAAGGTAACACGAAACCCTCCCTGTATAGGATCATCCACTGACGATCTCTCAGAACGTCATCGCCATATATGTCACCATCCCCTCCCTCTCCGAGTTCACCACGAGCAAGTTGGCTGATGGCACACTCGACCCAAAGAGGAACGATCTGAAGGCTCTCTTGCAGAGATACACTGTGCGAGAAGTCAGCTTGGTGAGTCATCTATCTTTCGCCTGTTTTCAAATGCTGATTTGAGCCAAAAGACACGGTTTGGAGCGACGAGGCGACGAGATTGAGAGGGTGGAGTGGTGTTTCTCGGCATAGTGTATGTCCGCTGTATATGTATAGATCCAGACATGGACTTTAGCCTTGAAGGGCAAGACAGTGCAGTGTAGTGGTCAGCATACGAGTACAGCAAAATTCATATTCCCATTAAGCCAAAGACAATTATGATCGAAGAAAGACACCCAGACCTGTCCCCTCAAGGTAGTAGGTCACACGTATACACAAGCGATAGCCAATTATGACAAGACACCTTACTTGAGAGGCTTGGGCCTCAGGTTGGGACGAAGCTAGTTCAAGTCAGCAAGGCGACTTGGCGGATGATTCCACAACTCACCATTTCCACAAACAACGGTCGCAACGCTTCAATCTCATCAGTCCTGGGCGCAGACAACACCTCCACAGTCTCTCCCGCCCTCGCCTTCTTCTTTTTACTCCCACCACCACGTCTACGCCCGCTCGACCTGTCCGAAAGACCAGGTGAAGGCTGCGCGTGATCCGTGTCCTTCTTGTTTCTATGCAGAGCCGATCGGACCTTGTGTAGGCCGTGATTCGACGAGTGCGAGCCACGTCTGCCAGAAGGATTGGCCTGAGGAGATAGGGTGCTGTTGAAATCATCCGACCCGCGACGAGGAGATGTCAACGAAGACGTGTTGCTTCTATCTTCTTGCTCTTCATCCAGGTCTGCCAATTCGCGCTCATCCTCCTCATCTTCTTCCGACTCTTCGTCCGCCACATCATCCGCTTCGCCTATCGTCGTCTGATCAATGTTCAAGCTCGTCATGATCGAGCCGAGAAGCTCAGCCTCGTCATCAATCCCCTCGCCGAGGGCGCCAGAGCCCTCATCGGCAGTCTTGAATCGCCTCCTGACCTTTTCTTCGTGAGCAACCTTGAGCTTGTAGTGGTACGTCGCCACCTGGTCGACTTCTCTCATCACCCGCTTTCGTTCTTCCTCCGAGGCGGGAAGGATGAAGTCGAGGTCGATGGGCTCTCCAGGAAGCCCGCTTCGGGCGTAATTCAAAAAGAGTTCAAGCCAGGCCATGAGAGAGTCAAAGAGACCATGGCCCTTGGAGTGGACCTTGTGCACGAAAGAGTAGAAGGATTGTTCGTGGCGTTGGACAAGATCTATAAAGGTCTGGACGGTTCTCCCAGGATCCTCTTGCGAGACTGCTAGCCATCAGCTGTTGCACCTAATCGAAGAATGATATCTTACGCTCTTCGACCTGCTCGATAGTACGGATCATGTCATTGATAAAGGCTTGCAAGTCGCCGAGGGAATCAGCAATGCTGGCGGCCTTGTAGACTTGAGCGAGCGGGGTGTAGAAGATGGTGATGATGTCCTTCAACAATTCGGCAGTCACGCCCTATATCACAAGTCAGTGAAACGTTTCTCAAACATACAATAACACCCACTTCAAATATCAGCGCCAAGAGCCCTTCCTTCTCCCTCTTCCTCAGCCACAGCTTCAACAAGATGTTGAGATCCTCGCATAACCAAGCATCCTCATTCTCAGGTCCCTCATCGTCATCAGAATCCGACAACTCGGCCTGCGACGTCCTATACTCTTTGTACGCCCGCACAGCCCTCGCAACCCTCTGAAACTGCGGTCGGGACAAAGACGGAACCTCGGGAGACCGAAGGATAGTGACCAGCAGCTCTACCCCTTCCGAGGCGGCATTCCGCCTGTACGACTCTTGTACTTCAAACGGCGCCTTGGCATACTGCTCAATCTTCTGGCAGAGCACGGGGTCATCGATCTTGTCCTGGACTACCTCAATGTCTTCTTCGAGCATCCGCACGTCCTCTGTGAGACTGCTTGAAAACATCCGCTGGATGAGAGATTGACCGCCGAATGGACGGGCGAGGAAGAGGTCGAGGACGCCGCGGATCATGGCCATGGGGTTTGATATTTTGAGGATGCCTTTGAGGACAAAGTATGGCATGAGACCGTGGAGCCGTTTCATGGAGGCAAGAGTCTCTGAAGCCGTATCGGATGCCACGAACAGTTGAAAGATCGTGGCAGCGAGGCTACAAGACGTCAGCCGGCGCTTTGTGGGAATCGAATCGACTTACGAGATCCTACCCCATTCTAGCACACTAGCCTCTGCCGGTGGCAGATTCTCCACCTTCTCCACTCTCTTGACAACTTCAAACACATTCTTGAGTCCTCCCTCTTTACTCAACACATCGCCCTTGAACTGAGCCAGCCCCTCGCGAAGAGCTTCAATCCTCTTTTCCGCTTCCATCTTGAACCTCCGCCTGCCTTCTTCACGAACAGCATCAGCCTCCAATCTCCGCTGACAATCCACAGCCTCTGGAGGCGTGAGCGTCGTGGGGCCGGAAAGAAGGAATGATCGGAGGATGGGGGATTCGATGATGGAGGGTAGAGAGAGGAGTGTGTTGAGATATGCGCGGAGGGTGAGACGGTTCTTTTCTCTTGATAGTGGAGACCCTGCAGAGGTCGACGTGGGAGATGCAGGGGAATCCTGGTCTTGGAGCGAGGAACTGGATCCCTGGGCGGCAGGGCCAGAACCATAGATTGCCCGCAGGGGATTGTAGGTGCCATAGTTGTAGCTGCTGGCGGCAGCGGCAGGCGCGGTCGATGTAGACTTGTCTTTGGCGGGCGGGAATGCGATGAGAGCGTCGGGGAAGGCCAGCCTCAGCTACACATATGTCAGCTACGGTTCAACACTCCGCAGACTGTACTTGCCTCTTCAGCGAGCCTTCGGAAATCTCCATATCGCCTAGACACAAAGACGTCTGGCACATCCGCTCTTGAAGTCCGGATGATGAACTCTTCGTGACTCCTGTTTCTGACTCTGCCCTTCTCCACAACGACCCTCACGCCAATGACGTTCACCTCGAAGCCGGTGTTTTGCAGCTCTCCCGGCAAATGTCCACCATGTTTCGCCATCCATTTCTGCTTTCTCTCTTCTTGTAAAGCCTCGAGACGCCTCAGCTCGGCTTGCCCTATCCGCACAACTTCTTCGCCACCCTGAACCTTGATACCCAGACCAAACATCAAGGCGAGCTGCTTTTCCACCTTGATCCATAGCTTCTTCCTCTCCTGCGCCTCCTTCAGCTCTTCCTTGCTCATCAGACTTTCCGAGACCTGCCTGTCTTCCTCCGACTGAGCAGCTTGCTGGGATATACCCGTCGTCGTCAGGAAAGAGGACAAGAATGGCTGCACTTTGGCGGACCAGAAGGTGGGAGGCGCGGAAGCGAGAAAGGGGAACGGCAGGAGGAACTGGTGGAACATGAACCTCAAGAACGGCAGATCCCCCACCTGCCCCTCTGCCCTCTCTACCTCACTCGCACGCTGCAGAGCCTCCCTCCTTGATCGTTCATCCAACACAAACGGGTCGCCAAGCAGGCCAAGCGCGTTTGCGCCCAAGACAGGATCAGTGATGAGCCCGAGTTCATGGGTGACCTGGAGCGCGACGAGCGTCTTTTTGAGATAGTGCGCCCGGAGCGGGGTGAGCGTTGTCGGCGGGTCGAGGGCCGTGGGTAGGGTGGAGTGGTAGGGGTGCAGGTGGGCGTCTGATGTCTGGGCTGGGGCAGAGTTGGGCGGGGATGACGTCGTACGTGGCGACTGATATGACGGGCCCTGCAACGGCGCGGTACTGGGGGGTGGCGGAAGTTCCTTGTTTTGCAGCCTGAGGGAAGAAACACGTTGGGGGGGCGAGGGCGGGGAGCGGTAGACGTCTTCGAAGCCTTGCTCTGCGTCTCCCTCTGGCTCGTCTGGTGGTGGAGGTGGGAGCGGCCTGTCTGGGCGCAGGGAGCGCTGGCGGCGGGGGACGTAGGGTTTGTAGGGGAGGTCTGGTGGCGGAGGGGACATGGCGGTGGAGAAGAGGAATCGAAGAGGACTCTACTTATAATCCGCTGAGATATAGAAATGTCGGCGAGGCAGTGACGAAGTGACGCACGCGGTGGAGTGACCACTTCGGCCGCGGTCCTCATTCACAAATCGTTTTCGCCAACGACCTTCGAACGATGCAAGCCTCATCTGCTCCTGCCATGCACACAGCAGCTACCAGTCCAGATGGGTTCATGATGGTCTACAAATGATTACAAACAGATCGCACAATATATGCCATGATACACCTTCCACTCGACGCTTCCACCACAAAACACACTCTAGAACTCTATGTGCCCAGTGTAGGTCATGTCTGGGCGATCTTGTTGTTGACAGTCCTTTCCTTCTCGAGCCTATCCTTATTCGCTTGGAAAGCCGCGTCCCTGCATGCTTGCATGCCGGTACTGCACGGTCGTCAGCGACATGTCTTTCACGGGGCGCTCGAATGTAATCTCTACGTACCAGTTATGGGCTTCAGGCGTCCGATGGCCAGAGCAGAAAACCCGTTGACAATGGGGGCAATCACCAGCGAGCCTGAGCGCAGCTGAGGGACATTGGGTTGGGGGGTTGGCAGTCATTTCGGGTTTCGAGTCGTCGCCCTCGGCGTTGAGAGAAGGCATGTTGTAGACGACTCGGAACTGGCATCGCTTCTTGGCAGGCCTAGAGAGAGTACTGTCAGCATCTGGATCCAAGAGTCAATCACGCGATAAGTTGCCTGATAGCGTTGTCCTTGCGCGCTTGAGGTATGTATACACCAGCCACGATGGCTAGCAGCGGCATGTGCAGACAGCACTATCGCCAGTCGAGACGGGAGGAGGGACTAACATGATGGATGAGTTGAGCTGGGGGGATGACTAATGGGACGAGTCGATTGGGATTGGGTGGCAATAGAGTGGCCGGAATGTATGTGGTCTGTGGTGCTGGACGAAGGGTGCGAGGCTGGGGGAAGAGGTGGGGTGTCTAAGATCTATGCGGCAAGAGGGGCAAGCGAGGATATAAGAGATATAAAATAAAGAGAAGAAAGGAAAGAGAGAGAGCGGTGCATTTTATACACTCTTGCCACCCAGCAACACGCATGCGTTATCGCTTACGTAAACATATTCCATTACCTTCCCAAGTAATCTTCCTAATTCGGTCAATTCCGAAAGCTAATGACAAGCCGCCCATTTGCGGCGATCGACTGTGGTTCATCGAACCCTTTCAGATCCCGGACCGCCCTGTTCCGTCAACTATCTCTTCCCGCTCGAGGACTCTTTCCGTTATCATTGGATGCCGTTATCGCTCTCTCATTCGTCATAGAAGATGTATGCAGCCTCTACTATAGATTTGCTAATGAATCAAAACCGCTTTCGCAAGACACTCGCAATTACTTTCGCAAGCCCCGCCGCTCCAATTGCGAGTGTCATGCCGTCTCGCGGCACTGCTGACTCAGCCGGCGAGTGGTTCCAGCTTTGAAATATCGGGCACTGACCATCTATCGGCCCACGAGTGCTTCCGAAAGTCGATAGCATCCAGACGACTTGCAGCAGGAGTGCACTATAGCGCTATCATAGCCTTATCTTATCGTCCAAATTTGGAGAGCGTGATCACCTCGAATCGAGGAGCTGTGGACCCCAGAAGCACGACAATGTTCCTGTCAACTTTCCAGAATGCCTCAACCTTGCCTCATGGCGCATTCCGGAGCCAAGTATCCCAAGATACGAATCAGCCGCTGACATACTGCAAGACTACGGACAGGTGTTGGGGTCATGAAAAGGATTTCATCTTTTGCTCTAGATAGGTATCACGAACAAAAAAAGGCTTTGTGCCAAGGATGCCGGGGCGCTGCGAGTTTGGTGGGGAGAGAAAGCGATTACTTTCGGGTAGCCTTGTCGAGAACTATAGAATGGTTTTAGAATGCAGTATCAGAAGCTGAAAGGGGAGAAATCGATACGTACCGACTTCTCTGGTGATCTCGGAAAAGTCGGTGGCCTGGATCTCGAGGGCGACACCTGTATCGAAGTCGATGCAAATGTGATGATGGGAGTGCAACAGCAACAGTGAAAACAAAGACAGTTGATCAGCGACGCCTCATCAGGACACGACTTGACACTTACCATCGAGTCGGCGACGGAGAGCATCCTTGGAAGAAGCAAAGATCATCTTGCTCCTGACGGGCGCATCATCGGGAGACCTGATTTGTTGTATTTAGCGACATGTAACGAGTAAGATTATATGGTCTTGCATCAAACACAAAGCGTGCTGTAAGCTCCTTGGTGGCCCCAACGTCATACCAACTCCCTCGCCACCACTCTGCATACTCTGACGCCCAAAACATCATGGGAAGGAGACGCCAACTCACCAGAAGATGAAAGCCAACTTGTTCCTGATACCCTCTCCACCAGGCAGCGTAAACTCAAAGTCATACACAGCCCACCTGCAGTCGGCTTCAGGAAGATCGTTGACAAAGGTCTGGAAGTCCTTGTCGTCTGAAGACTTGAGGACGACGATAGAGCGCTTGTCCTCGGAGAGACCGTAGAGGACGTATGTGAGCTTTTTGCCGGTCTTGAGTTCCTGGAACTTTTCGAGGCATTCTTGGGTCTAAAGAGCGGGGAATGGATGAGCGTCTGAGGTATATCTGGATGAGATGGGTAGAGGTGTAGGCTGTTGAGGCGATTGGGGAAGGGTTCGACGTACAGGTTGGACACCGGAAGACTAGCGGGGGCATCAGCGGGATTCACTCGCACAGGGGACAGGGACTGACCATGATGGATGATATGGGTATGGGCTGGGTGGGATGGGAGCAGGAGGGAGGAGAATGGACAGACCACAACAAGTCGCGTGGAGGAGCGTCACGGACGGCTCAGGGCACGGATCCCGGCGGGGGGTGCCGCTCCGGAGTTGCATCCACCCGCGAGTGTGGCACTCGTTCACTATCCTTCTTGCCTCTTGTTTGGCTCTCGTCAGATTATTCCAGTTACCATGGCCCACCAGACACAACCATTAAAGATGTACGTATATCACTATGGCGCGAATTACAAGCTTACGAGGCTCCTCCTCTTCCCAACCCCCTGCTTATATTCTCCGCTCTCTTATCCTTAGCCTCGCAATAGGGTCGCCCCTCTCAGACATAGCTGCAGCCGCTTCCAAGATCGCCGCCATCAACGGCAAGCATGGGCCTTTTGATGCGTGTGTGATTGTGGGAGACCTCTTTGCCGAGGATACCGATGGGAGTGAAATTGTCGGGCACAGGTGTGGGTTCATGGCGGACTGTTCACGGTAAAGCTGATCAGTACCTCAGTCCCTGTACCTACCTACTTTACTCTTGGAAAGAACTCGATTCCCCAGTCCGTTCAGGACAAGATTACGGAAACCAGAGGAGAGGTGGTAGACAATCTGGTCTTTCTTGGAAAGTCAAAAGTCTTTACAACTGCTCAAGGACTCAAGATTGCTTGCGCCGGTGGTAGCTACAGCCCAGAAACTTATGATGCGCCTGAGGTAAGTCATAATAATCACGATTACTGTATGCGTTCTTATAATATCTGCTAGGATCCCTTCTCCCCGGTGATCACTCGAGAATCAGTCGAGTCTCTCATGAAGCACCCCCTTCTCGGTGGTCCTCCAGCCGTAGAGGCCGGCTCCCTCGCGGCTGCCAAACAGTCCGCTTCCGCCCTCCCCTCTCCATTCCAAGGTATCGACCTCCTCCTCTTCTCTTCTCCCCCTCCTTCCCTCTCCCAGAACTCTACATCTTTCCCTACCTCCGGTATCTCCTTGGTCAACCCGGTACCCCCTTTCGAAGAGATTGTCAAAGCCGCCAGGCCCAGGTATCTGCTTTGGGGCAACGGGGAAGGGTTCTGGGAACGTGAGCCTTGGGGGTGGGCGGGCCCGGCAGGTCAGGAAGAAAGGTGGTCGAGGGCCGTCAAGCTGGGAGCTTTGGGCGGTGAAGCGCCCGCGGGCGGGAAGAAGGCGAGGTGGTTCTATGCTTTTACTTTGCAACCTCAGACGCCGTCGACGCCTGTCCCGACGAAGCCGGCGGGATCAACTGTGAACCCGTTTGCACCTCCGCCTGCGGCCAAGAAGCGTGGGCATGGGGAGGAGGACAGTGGTCGAGAGCACAAGAAGGGTCGACAGGGTAAGTCAAAGTGTCTGTCTGGTAGGTTGTAACTTATGAGATTTCTCAGAAGGTGCGCCTCCTCCAGATGGTTATGTGTGTAAGATCTGCTCGCTTCCAGGTGTAGGTCAGACACTCTTGGACTTGGCCTTGTTGCTAATGTCTCTCAGCATTGGATCCAAGAATGTCCCAAAAAAGCCGACCGTTCAAAGCCCCCTCCTGGCTACAAATGCAAAATCTGCGAATCGGTCAGTCCACTGTGTCTTGCGTGCTTTCGTGGACCGGCGCTCATATGCTATTCAGCCCGACCACCTTGTCCGCGAGTGTCCCAAAAAAGAGGACCGACCTCCTGGACCCAAACCTCCTCCTGCAGGATACGTCTGTCGAGCCTGTGGACAAAACACCCATTATATCAAGGACTGCCCCATGGTGAAGGACCGGGAGCAGGAAAGATCAAAGAGGAAGGAACTTGGTCCCGCTGAGTGTGAGTCAAGATGTCGCTGATCTTTCTTGTCGCTGACGGCATCTCAAGGCTGGTTCTGCCTGAGTAATCCCAAGGTTACAAAGCATCTGATCGTGGCTATCGGCACCGAGTCGTATGTGACTCTTCCAAAGGGACAATTGATTCCCACCGATGGGGTAAAGTCACTTGTTCCTGGTGGTGGCCACGTATTGGTATGTCCCGAGACCAGATGCATTTGGCATTGTGTCTGACAAACATTCTATAGATCATCCCCATCGCCCACCACCCTACCCTCCTTTCCATCCCCGCCGAGGATGCCATGTCCATCATTTCCGAGATTGAAGGCTTCAAGTCCTCCCTTCGAGCGTGCTACGCTTCCTACGGTGCCGTCCCTGTCTCCTTTGAGATCGGACGTCTGACTGGACGCGGTGGTCATGCCCATGTCCAGATTGTGCCCGTCCCGAAAGAGTTGGCGGACAAGGTTGAAGAGTCGTTCAGGAAGGGAGGCGAGAAGCAGGGGATTGATTGGGAGAAGGAGCCAGAGAGGGCTTTAGCGAGGGCTGGCTCTGGCGGCAATTACTTCAAGGTTGAGTGTCCCAATGGGACGAAGTTGGTGCATATGTTGAAGGGGAATTTTGATCTTCAGTTTGGAAGGTGAGCAGCAGCTTTCAGGTACTACCAGGAAAGCAACTCACATCTATCGTAGGACTGTCCTTGGAAGCCTGCTGGGCCTTCAGCACCGCATTGATTGGAAAGAATGCGCCATGAGCGATGCTGAAGAGAAGGAGGATGCGGTAAAGTTCAAGAAAGCGTTTGCATCATTCCATTCATAGTCTTACCACATCGGCTGCCAACTTGCTATGCATCACAAAACAGATTTGAGAATCTTACCGTTCCCCTAGCTCCAAAAGAAGATGCTATCGAGAGCAAGAGGACAAGACTAGACAATGTCGACACAAGTCACACAACCTCTGGGCTCTGACTTGTGCAATCTTAAATGGCGGCGCGCGCGACTTGCGACTTGGACGCGTCTGCGCTTTGACTTTCTCTTTGTTTTCCTCAAATCCATCCTTCCCTCGAATCCGATTTCCGCCTCTACGTGCTTCAATAACGACAGGATGTGGTCCCCGAAATCATCCGTCGACATAGAACGTCGCCCCTCCCCCCAGAATCTCCCCACAAACAGCAGCAGGTCCCACGGCCGTACCAAGTCCCTCAGCGCCCTTACAAACTTCAACAATGCCATGAATCTCAACACTGGCTCTTCAGGGGGACCTGGCTTCAATGGAGCTCAGCCTATGAGCCCGTCGACGAGAATTGGGAGTCCAATTGTGGGACAAGGAGCCTTGAGCAGCGGAGGTGCTGGGGTAGAGCTTCAGTGGGCGGAAATTCAGGCTAGGTACGTGCTCATGAGGGACCGGCCTGAGATATCAGCTGACAATAATTCTACAGAACGTTCTGTCGATGGTAAGGAAGAAACCAGTCTGTACATTTGTGGGGGGAGCTGACTTGCGCAAAGGCTGAACAAACAATTGGAAAGCCAAGGACTGGAACCTATGGTGGATGTGGTCAATGACTTTTCGGATGGTGTCAAGCTTATACAGGTGCGTTGTGACATCTTATATGATAGAAATCGAAGGCTGACATGTTGATTTAGCTCCTGGTGAGGCTCTTCAGTGAGGACACGGCGGTCCATGCTGACTATGCGTAGGAAATAATTTCGGAAGAAAGCTTGGGTCGGTATGTTAAGAGTCCAAGACTGCGCGTACAGAAAGCAGAAGTGAGCGCCTTTCGTTTGCCAGGGTTCTTGCTGATCGCACATGGTAATGATAGAACGCGGCCAAAGCTCTCAATTTCATTCGGTCCAAGGGCATCAAGTTGACGAATATCGGACCGGAGGACATTGTGGATGGCAATTCAAAGCTCATATTGGGAATGGTCAGCGACTCTATGCCCCCCACGTCACGTGTACCGCAGAGGCTGACACTCTCCGCAGATATGGACCCTCATTCTGCGTTTCACTATCGCAAACATCACGTAAGCTTGTGACGACTCAATTGCAGCTACTATAGCTAGCTGACTCTTGACAGAGAATCTGGTTTGTCAGCAAGAGACGGCTTGTTGCTGTGGTGCCAGAGAAAGACTGCCTCGTACAATCCCGATGTCGACGTTCAGAACTTCAAGAGCAGTTTTGTGGACGGCCTTGCTCTGTAAGTTTCAGCAAAGATGTTTCGGAGACAGTGGCTGAGCACAAGCGCAGGTGTGCTCTGATACACTATCATCGACCAGAGCTGCTCGACTTCAACCGTCTGGACAAGACCGATAAACGGACAAACACCGAGTTGGCCTTCAAAGTCGCCGAGGAGAAGCTGGGTATACCGCGTCTGTTGGAAGTCAAGGATCTTTGCGATGTGGAGGTGCCGGATGAGCGATCAATAATGACATATGTGGCCGAATTCTTCCACAAATTCTCCAGCGAGGGTGAGCACCATGGCAGCCGAAAGTGGGAAGTGTGCTGACAGAGTCGTAGACAAGGCGGAGACTGGAGCCAGGCGAGTGGAAAAGTTCGCAGAGCTGATGCAAGGTGTCTGGTGAGTCACATTGTATTCCAGTCAGATAGATATTGATTCGTATTCCAGGGCCAACAAGAATGATTTTGAAACCCGCCTCGCTCTCCTTCTCTCAGCACTTGCGACCACCGAGCAAGCCTGGTCGATCTCCCCCACACCAGAATCTTACCCGGACGCTAAAGCCCATCTCGCTCAGTTCAACGAGTACAAGCGGACCCTGAAGAGGGAGTGGGTCAAGGAGAGACAAGAGTTGGCTGCCTTGTACAGCAATATACAAACAAAGATCAGGACGTATGCGTTGAAGGAGTGGGAGCCGAAGGAGGGTCTAGGCCTAGAGGTATGTCCCAGTGACATCTTTCCAAAGGAGTAACTGACAGTGTACAGTATCTGGAGAAGAGATGGGCAGAGTTCTTGGGGGCGGAAACGGCTAGAAGTCGAGCCATCAATGGCGCTATAAGAGAGTAAGTCCGGCCAATGAGTCAAGAGGTTCAGGGACGCTGACTTAGAATGCCTATAGTATTAAGGAAGCGCTGAAAGAGAGTTTTGCTCAAGCCGCTGAAGACTTTGTGCAACGTCTGCAGCAGATCGAACAAGCTATCGGCAGTTTGAGCGGGCCATTGCCGGTATGATCCCTCGGATTTCCAAAGCTTTCGTTCTATACTCATCGGATCGCATAGGAGCAAAGAGAAACTCTGTCGCAACTCTCATCCCAAATCCCTCGGCTGCGCGACTTCCTGAAAGCCGAAATCACAGCGCTCAACACCACCTGTTTGCAAGCCAAAGTGGAGGAGAACGACTACACAGTGTTGACAGTCGATGATTTGGATTACGAATTGGAGCTGGCTGAAGCAGGTTTGAAGAAGAAAATGGCGTTCATCGACAACCAGGTAAATGTCACAATGTTCTACGGTGCCCATTGCTAACATTCACCAGATGGTCTCGGCTCAGCACACCAACATCACCCCCGCAAAGCTTGAAGAGTTTGAAGGCACGTTCAAGCACTTTGCTTGGGAAGAGACGAACGTGAGTAATGCGAGCTATATACGACACGCATCTGACCATTCACTTAGACGCTTGGTATGTGGGAGATGCACTCTGCCCTTGCCAGTCTGGGCATTGTATACGCTGAGGAAGAGCTTGAGACTATATTTGTCGAGCTCGAGCAACGATTCGGCTGTGTCACCTACGAAGCCTGGCTCAGTCTACTTGTGGATATCACACAGGACGATGCGTCGTCGCCCGAGCAGTTGCGCGAAGCGTTCAGAGGCATGGCTGCCGAGAAGCCCTATGTGACGGATCTTGATTTTGAGTATGCGCATCTGCCAAAGGAGACTATGAAGTATTTGAAGGAGGCGATGCCTGTGGAACAAGGCGAGCTGGAGGAACTGGAAGAGGGCATGGAACGGCCGGTGCAAGAAGGCCAAAATGCCTATGATTGTGAGTGTTCTTTCCATCCTCTACTGTCTTCTGCTGACCTAGTCTAGATAACGCTTTCCTGGAAAGTGCATTCTTACAGTGAATGGACTGTCCATGACAACTAGTTACAATACGAGTATATAGAAAGAGCGGAGACGATCTTACGAATGTAACACTATCTTGCTACTTTTTCCAGCATGACTTTGTAAGGGAGAAGTGATGCGATTCTATTCTTGGTCAACACTTGTAGATTCTACATACAATTGCAAGCATCACTATCAACAGTCATTATCGTGTTCTACTTGGCAGGTGCGCCTTGCTTGTTCGCGCCCTGTTTGAGCGCTTCCTTGACTTCAGGGGTATCCTGCACTTGCTTCCAGACTGGTCGAGGAAGCTCCAACATTCTGCAGTCAAGTGAGCAGTGGTCCGATTACTTCGATCTTGATTCAACATACTGTGTGCTGCGTGAGTAGCTATGAGAGTAAGAATATGTGAGCACATTTTCTGAAATGGCAAGTCACCAGATACTCACGAGATACCTCCCAGTCTGGAGACAGGACGCAATTTCTCGGTGCGAATCTTCATAGGATCCTCGGGATCGAGCACAAACTCCCTCTACCCGATACTGGTCAGTCTCCAAGAGACTTTCGACAACTGAGGGCATACCACTTGAAAGCGCTTGATCCTGCCCAGTATGACAGATGAAGTCGTTTTCCCTTGACTGCCTACCAAGTCATGCCAATGGCTGACCTCACACTCCATTGAGAAGGCGGACTCGGCTACATGGGGAGGGCTAACAGTCCTGGTACGTTGTCAGCTATATTGCGGAAAGGAATGAGACTCGACTCACTCTGAAGAGCGCTGGGTCAGTCCAGATAGCGCCCATTCGTCTACCTCGGGTGGTGCATCAATTGAGGTGTAGTTGGCGGCTTCTATGAAGGGCTCGGAGATGATTGAGACACAGAACTCTTTGGTGTCCTTGATGTTGTGACTAGTGTCTGCAAACAGTCAGTGGTTTCCATATAAACTGAGCTCACCTTTGAGGCCATCTGATCGCTGACCAGCAGCTATAGAGATCATGATCGTAGGAGGGTCATGGCTGACAGTGTTGAAGTATGATATGGGAGCCAGCTGAGATTATCATCAGTATTGCCCAGTAGAGGCTATTGATCGACCTACGTTAGCCTTGCCATCATCTCCAAGGCTTGAAACAAAGGCTATAGGCCGAGGAGTCTGCACCTCAAATCAGCACGCTCCCTCAATCGTCACCTCTATACTTACGATGGCCGAGATCATCATCTGCGAGGTGTATCAGCTCCGCCCCTCTACACGACACATTTCTTCCACATACCTTGTACACATCTGCCCCTGACTCATTCTCGGGAATGATAGACCTCCACCCCTTCTCGGTGGGGCTGAAGTCACCGGCGCTGGGCTGAGGTCGACATTAACTCGAGCGACATGAGATAGGGCTTCCAAATCATGCCATCAAGGTGGGAAGCTTACAAGGTTATTCAATCCTTGCCCGGGTTTGAAGTCGGGGTTGGGAGCCTTGGTAAAAGACGGATCGACGTCAGAATGAAAGTCCGGTCTTGTTGCTTCGACCTCTGCTACATGGTCAGTATGCCTTGCGAGAGGGTACCTCAGATTCCCACCAACCTTTGAATGGCTGATGCTTGGTCATGGCTATCTGTGTGACTGAGGAGGATGACTTGAGCTGATAAATGGGCGAAATGGATCAAGTTTATGAGCAATTTATAAGCCATGACGTGCGTGCTTTCATCAGTCGCGTCGTCGCCGGCGGGCATAACCGCGCTACAACGTTAAATTTCGGTCTATCCTTCACAACAACAATCACAATCCGGTACGAACAAGTCACTCCATCCTTTTGGCCCCCTCGATGCCCTCTTTTCTTTCTTGCTTTCCTTCTCGGAGTTCCGCTGCTGTCCAAGACGAGCCTCTGCTGCCTACAGCCGACGCAAGCAAACGTGTCGTCAAGTCGTGTATCTTTTGCAATGCTACGAGAGAGAACGGCTTTGCGGTAATATATGAGGTATCTACTCCGGCATATATGCAGACAAAATGACCACTGATACCTCTACTCAGGACGAAGAATTTGTGGTTTTCCATGATAAAACGCCTAGAGCAAAGGAGCACATTTTGGTCATTCCTCGAGCTCATGCCGCCTCATCCGTGCGGGATTTAACCTCACAGGAAATTCCGATGGGTGCGTGTATATGCTCTGCATGTAAAGCGTTTGATACTGATGATATCTCTAAGTACGGAAGATGCTAGCACTGGGCTGTCAGCTTGTGCCCCCTTCGCCGCCGCCAAAGGCAGGCTTCCATATACCACCCTTCTCTTCGGTACCTCATCTTCACTTACACATATTCTCTGGTCCCCATACCTTTATTGGAAGGTTCAAATACCCTATTACTAGGCATGGAGAAGGTGAGAAGGGGTATGGATGGTTCATCACTCCAGATCAAGTGGTACGGATATTGCAGAAGGGGGGCAAGATTGATTTGGGCAGAGGTTGAGACGATTTGTGGGATGCAGCATGGGGTATAGAAACAACACATAGATATAGATCCGACCTTGAAATTGTACAGATATGCGAAATATAAGAGACCAGAGCCCCAAATTTGTAGAGAGACGCACCCCCGCTCATCCCAGGACATGCAAGTCGTTCTTCTTCTTCTTTTTCTTATCGGTCTTGTGCGAAAAGTCCCTCCAACCTTTGATGCGCTCATCTCGACGTTCTGTATGAAGGAAAAGGAAAGAAAAAAATGTGTCAGCAATCTACTCACTTCACAGGATTGAAAGGGGATGAGGGCAATCGGGTCTGTGTTGCGACCTGCTGTGCAATCACTCGTAAGATTTCTGCCATAGTCTCGAAAGACGATTGACAATATCCCCATACGTGAAGAAAGCTACTCACCTTCCCATTTAGACTGTTCTTCAAGCTTTCGCTTTCTTGACGCAATCTCTGCTTCAGCCTTGGCCTTCTCAGCTCCTTCGTTGGCATAAGCCAATTTCGTCTTCCTGACGATGGAATCAGCATTTGCCTCGGCGTCGTGTTCAGATTAACTTACCGTCTTCGTGCGAGTTCATCCTCCACCAGAATCTCTCTGCCCTTCGCTCTAACTTGCTGCTCGAACGGTGGTGAGAGGTTGGCGAGGCGAGGATCGTCGTCGGCGACGTTTGTCGAAAATCCGCTGCCGAGGATACTGCGATCGAAGGTCAGCAAATTGACCGTCGCCCCAATAGCGACGACTTACGTCTTGAGAACCTGTGTACGCGCGTGGGTCATAATCATGTCGATATCCTTTCGCTTGTCAAGGTCGATCAGGTGGTCGTGAGCCTGTTGAAACCATCAGTGTTTACTCTCGAGAACTTGACGGTCTATCCTAACCTTTTTCAGGAAATCGAAAGCCTAGGGACAAGACGTCAGTACATATCACAGGTCGGACCAATACAGGCACTCACCTCGAGACCGCGTTCATGCTTGTACTTGTCCGGATGGATCAGCAAAGACTTCTTTCGGTACTGCTTCTTCACATCGGACTCTGTAGCAGACAAGGGCAGATCAAGGATGTCGTACGGACTGTTAATGGGTTAGTTTATGAATGGAAAAGTCCCAATGCTACCTACTTCAATTTGAAAGCTTTCAATACACGTTCAACCTAGCGACCCAGGACAGTCAGTATCGAAGCGTGTTTAGTAGCTCTTTCAAAACGCACCTCAAGCTCCTTGGCCAAGTCGTTGGCGCTCTGCTTGATAGCCGAGTCAACTGCTGCAGACGACATCTTGAAGGTGTAATGGTATCCTGGAAAGATTGGAGCAGGAGCGTATCAGTAGGAAAGTGAGAATACAAAGCCGGCACAAATAGAACGCGGGTGGCGCAATAGCGGAAGCATTTGGCTGGACGGAAGTAATTTAATAATCTCTGGCTATCTCCTCTTTCTCAGAGCTATCTCCTCCTCTTTCGGCCACCACCGACTCTCAGCCAACGATGCCTAAAGACGCTTCACATCTTCCCAGGAAGCGAGGCCGTCCTCGACATCTGTACAAAGATCCCAAGAAGGTCAATATTCCTACGACGCACGGCCATCCAACAGCAGCCTTCCAATATCTCTCGCAGGATGCCGACGCACAAGACGATGGCCACTTGCAAGCAGAGTCATCATCCATCTTTATCGACCCTACACTCGGTTCAGCCCTGACAAACAACGCTCATATCACGGATGCAGAACTTTCTCGGCACCTCACGCCGTTGGATGCTCACATTCAATCACAGGCTGCTGCCATCGTGCGAGCATTGACTCTTCATGAGGAGAGTCATGGACAGCTCGAGACGCTTGACTGTCAGCAACCACCCCCCGCACCAGAGCTGCAACAGCCTATACAAAGGCATACTAGCTATGTAAATGGCACTTCCTGGGTCAGCCGGTTGCTTTCCCCAGAGCGCGCCGCCGAAAGACAGGCGCTTTGGGATATCGTTGCTTCATGCGACTATCTTCCCGACTCATCATCGCCCAAGGCAGACTTGAGTGCTGAAAAGTTGAATGGACCGGGTCTCGAAATGATTGATGTGCCCCCGAATAGCGGGTTCGTCAAGCCTACAAGGCAAAAGAAGCTCGATGGAGAAGAGTATATGAGAGAGGTGATTGAGGTGGAGGATATACCGCGGTACTTTGATGGTCTGGTGCGTCTTTTCGAGCATATGAAGGACCAAGATACTGATACATGTGCAGCCACACGACTATAATGCTCTCTCGCGCGCTCGTTGTTCGTCTTATTTGAAGATTGTATGTCTGGACCCCCCCGGCCTTGTGCCCACCGACATTCGCTCGCGTCATATCCATGTCTCAGTAGACGACAATGCGCTTCGAGATAATCCCGACGGCTATGTCTATCGCATCATTTTTAGGTGTTCGGGGATATGCCTGAGAGCGGATGGAGAGGAACAGTCCATGGGCGTTGCCGGGGAAGAGGGGCAACCGTGGATGGGAGAGCAGCCGAAGAACTTCGCCCAGAGCTCGAGTGAGACGAAGAAGAGACGGCCACCAGCGTGTGACTCTTTGTTAGCTGTGAGTATGTGGAAACGCAGTAAGAGTACTCGAGTTGACATGTCGCAGGTCGAGATGACTGCCCGACAAGCGGCAGACGGGCAATGTACAATCATCAGACGGCGGCCAGAGTATCATCCGCCCGGCCCAACAGCAGCCCTTCGACTTTCACCATACATACGAAGTGTGCTTCATGAACTCGCATCTGACACTGGCATGCCAAACACCCGATTACGCTCTGGTAAGCTCTATCACACTCTTATCGTTGACCAAGCTGACTGTCGTTCGTACAGAATACGAAAATAGATTGAGGACCGCAGCCTACCCCATGTGGATCGAAGCAAACTTTCCTCATCGTCTGCCCAAACCGCAGCATTACTTGAGCGTCACGGTTACCATTGCTCGTGCGGCGAAGAAGGCGGGGCATGCGTGACAGGTTAAAGCTGGTCAACAGGGCAGGGGTCGCGCAGGGGTGGAGAGAGAGAGCGCGCTGGGGGCTGGGGCGCAGTGGTGATGTTGAGGGATCTTGAAGGACGGATAACGGCGTCCTGCGCAGGCATACGGCTGCAGCCCGGTAGCTGACAGATTGAAGGCCTTGTGCCAGCAACCTGAATGCTCTCTCCGGCGCTCATGGCTTGTGGCCTGAAGACAAAGGTGTTGTTCTCATACTCGTATCACATGCTTGTACGTAAAAGATAAGAGAGTGCTGGACCTTGGACCTTGAAGTGTCTTGAATCTTGAATCATGAACGTCTATCCATTGGAGGCCGATCCGAAATAGTGGCTACATCAGAGATAAACGTTATGGCCAGGTACAGGCACCTTTCGATCGCTGTCCTCTTCTGCCACGAAATCCGACTCTGGGCAGCAACGTTTGTCCACAATGCGTCAAGTTATCTCGAGAAACTCGAGGCATGAGGCATTGAGGACACATGCCAAGAGTGGCTCAGTACGAACATATGCCGAGGCGTGAACGAAGGGAAGCCGATGGGACTACAGTTTTCGGGTGTGGCGTCAAGGGTCATTCGGAAGAGATACATAGCCTTCCCTTGGCCGCCTCGAGAATCGGGAACAAGGTTGTCGACGCCGTCAAGCACGTTGTAAAATTGCAAGGCGCATGATGCGCTTTGCAGGCCTCAAATGTCCTCGTCTCCCTTACATCGCCGAGCGCAAGATGTCCAGCTCCACCTGTATATATTCGACGCGCCCGGAAGTCAAGACCGAGACATGAATTACAACGCGACGCGCCCGAAATTTCTCCATGAATTGCTTCGAGCAGGGTCCAGGGACTGTCCGGGATCATTTTCCCTGCCATGTCCAGGCTTCTCTGCTCTGGGCTCAGCCTGGGCTGCACGTCGCAAGAGCAGAGCTGGGGGGCAGAGGGCCCAGACGGCAGACGGTGACAGTTGAGTGTTGACAGCTGCAAGCTGACGATAGCTGGGATCCGGGATCGGACTCTTTGGCAAAGTTCCTGGCACCCTAAACACCTGAAAATCGCAGTCAGCCGAGTATAATTCTTGAGATCTCATCGCCCCATTCGAGCGACACGCAAAGTCATGCAGTGCACTCCCGCTGCTTACACGAGGTCGTGGGGGAGAGCCGACTGGGGCCGCTGGGAACTGGCCAGCTCCTGCATATATCGTGGATGGAGAAGAACGTCATACTACTACATGCACTTGTGTCTGGGAAGAATGCAAGAGGAAGGGCAAAGCGGAGTCTAGTACATAGGAGAATGTGGCTCCGGGTTCAACGGCGCGTGCAGTATCCCATGCATTCGTTGAGAAGGCGAGCATGCAAGTTGTGGCACTGCGGCATGCCCAGAGGATGGATATGCAGTCGAGATGAGGCGAAAATTGCAGTATCGGGAGTTGAGGCGGGCAGATAACGTTGGAACTTGGAATCGCTTCACGGCTTTCGCTGCGCAAGGTAGACGAAAGAAGGTCTTCACTTCTCGTCTGCACATCCGTCTGTGCACCACTGGGAATACAAACTACACAAGGCGCCAAAAGGACATCTCCTCGGCGACTGCCAGTCAACTCTCGCTCACTACCTGCTCTCGCACGTTGGCCCGCGATCAAGTTACAAGCTCGCAGTGATCCGGCCGGCCCCTACTTGGCATCTGTTCTCCTCGACACAGAACAAACCAAGCCACTGCCCACTGCAGCACACACCCAGCGGACAGCCATACCAAGCATTGCGGGCACGACAAACCGAGACTTTTGCTGTCGATCGCTCGCTATAATCCCCCGAGTCCCTGTCGCAACGACGGCCTGAACGCAGCAACAGTCCCGCGTGCCACCCCACCGCGACTTTCCCTCGACACCTCCTTCCCATCCGCCTTATTCCCCCATCTCCCCCCCCGATAAATTCACACGCACACATACATAGCTCACCTCCCGTCACAATCTCCCGATTATCACGACTGGATCCACGAGCATCCACCTCTCCTGCCAAAACTTTTCCCGGCATCCACCTGGGTCTCAGCAGCAACGCCCATCTCTGGCTGAGCCCTCTGCTGGATCGTCGCGTCATCGTACGCAAAGATAATATAACCTGCAAGCACAGTGAGTCTGTCTCATTCGTCACGCGCGCTTGGCTGATTGCCCTGATAGAGCCTCACAATGTCCTATACGAACGAGGTACCCCTCTCTCCTCGGCGCAGTATCCCTCCCAGCGACCCTCCCAATCACTCGCGAGCTCGCCGAGGCCCCGATACTGCCGCTTCAGGTATCGATGCAGAACATCTCCCCCGACAACAGTTCTTTCCTGAAGGTAGCGATGGAGACGAGGATTTTGATGAGGAGGACGAAGGTGATGATGCGGATGTCTTTGCCTTCAGTCGGCCGGTGACTGCTGCCCAGCCTGGCGGAGTCAAGGCATCTGGGTATGGTATAGCACCAGCGCCGGTTGCTGCCAGGCCAAACACCGGAAGGCCTGCAACCGGTGCTGTGAGCTGGGCGCCCTCTCCTTTGGAGGAGACCCACGAGTCTACTGAGCATGTTGGGTCAAGCACAGGACCTGGTACCATCTCCTACGGCGATGTACCTACTCTTCCTCTGCAAGACACGCCACGATCCGTCAATCCCAACCCTCAGAAAAAGGACAATGTGCCCACCCCGACTGGTGTCATCGACATTGGTGGTCATCTCCCCGATACCACCTACGACAAGGCCAATCCTCCTCCCTTCTCTGGTAGGAACAACCCCAACAATTCTAGTTTCGCTAGTTTCGCCTTCAACATGAGCAACCCTCCAAAGGCCCGACGGCCCAGGACCGGGCAGAGTCTTTTGGACAAAATCCAACGTCGGAGAAAACCCGAGACGGGAGAGTCTAGCATCACGACGACGACTGGTCTTACGGGTGGAGCAGGGGAACACGATGCGGATGGCTTTTCTGATATTGCCTCCCTTCCCGGTATCAACGAGATTGTCCCCCACTCGGCTCGAAGACGTTCCAGCAATACTAAGAGTATCATGTCTGGCTCGTCCTTTGTCACAGAGTCAGAGGTCACCAGTGACGACCGGCATACTCGCCGAAGCAGGCAGTTCAGTCGAGGAAGTATCGGGTTGACAGAGATGACCGGGGACATGACTGTGCCGGATGGCAAGACGACGTGGGGCGATGGCTATGGGGGCAGAAAGGGTGAAGAAGTTGAGGGAGACAGTATGGCGGATCTGGATATGGATATGGTCGAAGAAGATAGTCCTTATCCTGAAGTGCGAGCTTCAGTATCGAATATAGACGATCCAGACATGCCTGGTGAGTACTATCTTGTAAAGACAGGCTCGGACTGATTTCTTGCTAGCTATGACCTTCCGAGCATGGTTTCTAGGAATACTTTTCACCATTCTTGCGTCTGCGTGTAATACTTATTTCCATTTCCGTACCCCTGCCCCTTATATATCTCCTCTCATTGTCCAGTGAGTCTCAGAAGTATACAGTCGAGCGCTTCTGACCCTCTTGCAGAGTTTGTGCCTATCCTGTCGGCAAATTCTTCGCCTGGTGTCTTCCTATCAACGACTACGCTCTTCCCCGCTGGCTCGGTGGCGCCGAGTTCAGTTTGAACCCGGGACCGTTCAATATCAAGGAGCATACCATCATTGTCATGATGGCCAATGTCGCCATTGGTCCCGCCTATGCCCTTTACGCCACCGTTTCCAGCGAACTGTATTACGGCCACAACTGGGGCATTGGTTTCTCCATCATGTTCCTTTTGGCGACACAGATGACAGGTTTCAGTCTTGCGGGTATCTGCCGTAGATTCGTCGTCTGGCCTGCGTCCATGATCTGGCCTGCCAACTTGGTAGTCGCTACCAATTTGAATACCTTCCATGCTGAAGAAGATGGTTTCACCGGTGGTATGAGTCGTTTCAAGTTCCTCATCATTTGCGGCTCCAGCGCTTTCATCTGGTACTTTTTCCCGGGTAAGTGTTTCTTCGGATCAACGGCGCATGTTGCTAACCAGTCTCAGGATTCATCTTCACCTCGCTGTCATACTTTTCCTGGGTGTGTTGGATCGCTCCAAACAACAACGTCGTCAATGAGCTCTTTGGAGTCTCTACCGGATTGGGCATGGGTCTCCTCACCTTTGACTGGACCCAGGTGACTTGGATTGGTTCTCCTCTGACCACTCCTTGGTGGGCCTCTGTCAACATCGGTGTCGGTTTCGTGCTCTTCTACTGGATCCTCACGCCAATCCTCTACTACACCAACGTAAGTCTTATGTCCACGCTGCTATCACCATCACTGACGTCCATCAGGTTTGGGAAACGGCATACCTTCCCATCAGCGTCACTCAAGCAGCCGATCGCTTCGGCTCGACGTACGACATCTACAACATCCTCACCGAGGACATCACCCTCAACCAGACTGCTTACGCCGAATACTCTCCCGTCTACCTCTCCGCGTCCTTCTGTGTCACCTTCATGGTAGCTTTCGCCCTGTCGACCGCACTCATCGTGCACACGGCCCTCTATCACGGCCCTAGAATCTACCGGGCCATCGTCAACGTCAAGACCGAGGCCGACGACATTCACTTCAAGCTCATGAAGATGTACCCCGAGGTCCCCGACTGGTGGTTCCTCGCCCTCTTCTTGGTCGTCTTTGTACTTGCGGTGGTGTCGCTGGAGGTGTATCATACAGAGTTGCCTGTATGGGGCTATATCATCAGTGTGCTGTTGCCGTTGGTATATATCATACCGACGGCGTTCATCTACGCGATGACTTCACAGCAGGTGACTATCAATCTCCTCGCAGAGCTGATACCTGGATTCATCTTCCAAGGGCAACCTCTTCCGGGAATGGTGAGTCTTCCTGTATAGTATACGATCATAGCTGACTATGAGCTAGATCTTCAAAGTGTTCTCTGTCCAGAGTATCGTCGAGGCCTTGTCTTTTATCCAGGATCAGAAACTCGGCCACTACATGAAGGTCCCTCCCCAAGCTACCTTCGTCGCCCAGCTCACTGCTACCACTGTCGCCTGTTTCGTGCAGAGCGGTATGAAGGAGCTTTTGTTTCATGTTGTCAAGGATATCTGTACTTCCACCCAGAAGAGTCTTTTGACATGTGCGTCGACAAAGACATTCTTTACATCTTCCATCATCTGGTGAGCACTCTTTCTGCTGTTCTAGGTCATTGCTGATTGTGATTCAGGGGTTTGATTGGTCCTGAGCGACTCTTCAGTAAAGGCTCTTCCTACTACCCTCAAGTGTTTGCTCTCGTCGCCGGTGCAATCCTCCCTATTCCCCTTTGGTTCTGGGTCAGAAAGTACCCTCGGTCGATCTTCCGAAACATGAACTTCCCCGTCATGTTTAGCGGCTCCCTCGCCATTCCTCCTGCAAGTGGTATCAACTACTCGAGCTGGATTGTGGTCGGGTTCGTGTTCCAGTTCTGGCTGAGGAGGAGGAGGTTTGCCTGGTGGTCAAAGGTGGGTCTATCACCTCTGCTGTTCCAAGAACATCGCGCTGACGTGAAGGATAGTATAATTATGTCCTTTCCGCTGCTTTAGATGTCGGCACCGCCCTTTCTGCCATCGCTCTTTTCTTGTTCTTGGATCTGCCAGGCGCGTCTCTCAGCTGGTGGGGTACGAAGGTGCATAAGAACAGTATGTCCTATTCCTGTTTCGGTGAAGCACAGTGCTGACATTGTCCTCTAGCTGCCGATTGGGACGGCACCGGTGCTGCGTATTTGACTGCTCCTGCCGAAGGCTTTGGTCCCAGCACTTGGAAGCTATGATACAACCCCTGCTTCATCCGTATATAATCTAGTCCTTCATTCGCCTTACATACGCTTGAACAACATCGCCTCGTCCCGGCTTTTCCTGTTCATCTACATTATTTCCGGGGTCTTTAGTCTTTTTGCATATTCCCTTCTTCTGTACCAACTCGTTATCGTGGGATTCCTTCACTCTTTCCAAAATCCCTGCCATATACTATCTAGTTCCTAAGAAAGAGAGTACCAATGACAATGTTATCATATATAGTGATATCACTTACACCGCGTATACGCACAAGTTGGTCACAGCGTGCACAAAAGAGGTACTGATAAGTGATCGGTGTGCAAAGGGGAGTTTGTTTAACTCTTGCCCGGAATAGTCACAGCATCGCGGCTTCTCCTATCTTTTGGGATAGGATATGAGGCTGTATCGCTGCGCTCTGCGCACACTCGGGGAAATGGGGTGGAAGGCATTGCACCTCAATCTGAGGCATCGGAAGGTAAATTTGAGGGTACAGCGTGCAGCGAATGCATCGTACCTTTTGACTGCGGCCGCGACACTTGTCTTATATCTATGATATCTATGACATGTGACGCATTTACATCAGCCACGCCACGCGGTGCTCGACATTCCAGAGCCCTCTCTCTCAGCTCAACAGACAACAGCGCGATCACTTCTCGCCCGAAATATCCAGGTACGCTACGAGTTTAATGGTCTCTGTTGTGAAGCAACAGACCAGCATGCCAGCAACACGCTATGGCGCCATGTGCGATGGTGCAAAGGCCGGGAGTATCGCCCGCACAACCTCACTGTACGATCACAAGAGACTCTATGTGGAAAGGTCTGAGGTCGTCCAGCATCGTCTGAAGCTCGCGCACGATACGATCGTTTCGCTTGACTATCAGTTCTTCGTCGGGAAAGGTGGTAAGCGCCCGTTCTATGAATTCGCGCTCATATATTTCGGGCGTGTCCCCGATATGCGTGGTCTCAACCCTGCCGAGTTTGGAGTAGAGTCGGAATGGATGGGTTGAGGGACGATATTGTCGGGAAGGCCGAGCGGGTGGTAAGTGGCCAGCCAGTGGCGTACAGTCGGCGGGCCGGTCTGTAGATCCTTGAAGAGGGTTCATGAGGGGTGTGTACTTCCTGGGAGGAAGGGTGGGTAGAGAAGAGGGGATATGCTTTGGACAAGAGATGGAGAGAAAGCAGAGAGAAGACAGAAGAAAGAAGTTGCGCCGCTGGTGGAAGCTCAGGGAACGCTGGAGAAAAGCATAATAAAAGCAATAAGAATAACAATCAGGGCTGTGATTGCCGCAGTGGCGTTTTGCGATGAACCCATATTGGCGAGCGTTCGAGCTTGTCGAGATTGCGGCAGCATGTCGACATGTCGAGCAAGGTGTATGGAATATGGATATGCCATTTGGTGTTTGACAGGCTTGGCAGGATGTCCATGTGCGGCCCCGTGGTAGGGAGGGACATCCGCCACCCGCGTTGCCAGCGAAAAATCGCGTCGTGATGCATGCTGTCCAGGACTGAGACAGCCGTCCGCAGCCACGTCATGCAGAAGGCGCAGAAGCCCACAGAAGGGCGATAACCATCTCTGCCTGCTCCAAGAATGCTCCAAGAACAAAGATCCAAGAAGAGAGTTGTGGTCGGTTGATACATGGAGACTATCTACAGTACGCATACAATCCTTCCCATTCCAAATTTCTTCTTATCCATCCTCTCCAGTCTAGTACCCATTACCAATCCATCCACCTTGAAGCCCGAGAAAAGAGAAAGCCTGTGGTAGGGTGGGGGTGGTAATGATTTACCAGGGGTAGGCTATTAATAAGGGTTGGCTGGTTAGTGAAACGGTAGCGACGAAGGGAAGCAAGCCCGGGGGGGAAAAGGGAGAGAGGAGGAGAGAGGTTTGAAGAAGTAGGAGGAAGGCGGAGAGAAGAAGAAGAGGAGGGGAGAGGAGAGAAGAGTGAGCGATGAGAGCCAAGCACGAAAGGAACTTACCACCACCGGGGGCACCGAAGTTCTGGCCCTCAAGGGAAGGCTCAGCAGCGGCGGCAGGGGCAGCGAAGGCGGCGGGAGCGACGAGGACGAGGAGGGCAGCGACGTAGGTGGTGAAAGACATTGTTGTGGATTGGTTGTGTTTACAGGTGGTGTTTACAGAGAGTGATGGTGGGTGGAGAAATGAGGAGGGGACTCGGGGGGTTATATATGCGTGGGAGGGAGGCACGGGTGGAGGCACGGGGAGGGGGGGACTGTGCGAACACGGAGAGAAAACGCAGGGCAGATCGCACTAGTGGATGATATGCACACACCCTGCATCTCTTCGGCCGCTGCCGTACAAGATGTGGGCTGCCAACCCCAGTTTCCACCGCCCGGGCATTTCTCATCTGGGTGTTTACGCCCAGCTTCCTCAGCATGTCGGATGATGTGATGCGAGGATATTGCGCGGCAATGCTCGGCCGGCTCGCCCTGTGGCTGGAGGCACGAGAGAGATATTAAAGTTGATTACGGGTCCCTTTTCTAATCCCAAATCTTGGTTTCTCAGTGTTGCTCTCGGGTGATTGGCAGCTTTCTAGCCCAGCGCCCAGAAGGCGCACGTCATGCTCTCACAATTTCACTCAAATTCACAGGAAGAGAAGACGCTATGCTCCCGGCGTACGTATGCATTGGGTGCGAGCACGCTGAATCCAGATCTGCCCTCTTCTCCCGTTCATGAGGGTCTCAAAAGTATTTCCCCATTCTCACGGCCATCACGCATAACGCTGCTCTGGACTAGGTCTCTCTTCGGGTTGATGGCTGCGAAAGGAGGTGTGAATCACTCGGAGGCATTTTTTTGTATTTCTTGGCCGTGGTCACTCTCCTTGGCCCTGGGCCTTGGGCAGCTGCACCACTGTACTGACTGCAGATGTAGATGGAGTAGCTGGTAGCTGGTATCGCTGGCCTAGAACATATGAAGGGCACCATGGTGTAGAGGCGCCACGTTCAACGTCTCTGTTCGCAGCATCTCAGCCGAAATACATGTGATGCGCACAACAACAGCAACAGCTGACCACCCCGGATCAATCCCACACAGCCCACCGTCCTTTCCTCAGCCTCGGTCCCACGGCCTGATGCTGATTGTCGCCCTCGTGTCCCCCTTTCGTCGCAGTGTGGCAATTATCGCCGTGTGCTTCTGATCCGGCACATCCATTCATCCGCCACGGCCGCCCACCCCACCCGACGAGATACAGGCGGTCATCCCCACCTTCGCCATCCTTCTCTTACATCGGCTTCTCCCTATCTTCGGCCTTCTCCGATTCCCTCTTCACTGGCGCAAGCTGTTATCAGCTGGCTTTCGTATATGACCGTCGGATCCGTCCGAAAATGGGGTGCTGATAATATATGCTCACGTCGGACATGCGCGATGATAAGATCGACCGGTCTCCAAAATCCACCCTATATAAGCCGTCTCCTTCCTTCCCTCGTTCATCAACAAGAACACAAGCTCAAAGCACAAAGATGACAGTCACCATTGCCCGCAGAAAGATCCTCGGTATAGGCTACCCCAGATTCGCCATCCCTGAATGGCAAGCCCTCGCCGAGGCTTACGATATCCACTATTTTGTTCCCGATGAGCGAGAGCAGGTTGTCAGTGAGGTCAAGAGGCTTTGTGACCAGGAGGGGCCGTTCGATGCTGCCTACGTTGTAAGTACCTCTTCTATCTAACGTGGAAGGGAGACTAGAAAGGCTGATGAGAGTCATAGTTGTTCGGTACGGCAGCATACTCGCCTTTCCACCCCGACATGTTGAGCCCACTGTTCGATAAGCCCGGACACTGTGGTCTCTTTGCCCAAGGCGGTGCTGGCAAGTCCCCTATTTCTCTTTCCACCATCTCTAACTGACACCGCTACAGGATACGACGACGTCGACCACCCCTACCTCGCCGCCAACGGCTGCTATCTTTCCAACACCCCACGTGCCGTGACCGAAGCCACCGCCGACATGGCCATCCTTCTCATGCTCTCCGCTGTCCGTGGACTGTACGAGAGTGAGCTTAATGCGCGTGCAGGCAGGTGGAGGAAGGACCTGGCGTTGAGTGATGATCCGACAGAGATGACTATTGGCATCATTGGGCTCGGTGCGTTCTTCTCTTTGTGTGTGGTTACGAAAAAGATTAATGAAGGTGCAGGAGCGATAGGAAAAAGCATGGCGAGAAAGACAAAGCCGTGGGATATGAAGATCCTCTACCACAACCGTAAACCTCTTCCCAAAGAAGGTGCTTCTCTTTCCTCTTGTCCTCTTGACCTCGGGCTGACAATGCACTCGCAGAGGAAGAGGCCCTCGGCGCTACTTATGTCTCCCTCGACACCCTTCTCGCTCAATCCGACATCATCTCCACCAATTGTCCCCTCACGCCCGACACCCGCGGTATCCTTTCGGACAAGGAATTCGAAAAGATGAAGGACGGTGTCTTTATCGTCAACACTGCTCGCGTATGTCCATTATTCTCCTTGTAAAGACTGTAGGCTCATAGCGTTTATAGGGTGCGGTTATAGACGAGCCAGCTCTCATCCGCGCCCTCGAATCTGGCAAAGTCAAACGCGCCGGCCTCGACGTGCTCACCACCGAACCATGCGTCTCTTCACCGCTGTACAGCATGAAGAATGTCACGCTCCAGCCGCATGTAGGGGCCTTCACAAAGGGCACGATCCTGAGAGGAGAGAGGGAAGTGTTTGCGAATGTCAAACAGTAGTGAGTATTCCCTGATCATCATTCTGGTTTGGAAGGCGGCTGACGAGATGGGATAGCATGGAAACGGGTGTGCCGGTCAATCCTGTCAACAAACCTGTCAAGATCCACAAGTCTTCCTAGTCTTCTACCACATACTCGCAAATATACACAAATGCATCTTTATTTCGGAAAGATCGAGCAAGGATAAAACAAAGAGATGTCACTACTGTCTCAAAGATTGCGGGACAGTGGAGCATTCATGTTCCCTTATCTGATAAGAGTGAAGGTGATGGCGACGATAAGGAGTCGACTTCTGTCTTTCTGTTGGAATCCAGACCCATGTGTTCATATGCCGTCTGTCGTCATGTGTCCCCACTTTTTACGTTAACGCGGTGGGGCAAAGAGTATGACTCGATCCTGCTGTCAGTCCTCGTTGGTCGTGGGGATCGTCGGCAGAGCAGTCGGCAGAGCTCTCGGCAGACAGCACGCAGCACAGAGAGAAATATCGAAAACGTCAGTCGAATGTCGAGTCATTTCATTTATTTTGGGCCAAGATATCGTTGTGACTTGGGTTCATGGCTCGTGGACGGCATGCACCTCAAAGTGACTCAACCTTACGCCGGAGCGCCTCGCATGTCGCACCTCCTCGCTCCAAGCAGCCTCCACTGCGGCCACCGCCTCAAAGAATCAATCACCAATCACAATCACTGCTCATTTGACGCCCACGTTTCTCGCACAATAATAAGATTTGGAAGAACGTACAGAAGTATGTAACGAGTAACGAGAAGACACGATAACGGGAAGCACCAACAGACTTTGGGCGCAAGAGGCACGAGCACAAGGTACTTGAGAAAAGGCACGTTCCCTCGTGCTAGTGTGAGGTTCCAGGTACCGCGGCGGGCGAGGTTACATATTTCTTTCAACTTGCCTGAGCTATAACTTTTTGCCTCAAAAGTCCCATGGTATAATTGATTCTAATTGTCATTTGCCCATGATTTACGCCCGAAAATCCGCCGCATTCGGTATGATCGTCGTCTGCCCCTCGGTCCTCCGGCCGTTCCCATGCTTGCTCGTGAAGCGACATCGGAGCGCGTAGCAGCGGTCAAAGGCCGTGTCTTGCCTGATCTCGGGCCTCCGAGGACCGTGGGTGAGCACGAAAGATGGCACTGCCGAATACGCGACATGGGCAAGCAAGACGAGACTGACCATAAACGTGCGTCCACGCCGCGGGCGGAATGACCTTTATGTTGGACATACAGGTTACACACATGTTATACATCACGAAGTCTCCCCTATGCTATCCAATAGTACAAAAGTAATCCAAAACCATGATAAAACGAAAAGACACCCAGAGAGATTGATATGAAAACCTGAAAGAAACTGATGAAATCCCAGAATGTCCAAATGGTCGACTCTCATCTTACAGCAACTCGCCTATCATCAAGGGTGCTCGCTGATACCCTGCCCAAAGCCCACTTCGGGTATCCTCCCAATCCCTCCCGCGAGGCCATTGCTCCCGAGTCCGCTCTGCTGCTGCACTGAATTGGCAATGCCCCCTGACTGACCTCCATCTGGCAAGAGCCCCAAGAAATCCCATTCGGTCAACGAAGTATCGGCGGGAGGATTGCCGAGCCCTTCAGCGACAGGCGGCGTTGTGATGGACGTCGCCGCCTTCGGTACAGACGCCGAGGTCGTACCGGATGCCCCGGCCGTAGAGGTGGCACCCCCACCGCCTTGTCCCCCAACACCCGAGCTCAAAAAGTCAAAAGCATCCCCCTGGAAACCAAACTCGTTAAACAAGAATGGCCAGTCAACAAAGAGATCGTTTGGGAGTTGCAGTGCCTGTTTCGAATCGTCCTGGCTTTTCGAGTCATCCTGGCTTGGAGCGCCACCGGGCGAGAGCATAAAGAAGTTGCTCAAAGGACCTGGTGTGATGGTCCGCGCCACAGAAGGACTCGGCCGAGAGGAAGGAGGACGGAGAGGAGGAGGATGGTCGGAAGTCTGATATTGCGCATGCAGAGACTGACTCAGAGGTAGAGTGTTGAAAGCAGGAGAGAACTTGGGAGGGGTAGATTGGGTGGAAGATCCAGTGTTGGACCCAGCACTGGAGGTGTATACCGGCTGCTCTCGTCTTGGCTGAACTACTAGGTCTTGCGACTTGTTCAAGCCAAGATCGTTGGGACCAGAGAAGGGAAGGGGCAACGACGCGCTCAGAGACGAGGCAACCAGCGTCGGGAGTTGAAAGGTGCTGCCATTGCTAGGAAGTACACCGGCGCTAGACGGGGGCGTGGCAGCAGGGTTGGCCGCACTTTTGGAAGCGGCAGTAGATGCAGGGTTCCGGAGAGGGAATGGCGTGTGATTGGTAGCAGCTTTGATTTGCGGGACGAGGTCGTGCTTGTTCTTTTGATCATTGAATGCCATCGTCTGTGACACTGTCAGACAGATTCCAATAGAAGGCAGCGCACTTACAGCAGCGATCCCTTTACCTCCATTCTCCGCAGCGTTCGCCATATATTTATCGATCCTCTCCACATGCTCCCTCAACTTTGGCGCGATGCCGTTGGTAGATGTCAAATGCGACTCGAGCGAGCGGAGCAAGTCGGCGAGGGAAAGCAAGACAGTGCGGACGTGCATGTATCCGGAAGGTGAGAGAGGGGAGTGAATGATGGAAGCAAGCAGATGACCGACGCCAGCGAGATGGTGCAGAAGGGGAGTGCTGATGGCTTGGATGTAGGCGCGGGGGACGGTAGCAAAGGCGTCCAAGAGCTCGCAGGCAATGGCGCAGCGCTGTTCAACAGACCAATCTGCCATGCCGGCGACAACCATCTTGACTGTCTGCATGGTCACCAGAATGTTGGCAGCTACAAGCTGTCAGCAACCATTCAGACATGGTTATAAGACTCACCTTGGAACCCATAGCGATCTCTCTCTACATCCCCAGTCATCTCACTTGTTCCCTTCAACTCGGGAGGCAGATCGTTGTACAGCTTCTCCACCATCACCAAAAGTTCGCTTGGCTTGAGCTCTGCTTGCGACCCGACGCGGCCATCCAAAAACATGGCAGCGATTTGATTGCCGGCATCGAATGTGTGGTTCCGGGTTCGAAGTCGCGAAACGGCGTGTTCCAGAATGCGGTACAAATCAACCGTAAAGTTCCAGCCTCGAAGAAAAGACACCTGTCGATTGCTACTGGTCGAGGCGACTATACCGGTCGCAGTAATCTCCTCATCTGAAAACACCTCAGTGGGATACAAGACTGTCGATTGAGATTCGCGATGGCGAATGATACCGCCCCAGGTTGTAGCCGCGTAGACGTCGAGCTGGTAAGCGAGCCAGAACTAAAGTATGTTCAACGTTGTTAATCCAGCTATTGTCAAGACAAACATATGATGCCTACCAGTCTGCGGCGTTCCTGGACTTCGATTTCGTTGAGATCGCACGGCCAGCGACACTCGTTGTGGAACCCGTCAATGGCACACATTGTCATGTAGTCTCCAACATGGGCGTGGACACTGGGAATATCACCATACTGGATAGCCAAAGTGGCCAGAAGGGGCTTTGCGCGTTTGTAGTCAAAGTCCATCGCCTTGGTGAGATCACGAGGGAAAGACGCGACGGCAGCCTGGTAGAACTGCTCTGAAGTTGGCTGAGCGCCGTTAGCTTCGAGAGGGTTGGGTGCCGCGGCAGTTCGAGCGCTGGGAGACGTGGGCGCGCCATCACGCAGCCTGGCCGAGGCGAGGGCGCAGACCGACATTGTCAAGGCGTGAAAGGCAGGGTAGGTCATGTAGACGCGTCGGCGGATATTCGCAATGAAGGTGGGCCAGTGAAAGATGCTGTAACTGTGAGACGGACCGGGTTAGCCGGGAAACACGTTGAATCAGAGAAGCAAAGGACGCACATGGGATACACGATGGCATAGTATGCGTCGACGAGTGACTCGATCTGCTCGTGGGTTGCGATCTCACGATACGACCAGTTGTCGTTGGGAGAGGGCAGAGACCATCGCGCGAGAGGGGCATTAGAGACAGCTTGTCCTTCACGCGACTTTGCGGGAGGCTATGATACCAGGAAACGAGTCAGTATGGATTTAAAAGCACAGACCAATCCACGAAGCGAGACCAACTCACTCCACGTCTTTTCATGGGCCTGTTGTAGGTACAGTCAGAACCAAAATCGGCACAGGGTGCACAGACAGAAGGGTTCGTCCCGCCCGCACACTGATCGACAGATGGTCGTTCGTTAGCTAGTTACTTGTGCAGCAGGAAAGAAGGGCGCACCCGAATACCTCCACGGTGACACCTGTCGCACGCTCTCTATGATGGGTTGTGTCAGCACTTTGCTAGACCCTCGTGCATGGCAGGGAAGTTTCGTGCTGCGTTTTGTCGCGGGAAGAGACCCCGGAAGGTGTAGCGATGGGAGGGAGATACGCACAGTGATACGCCTTCTCTTGAGGGGCTGCTGTGGGGGGGAGTCCTGCTTGCGGGTGTCATTGCTCATGCTGGACAAGGAAATGGATGCAGTTGAATTAGACTTAATTCCCATTCGCGGGGCAAAAAAGCCCAGAGGGGCCGCCACCCTAAGCGACCCCACCCCACACAGCGGCATCCCCCACCACATTTGCTTCCGCGCATCTTTTTGGTTTCAACAACAACGAAGGGCCGCTACTTTATTCGTCACTCAACATCACTCAACATGGCGTGCGGCAACCTTCCGGAGGGGCAGGGCACAGAGAACGAGGAGCAGGTCAACATGCCTCGTCAGTCTGCTCAAAGCATAATCGCCACTCGCTGACTCTTCTAGGCCGCAGAAAGGTCCGCCGTGCGGACAAATCAATTTGTCAGAAATGTCAGCAAGTAAAGAGTCTTTACATATTCCGCAACATCACATACTGCAAGTGCGTAGCCAGAATACTTCTCAGGTGTGTAGCTGATCCCTTCTAGGCCGTGCTTGGAAGCAGCCATCTTTGCCCGAATAACCAAATCGCTTCATCCGCCTCTGAAACCCCAAAGATCGACAAGTCGTATGGCGGCTACGAGCGGACACCGCCCCCCATCCCAGTCAGGATCGGCGCTCGCCTGTCTATCTTCTGGTTGCGGAAGCACCACCATGCTCGATCTCTTGCTTTCCAAACAATACATCGGCAAAGGCGCCGGTATCCCTATCGACCGGACCAAAGGAGAGAAGGAGCCTATATGGAGCAAGGGCTACGTCGTCTATGTTGAGTTCGGCGGCGCTTTGAACGTCGAAGAGAGAACCAAAGAGATAAGGGAATGGGTCGAGCAAAGGCAAGAGGGGCTCGAGTTTATCGGCGTGCGGGCGGAGGACGTCTACGATCCTGCATTCAAGTCTCGCTTAAGGCAACTGGGTGGGGCAATCGATGGAGAAGAGGTGTCCGATATTCAGCCTCTTTCAATCAACCTCAAAGATTCTGATCTTCCCCTTTTCCCTGTCGCTTCCAGCACATCCACGACTACTCCTCTAGATCAACTACGCACCCTTCTCGCTTCCCTTCCCCCGGCTTCCCGACCTCAGATTTTGTCCCATATCCTCTCATCGCTCGTCACTGCTGTTGCCCATGCACTGCCCAACATCTCTCACGTCCTTCTAGGAGAGACATCCACCAGGCAAGCGCAGAGACTTATCTCTGGAACAGCATCAGGTCGAGGATGGCAATTGCCTCTCGAACTGTCTGCCGTCCGAACGGAGCCACCAGTGGCTGGAACAGAATCGCGAGGGCTTGTCTGGCTGAAGCCTCTCAAGGATTTGACTACGAAGGAGGCCGCTGTCTACTGCCACATCAAGGGGCTGAGCCAGTGGACGAGGAACGATAGGAAGTGGGAGGTGGCCGGGCCAGTTGGGAAGAGAGATGCTAGAGGGAAGGGTGGTGTGGCTAGTCTTGAGATGCTCACTGAGCGTGAGCCAATACACCCTTCATCAAAAGACACTGCTTATGATCATGACAGAGTTTATCGCTGGTTTGAGCGTCACCCACCCGTCAACTGTATCGACCATCAACCGGACTGGTGACAAGTTGGTGTTCCCCGGCAAAGAAGAGGAACGGCCGCATTGCCCCGTGTGCCAACTGTGAGTATCGTACAGTAGATTTGGATAGAGGCTTACGCGATGACCGCAGACCCATCGACCCCTCAGCCCTCGAATGGAAATCTCGCACAGGCCTCACCTCCTTACCCACAAAGTTGAACCCTATGCCCGCCTCTACTCCTTCCACGCCTGAAGCAACACTCGCTCCTCTTCTGTGCTACTCTTGCCTTACGACGTTCACACCTCCTACGGTCGTCTCCAAAGCTCGGCTGGCAGAGGAGGGCAATGTAGAGAATGTGGCGCTTCCGTTGTGGATCAGGGAGGGAGTGGAAAGGCGGAATGGCGGAGGAGCGGGTATGCCAGTGGGGAGGGAGGCGATGAAAGAGCAGATCAAGGACTTCTTGATTGGTGAATGACGGGTGTATGTAACCGTTGAACATGCATACTTCATTTTGAGGACGATGGCCTCGAGCTACCCAGATGCATACGTACAGTAGAGTACGAGTACACACATCACAGACAGAAGTTCAGAAATGCTGTCCCGTTCAGGCTTCTTCTTTCTCCTGGACCCGAGTCTCCTCTCGCCGTCGGGTAAATTTGGTTCCGTTTCGGCTCACTCTTGTTATTTTTGCAACAACTTGCTATGCGCCTCTATCATTCACCGAAACCTTGCTTGTCTCAAAACTACACTCGGACTCGCTCTATCTTATCCCTCGCTCCCTAATTACCGGCTTCGATAATCCCAAAAAATCTCCACAATGGTCCGCTTCAAGAACCGATACCTCCTCGTCGAGTTCCTCGTCCCCGGCTCCCTCAGCCCCTCTCTCACTCCCGCCGGACCCTCAGACCTGAACGCTTCCTCGACAGAAGTACCAGCCCAGACCGGGGATGAAGATGAAAGCGAGGACGAAGACGAGCTTTTGCCTATACCGACTTTACCCTTCATGCTGCCTGTGGTCTTGCCCGAGCTCAAGACAGGTGATAAAGATGAGGGCGGGCAGGTTGTGTATAGAGCTATCAAAAACCTTGTCTTGAACGTATTCGGAGATGAAGGATGGGGACGGATAGCCAGCAGTTTCCGAGGTGAGCCGCTGGTCTTACAAATCATGGAAAACCAGCTAATGTATTTCAGTTATCTATCATTCTCCCCTCACCACTCTCACTTTCATCCGCATAGCTCGCCACCACTACCGCCTCCTCTGGTCAGCCATAACCCTGTTGACCACCCTGGGCCCCAACAACGTCCCCATAATACCACGCGTCCTCGCTGTCTCTGGAACTATCAAAAAGCTCCAGAACACCGGGACCGCCTATCATCGGGCGGTGGTCGGCCAGCTGGTCAGTGCGGGTGTTTCGGGGGCTGCTTTGAGTGGGAATGGGGGGCTGAATTGGGGGAGAGATGTAGAGCGGGAGAGGCAGGATATTGGGCGGTTGCAGGAGGCTTGAGACGGATGGGGGACGGTTTACGACTTTTTACGAATCCACATGAAGCGCCAATGCATTGGACGCATAGAGGAGACCGCGGACCAGGCGAGTATCTGGCTGATAACTGAACACCTCACGACACTGTTAGAGCATACATGGTTAGAGCCGCTGAGGGATGTCACTCGGGCTCGGGCACAGTGGCACTGCGCAAAACCCTCTCAAGCCAGAATGCAAGAACGTGTAAAAGCTCATTGAAAAGATCATGATAACATGTCGACGTTCCTGTACAGGTGCTATACACTCGCGGGATCGCTGTGGAGACGTACCTCCTTCCGTATATGGACATCCCTTCGACGACGAGAGAGAAACCGAAATCAATCAACACTAGGTACTCTTAATCCTCTCGAGTCTTTTCATCAGGCTCTGCGACTACCCACAGACCTCCCTGTCAAGTAATCAGCACACATACCATGAAACCTGATGACACAACGTACCTTCACCGCCAGAACAACATCAGCGACGATCCACACCTTGTCTCTGCCACCTCTCAGCCGCCCATCACCCCCATCTTCGCTTTTCCAGCTGTCAGGGATTGTCGACCCCGGCGGTTGGGCTTCTGGCGAAAGGCGAAGAGTGGCGTTCGCAGTAGAAAGGTGGCGAGAGAAGTGAGCGATGAACGAATGAGCTGCTGTCAGAGCAAAGGGCTGGCCGAGACACTAATGGCGTGTCAGCATTGAAAGTGCTTGATGAGTTTAGGTCAGGCGTACCATTCTCGGCCCGATATTCCAGCTCGTGAATCCTTCCCTCTGCAGCTCTGACCCATGCATCCACCTATCCGGCTCAAACACCTGTGCATCCTCTCCCCAGACTTTCGGGTCGCGCTGCATGAGGATAGTAGCGAGGATGATGGAGGTGTTGGCAGGCATATATGATGGAATGGGGGTTGGAAGGATTGAGGGACGAAGAGTGCGCCGTATGCTATCGAAATTAGTATGCTATTAGGTGAGGTATGGTCCGGCTCACTTGAGAGGCACTGGCGGAAAGAGACGGAGAACTTCGTTTATGAAAGCTCGATCTACATGTCATGAGCGTCATGGGACTGACAGTTGACTCTGTGCTCCTCACTATATCTCATCTCACGAGTATGGTCCTTGGTGATTTCACCTTGCAACCCGCAGACGGAAACCACCTCGTTGCGGACTCTGAGCGCAATCTCTGGGTGAATAGCCAAGGCGTACACGCAAAAGGTCAAGAGAGAAGCGAGCTGTTGTGCGCTGTGTGAGACGGGCAGTGCAGTATTGGCAGCCATAGACGTACCGTATCTCTGGATGCCAATAGTGTATTGATCAGTTGATCTTCAATATCCTTTTTGCCTTGAAGTCATCAGCACGAGTACCGAAAGCACACTTGATCTCCTCACTATCGATAGCATGTACAAGGCGATCGATCAGTAAATAAGCGCTGTCATCCTTCGCGTTTGCGAGTTTTTCCTTTCGCTCAAGGGCTTGCGATATGATGGGACCAAAGAATGTCCGTATGGTTTTCATAGGCTTCTTGAGAGGGTCACCTGTGAGTTCAAAGAGAGGCTAAGAATGGTATCAGCTTCTATCTGGTTGACATAACGTCTGCATCCTACCCAGAGAGTCCCAATCTTTACTCGTTTACCAACAACCCTTTGGGCATCGGACATGGCCTGTCCAATGTTTGTTTGAGCGTCCTTCCATTCTGCAATGTGATCCTCCCCAAGCTCTGAAGTGAGATCTGTCCCACAAAGCCACATGATAGACATCTGGAGCGAAAGCTGGCCTAGCTCGGCCTGTATATCGAAGGGTTTGCCGGGTTGTATACTGGAGATATAGTCATCGATACTGCGCGAGAACCGGGAGGGACGAATGAATGTTGGATGGAAGAATGGACGAAGGAGAGATCTATGCTACGATAGTGAAGAGAGATCAGTAAAGAGCAGACGAGGCAAGACAAAACCAACATGTCTCCACATTTGACCGTCGGAATTGAATATACCGTCACCCAGAAACTCTTGAGCCCTGTCTTTGAATTTTTGTCCTTTCACGAAATTGTCAAAGTCGCCAATCAGGACATGTCTGAAGACTCGAGGGTCGGTCGTCATAATCTGGGATCATCAGCGTAATGTAGTCCCAGACGACACCTCACTAACCTGATCCTCACCAAGCACTCGGGTATTGTAAGTTCCGCCGTAACGTCTCTCCATAAGTACCATCATCCGCCCCACTTCCTCTTCGCTACCGCTCTTTGCCCAGTCCCATAATACGTCTAGATTGAGCGGCCATCTCCCCTGGACACGAGGGATGTTTACAGCTCTCAATTGTCGAGCTGATCGAGCGGATAGCTCTGCTGACAGATGTGATCGCAGGATGAAGAGTACAGTAAACGACGAGATATAGGCGAGGACTTTGAGCGCGAGGGGGACGAAAGGCAGGGCTCGAAAGAGAAGAAAGACGATAAGGGGCGGTAGGAAGAGGGTCTTCGCCAGTGCTGGGAGCAGAAACCGTGCACCCTTCATTGTGGGAAGAGCAGCAGCGCCGAGAGCCGCATCGTCCTTGCTGGTCGCACAAATGAATGCAGAGTGAATGGCAAGATTCTCGAGCGGATCAGTATTTGGTGTTCACCGCCGGCCGCCGAATAGAAATGGAGGCATTCCGTATTCTAGGCTCAAGGTGATGTTGAAGCAGATGTTTTGCCGGCACCTGTCCTGTACATGCGGCGACTGAGCATTGAGAAGGAGCAGGCGTACTTGCGCATTTCTTCATGTGATGCTGGTACTTGTATATATGATGGGAAGCCATACTAAATTGCGTGTATTTAATGAGAACAATTATCGCAGCAGACCAAAAAAGCACAGCTACCGTACTCTATGTACTTGTATGATGAGTATGTTGGATACAGTATGGTACAGATATAGTCCAGAAGATGAGTCACAACGGTTCACTATAACGGATTAGGTCCTCTCGCCTCATCATTGAATTACACACTCGCTCTTCCCGCTTTCTCTTTCAACACCGCTCATAGTCCTGACTCTCTCCATCTCCTGACTCTTCCTGTTGTCTTTCGCCATTGAATTTCTACGGTAACCTTGGAAGCCAGAAGTGACCCCTCTTGCAGGACCCTCTTCCAGATCTCCATACCCAGACGTACTGCTATAGAACGATGATCGGTTCTGCAGGCTTTCGTTATGTGATCCTTCAGACGTGTCTGTGCTTTCTCTAGGGCTCGACTGATGATATCGGTTTGCAGAAGGGGATGCCGTGTCCTGCCCACGCGGACTGGCAGATAGTGATGCCCGTAGATCAATTTGGGATTGTCGAGGAGGTGAAAAGGCTCGAGACCGTTTCAGACCCAGTAGGATCTTGCCAGGAAGAGCTCCGAGATGCCCGTCTCGGCCATCGAAGCTCGCTCTGGGGGTTGGGGTCCCTGTGGCCCCCCTGATTTCTGACGTCTGCTGCTCCTGTTGGCGTTTGAGGATAGCTAATTGCTCATGGACGTCACATTTGGGCATGGCAACACTCTCGCAGGACGTGTGGGCGATCATTCCACAGTCCTGACATAGGACACCCTTCTTGACAAGGGAATCACAGACTCTGCAGGCGATAGCTGCATCTTTGTCAGCTTCATCTGACAGCAACAAAAGACACGCACCTTTCCCGAAAGTCGTCTTCACAAGAACATGCGCCTTGGTCGGGGTATTGGCTTCTTTCTGAACCGGAGTGGCCGGCGGTTCAGGGGTCTTCCCGGGAGTGGTGTCGCTCTGTTGGAAGAGCTGCGTGCTGCTTGTACGACGAAAGTCCATACTGACCCTCGACAGAAATGGGAGACTGTCTTGCGAGCGCAGTGCCGTCTACCCGATGAGTTAGCGTTTGATAGTGGCTAGCAGCGGAGGGCGTACCAATTGAGGATTCAACGACGTCAACCATCTGTGCTCGAAAAGAACAGCAGCGGATGGCCGAGTATCGGGGTCTTTGGTGAAGCAGAGGCGTAGAAAGTCTGCAAGGTCGTCTGAGATGCCTGAAGGAAGGGGAGGCATCTCATCTTCAACGATGCGAAACAGAACTGACGAAACATTAGCAAATAGAGCATATCAAACGAGACGGAAAGCTCACCGGTCATACTGTTGTGTACGTCACTATACGGCGGCTTGCCAGTAAGCAATTCGATGACGGTACAACCAAGAGACCAAATATCGGACGAAAATGATGCACCCGCCAACGAGATGACTTCGGGCGCCACTGTGATTGATCAGCGGTCAGCTCACGATGATACAATATATGCTGAAACTCACTCCAATTCGGTGTGCCAGCTACTTCCGACGCATGCCGTGCCCCAGCTTTCCCAGCGGTCTTGGCCTCTTGCTTCATGTTTTCCAGAGCTTTCATGTTGAGCGAGACACCAAAATCTGACAGCTTGATGTTGCCGGTCTTTGTCGACAAGATATTGGCCGACTTCAAATCACAATGGACGACACCTTGAGAGTGCAGATAGTTCAAGCCCTCCAATATCTTTGCAACATAGGAGGACACCAGTTGCTCGTTGAAAGTACCAAAAGCCTTTAGGGTCTGACCCAAAGAGCCATTCTCGACGAACCTGAGTCATGGTCAGCCGTGATACAGAAAAATGGAAGCAACGTACTCTAGAACAATGTTCAGGTATTGATCATCCCTAGACATCCCTTCGTACTTGACGATGCTGGGGTGGGACAGCCTTCTCAGCAGCTCAACTTCTCGCATGACATCCTTAACCTCGTTCTCTGGCATGCCGAATAGCCTGATTCGTTTGATAGCAGACATTTGTCCAGTCCCAAGATTCAAAGATCGATAGACAGATCCAAATTGACCGCGTCCGATACAGTTACCCAATTGCTAGGCTTCGAGTCAGCAAGTCACATAACCATGTCAATAGAGATCTCAGCTTACATATCTGACAACGGGCTCGCCTTTCTCATGAAACTCCAGAACTTGCAGACTTTGACTCGTCCGCGGACTTTTGACGGCACCTGAAGGTGAGGCTTCTCTTGAAAGCATAGAATGGGAGCTCACATCGACCATGCTGCTGTTTCGTGGTTGTCTGGGGCGCACGGGAGAAATTGGTTCTGGTGACGCGGGCACAAAAGTGAAGCTGTGATGTCTTGTGCCCCTCTCAGTCGGCCGCACAGCTCGGCTGACGATCTGAGGTGGGGGACTGGTCCCACGAGTGAGTCTATCTGAAAAGTGGGTTGAAGACAATTCCGGCGTTGGAGATCCAGAAGAAAGATGGGGAAAGGCCACGCCGGTCGGCGTACTGACGTTAGACGCGGGCGATAAAGACCTCTTGGGGATATAGAACTTGCCGCTTGCACTGACCACCCTCGTGAGGCGTTCGGGACGCTCGGGAGAGGTGGGAGCCAGAGTCGGAGACGGCTTGATCCTTGGAGACCCGGAGCTTTGGGTGTGCTCGTCCTCTTCTTTGACAGGATCAACTTCTTGCCTTGCAACCTCTCTAGTGGAACATCGACGATTTGAAGGCCGAGGTCGTGGGGTGGGATCTGTTTTGACCCGAGGGGATGCGCGTCGGCCTTCGAGAGCCGCAAGAGAGGTCATCAATGCCTCGTCCTCTGCGCTGTTCATACTGTTATTCGTGACAGAGTTTCGAAGGTCTTCTGGCAGATCTTCGCTGCTCAGGAGCGTCCCCAAGATCTTCTGCCTCGCATTCTGCAAGGCAGTCCCACTCATCCGGCGTTCACGCATACGGGCACCATCCTGATCCACTGCAGCCTCAGTAAGATCTACAGCATTCGTCTCATCCCCACCAAGCATCGTAGCTGCGACCGAGAACGTCCCGCTGGAACGGGTCCATGCCGACGTCGGCCGTGAATCCGAGCTGATCAGACTGGGGGTCCGCTCACGTGAATGAGTCAGAAGTGAAGGTTGAGATGACCTATTCCCGGTGTCCGAGGATGCGGAGGGCACAGATGTGGAGACTTCACTCGCGAATGACACCGACGCTCTGGATCCTGTGGTGTTACGAGGACGTAACACAGGGCGCACTTGGAGATTCGGGGTCCTTCCTACAGGTGTAGTGCTTCTGGACGACGTGGAACGGACTGGTGAGATCGGAGACGCTGGTGGTGATTTCGGGCGGATTGTTGGAGACAAGATAGGTTGAGTCGTCGAGCGAGGAACAGGCGACGGCCGTGTCGGGGTACTGGCAGGTTTGGCTGACATCATAGATGAAGGGCTAGTGATCTCGAAGATCGGTTGCTTTGGGGTGGGCGGAGGGCTGTTGGTCGGCGTGGCATTACTCATTCGAGACCCAGGACGACTAGCCGGTCGTGACCCAACGGGAGACTTGGAACGGGAGGGACCAGCGATACGAGCCAGTGCAACGACGCTTGCCGCAACCTTTCCCAGACCGAGCTCCGAGCCTCCCTTCAAGTCTGGCAATTCGAACGACTCTCCCTCCTGCAAACCGGCGGTTTGACAGGCGGCGATGAAGCGTGTCACGTTGGTCGAGCGATTGATGCCATCTTCTGAGATGTTGACTCGGGTGATATGAGCCGGGCTATATGGGAATAGGTGGTTGAAGAGGCTACAAGAATAGTCAGTCGCCAATCAACGTTGATCGCAGCACACTCACAAGCACAACAGTATACCATCTCGCATGGCTTCAAGCCAAGCCTTTCTCTCCCGCTCCTTGGCCCTCTCGCCAACATACGCAGCTCGAATCCTCGTCTCCATCGGAGCTGTAGTAGCTTGTGCTTGCCCTGGCTGAGAATCGTTCAAGGTTCCCGCGGCCTTGACCCAATCCGACCCCCAAGCCCTTTCCATCCTGACCAGGACTGCCAGCCGTTCATCCGCTAATCGCCTGATCTCTGAGCCCTTGTCGCCTTGTACAAAGCTGGACCCTCGGACGACAGGCGTTAAGGATTTGACAATGAAGGAAGTCGAAAGGCGTAGGAGGTAGTGTTCTCGAGAGAGGGGAGGGGTTGCAGCGGGCGGTAATGCGGCAATGTCGGACGCTTGTCTTGCATGAGTAGGTACGTAGGGAGGAGGGAGGGGTGCAGGGAGAGAATTGGGTCGCCTGACTGTGCTCTGTGAGACACGCACAGTTGGTTCAGACGCTGGTAGAGGGGCCCTGGACGACGTAGGCGATTGGGGAGGACGATGGGAGGGCGGAGCGACGCTTGATGTCGGGGGAACTGGGACCGACATGGGAGAAACGGGGGTTCTCGGAGTACGCAAAGTTGGCGAGACCGCACCAGGACTTATAGTCCGCTGAAGATCTTCGACTGTCACTTTGGTCTTGAGCCCTCGAGCCGGACTTTTTGTCGTTCTCGCCAGATCATCCTCTGCCTTCCTGTACGTCGCAGGGACGCTACTCTTCCTCCGTGTTGAAGGATGAAATAGACCTGACAAAGCGTGCTGCGGTCCCTTCTTCGGATTGATGGTGGGCACCACATTCGGGTCTTGCTCCTGCATTTGATGCAGAGCCGACGTCGACATGGAACCTCTCGAAAGCGACGGCGGCTGCCATTTCCCATCATCACCCTTTTGCAATCGAGGTAGCACATTGGGATTAAAGCGAATGTGCTTTCTCATATCCACAGTGGGCACTGATGGACCCAACTGCGATCCTTTTCTCGTCTGGTCCGCTGCCGACGACCTGCCATGGACATCTTTCGATAACGTCCGCCTTCTTGTGCCGAGGGTTTCTGTCGGCTGACCCGCATTGCCTTGCCTAGTGGGCGCAAGCTTGGATCCCGGTCCAGTTTTGCTCGCGGTATCGCCCATGAAAGATTTGAACCGAGACCGACCAGCAGGCGCTTCACCCGGCGGGGGCGACGTGACTCTGGTAAAGAAGCTCTTGAGTCCTCTGCCAGTCGGCACATGTTGTTCGTTGCTGTAGTGTTGTGTGGAGGCGGCGGTGGGGGAGGCATAGTGGGGGTCCGGCATGACAGAACGGGCTTCACATGGAGGATGAGGCGGGGAGTAGGGGACGTTTTCTCTCGGTCGAGGTGTTAGTGTGGTGATCATAAGATGGTACAGTCATTAGGATGTCGTCGGGTGGTGTGACCAACTAGACAGTCTTTGACCACGCATGTCAGCGATCAAACACGGCTTGATAAGCTTTGTAGGATGTGCTCACTGTCCGGGGTGTCGCAATACACTTGAAATGGTCTTGGATGTTCGTAATAGGATCGTATAAGTCGTGTGGTCACTGTAAGAGTCTTGAAACCAGACAGTCGTCAGCGTCGAGCCTCGCGCAAGGTACATGACCGTTGAAGCTGGTCGTCAGAGAGACAATAGAAAAGGCCCGCGAGCTCCTTTGGCGGTCGACCAGTGATGAATACGAGCAACACATGGCCGATGGCGGCCATGCTCAGTGTGCTGGCTGCGACATATACCACCAGCACAAGGCACACCGGAAGCCAAGCCTCGGCCAGTCTATGCTTTCATACGACGGATGGAAGTGCTGGGCTAGAAGAGGAGCACGTATTCGAGAGCCTATGCGTAAGAAGCCGGCAAGGGAAGCTGACTCACCGTGATATATGCGTGACAAGCAGTTGAAGCTGTCTGATACACGTCAGTATGCCATGAAAACTTTCCTTCAGCAAGGCTCCCGATGGCCGATGGTCGCTAGCACCTACAATGGGGCATGGACACCTTGCAGAACTGCCTTTAGGTGCCTTACTCCCGGGAGATCATACCTTGCGAGGACAAGAATGGGAACAAGTGTGGATGGAGATGGGAAGAGAGAGATGCGATCCCATAATGTTGCGGCCGCCTGCACTACGAGGTGGAATAGCCTTTGATTAGCATGAGAAGAAATCAACCGCCTTCGTCATTCTTGCCCTGAGTTTGGTCTTGCCGGCCGTTTGTTGACCGGTCCAAAACGCCATCAACCTATCTGGTCGCCGTTGAAACACAGGTTCGGACAGATTCGTGATTGCTTTCGGGATGGAGGCGGTGGCCTTGGCCAGGAGCAGCAGAGAGCAGAGCCGGGGCAGACGAATAAGAGGGAGGGAGGGACATGATGCACATACACTCTTCCCCGTTCCCGGAATCGACCCTGACGGCACGATAAGGGTGGCAAAGACAGTCACCTTTCGAGCCTCTGGACTTTCCTGCAAGAGTCCTGCACTTGGCGCACTGTAGATTCCCTCCGTTTTCATTGCCCAACCTTATAATGACCACGCGACTGGCAGTCACTCCTGGTCATTTGGTTCTGTTCACTCACGATCCATCTCTGACGTCTGCATCCCTCTCCGTTCTCTAAGCCGCTTCCCGCTATCCACGATCCCGGCTTCACGGCCCAAGCACCACGCATGCTTTCCAGTCCTCGAAAATGCCGACGGGAGAGACGCATCGGAGGACCTTCGTCCGCCGTGATGGTCGCTTGCCTTGACTGCCCTCATATTTCTTGGTAGACCGGCAAATGAATCGCGTTGCATCCATCACAAATGCATTCTATATCTGAATCCGAGTCAGCTTCCAGGAGTATGGAGAGTGCACTGCATGGTAGAGTAATACCAGAGAGAGAAGACTGAAGAATCATGGTACAAAATGAGATACAGCCCAGGGTAACCCCAGACTAGCCTGAGTCTGCACGGACGTAAGGGCAACGCATCAGACATGTCCGCGACTCAGAATCAAGAAGTCGTCAAGCCGTGCATAGGCACCAACTCAGACGCGATTCCAGATATCGGGACGGAAAGAGGCAGAGATGAGGACGCACCTTCTTGTATATGTATGCCCCAGTTGCACATCATGAGGGAGTACGTTCTCCTGTCGATGCTCTTGTCCTCGTCCGAATCCCGCCTCAAAGCACCCCTCCCTCACCAACATCTCAGTGCTGGAAAGTGAAAGAGGAGGAGGTCCGTGCACGAACGCGACGCGACGGCGGGATCAATTACCTCCACGTGGCATTCTCGTTATCAGGAGCGACGATCGTCGGCCCCCTCCTTGCAGCCTCAGCTGTTGCGGCCGACGGTGACATCTTTCAACATTCTTCTCAAGTAATCGCCACATCTCCCACTGTTACCCAAGAGCTATCCTCTACAGCTCAACACCTCACCCCATCTAACAACAACTTCCAAAAAGAATGAGTCTTCCAGCAGCTCCCGACAGGCCTAGCTGGCCGTCAATGGTTCTCCGCAAGTGCAAGGAGCAACCTGCCGTCCCACTCGGTTCGTGTCTGTGTCTCCGCGTTCGGTTGACATGGCTGACGCAATGAACAATTAGGTGCCGGGGCTACTGTGGTCGCTTTGCTTGGTGCTACCTATCACTTGCGAAGGGGAAACCGTAATCGATTCAACCAATTCTTGAGGTGGCGTATCTAGTGAGTGGTCGTGTGCTAATACCATGCCGATACTGACGCTCCGTAGTGCCCAAGGACTCACCGTCGCTGCTCTTATGGTGTACGGTATCAATGAAATGAAGGAGAGAGAGGCCGCTGGCATGATCGAACGTACACCCAACAACAAAAGTCAGTACCGGAGCAGGCCGGCGACGGAGCGGATGCTGATTGTCCTATAGTCATGGTCTACCCGCAAACCCCGCAACCAAGAATCGTCGATCAAGTCGAGCCCATCGTCATTAAGCCTGCTACCCCTTCATCGTTGCCTGCCTCATTATCGACAGTTGTTGACTCGGATGCGGAAGACAAGACTGCCAGTGCCTACCCGCTGAGGAAGGAGGAGAGGATGAGTGTGTCCGACTTTGCCAAGAGGCTGAGAGCGGCTGAGGCTCTGCACAAGGAAGAAGAGAATGCGAAGAAAGCTTAAGGGATGGAAGACGAACTATAATCAAGCACATCTTTTGTAACAGCTAGCAGTCATTGGCATGCATTGATCACTCTTTTCATCGCTGATGTCTACAATGGTGCCGTGTATACGTTCTTAGAAGAATAGTTGAGATGCTCTTGATCTGTTTGTACATACAACGTATTTCGAAGTGGAGGTTGACCGGCGACACGACTTTTGAAACGCGTCCGACTTCAAGACAGATTCCCACGTTGGAATTCCGTCTTGGCATAGCCATCTTTCACAGAGAACTTACAGTGCCCCTGATCGAGCCACCCCGCTCTCAAACCCACTTGCTCCATGCACAAGAACAACCCATACTCGGAAAAGAAGCCAGACTTTGCTCGGCTAGCTTCGCGGTACCCATCCTTCGCCCCCTTGTACGTTCTTCTTCCGGTCACAACACTTGTGCTGACACGGTTGATTTTCCAGCGTTACTGTATCTGACTCAGGGATTCCCTGTATAGATTTCAAGGATCCACGAGCTCTGAAGGAACTCACCCAGTGTCTTTTGAAAGAGGATTGGACTTTGGATGTACAGGTCAGAGACGATAGGATATGTCCTCCGGTACGTGCATCCTCCGCACCCACTCGTGCTTGCAAATGCTGACGACTTGAAGATACCCAATAGGTGAGGAATACATATTAAATAATATGACCAGTGCTCACGCATCGTAGATTAGATTACATCTACCATCTACTCGACATCGAACCATCGCTCCCTTCGTCTTCATCCAAAAGTCTGCGCGTTCTCGACATGTAAGACTTCAGATTCCGACAGGCCCTTTGTACTGATATCTTATCAAGTGGAACGGGTGCTACAGCAATCTATCCAATCCTTCTCCATCGCATCCGCCCCCTATCTCACATCACCGCAACTGAGCTGGACAACACTTCATATCAACATGCTCTTCAAACACTCGAGACGAATAAGATACCCGCTTCCTCTATCACAGTCGTCAAAGCTCCATCACCCAACCCCATCTTGTTTCCGCTCTTGAAAGCAAAGGACGAAGAGGCTTGGGACTTTACGATGTGCAATCCGCCCTTCTTTGAGTCTGCTGAAGAGATGCAGAAGGGGATCGACCTCAAGGAAGAAGGTGCACACGCTGTGAGTGCCCAACTATACACGAAAACTTAGGGACTGGGCCGACAACTACATAGGCGCCCACTGCTGCGGACAACGAGCTTATAACAAGAGGTGGTGAGGTTGCTTTCATCTCCAGCATGATTCGCGAAAGCACCATCATCGGCAAACGTTGTCAGTGGTTCACTTCCCTGGTGGGAAAGTACTCTTCTCTTGAACCCCTTATAGCGCTATTCAAAGAGCTCAAGGTGCGTGAGGGCACTAGACAATGTCCATCGAGATCTGCTGATTAGGTATAGATCAATAATTACTTTGTCAAGATATCTCAGCAGGCCAAAACGGCTCGTTGGATCATAAGCTGGTCGCATACGACTACACGTCTCCCGGATGTGAGCTTGCTTCTCTTCCTTTCTAAATACTGGCAGCTGGGCTGACACCTGAGCAGAGCATTACGCGGCCTTCCGAAGTGATCCCCAACACCTCCTTCACCCAGATCCTACCTCCTTCCAACATGTACATGCTTCACGCACAACCCGGCATCTCTATCGACGCGCTCCGTACCACATTACTGGAGACGCTGGCATCTATTGAGCTTGAGCCAGTCCAGTCAGAACCACCCACTGCCACGGCCTCGCAGTCAGATGGAGACGATGTAATCGTCCTTGCGCCGAAGGCGAATACTTGGTCTAGAGCAGCCAGAAGAGAGGCTGCGCGGATAGCGGCTTCAGGGGAGAAACCCGCTGTGCCATCGGAATCCAGCCAAAGTGTCTTCCGGACAAAGATACGCCTCGTCAAAGGAAGTGATGAAGGGTCTCAACTCGAAATTGACTGGACGGACGGCGAGGGCAAAGATCGAGAAACTTGGGAGAGCTTTTGTAAATTTTTGCTCAGCAAGATGGGGCTTACCCGGAAGAAGATCGCTGGGGAGGAGCAACGAGAACAAGGTTCGGGGAGACAAGAAGAGAAATGGGGTCAGAAGGGTAGTACAAGGGGCAGAGGATCCGCTTCTCGGGGCCGAGGGCATGCGCGGAACGGAAACGAGAGTGCCCCACGAGGCAGCCATAAGAGGAAGACGTTTCAAGCATCTCACCAGGAGAGAGATAGTGGATACGCACAACGGCGGAGGGTGGAATGATGTTCAAGTGTTCGTTATGTATGCTAAGGTAACTATTACTTGCTCTCGCGCTATATCATTATAGCAGCGTCTTGCCCAACCACTCTCTGAGCGCCTCGCACTCAACCGCCGGGTCCTCATCATACATATGGTCGCCTCCTTCAATCCTCTCGACCACAAGCTCTCCTTCAACCTTGTTCAGCACCTCCAGCGTGTGGTCCATGGGCTGCACCTTGTCATCAAGGGTCCCGTATATAAAGTAGATGGGCACATGAGGCTGAGCCCTGCTCGACTTGGCGGTCAGCTCGAGGCGATTAGTTACAGAAAGGGCAAGAGGCGTGGGGCGGAAGGAATCGTAGCCGTTGCCAATGGCGCGTTGGGTGCGGAAAAGGAGTGAGGGGAAGAGCGAATGTTGAAGCATGTAGGGATATAGGATGGAGCGAGGTCCGCCCGAGACTGCTGTGCAGATATGAGCAGCCTTGGTATCAATGTGAGGTTTTGCTTGCGCATGGGTTATGCTATGCATAGTGATTAGCTCAGTACGCTCGTAGAATCGAATACGTACATCGTGCCATTCATCCATGGTACAGGGATTGTCTCAGTTGACCAAAACTTGTCTGTCAGATCCGTGATGGGATAAAAAGGCGCCAGACATTTGATGCCCTTCGACCCTCCCCTAAAGCCACCAGCATCTTCATCCGACACTTCCTTCGGCACTTCCAAGCCAGCCATTAATGCCAGATAACCTCCGGCAGATCCTCCAGAAAGACAGATACGTTCGACATCGACCTTGTGTTCGCTTTGGCCCTCCTTGACCAATTTATCGTTAAGCTTGGTGCGGATGAAATCCAGCAGAGAAGTGACGTCTGAAAGGATATCAATGATGGGCGCTTGAGGCGCAAGACGATAGTTGGGGGAAATGACAACGACACTCTCGTCCGCCTTCCCATCTTCTCCATGATACACGTGTGAGGGCAGACGTCGGAAGTGAGGAGGAAGGTTCTCCTTGTTGCCCTGCAAGAGACCTCCGCCGTGGAACCAGACCACAAGAGGGTGCCCCGATGGACCAGCAGGTGCAGTAGGGAGGTAGATGTCGAAATCGATAGCCAAGGGTTCGGAATCGAATGTCATGGCGGGAGTATTCTTGTAGACTATTGTCAGGTCGGGTTCGGGTACAGGCAGCGAAGGGCCTGTGGGTTTCTTTGGGGATGAAATGGCAGATTCAGGAGCGGTGAAAGAGGTATCCTCCGCGGCGGGAGTAGCTTCGCGGCTGAAGGCAGGGGCATGCTGGCGCAGGTTGCACCCAGCAGTTTCCACCATAACAGCAGAGGCAAGCTCTCCATCAATACCACGGAAGTTGGCATTACCAGACAGTACAAGGTGCGACAGCTCAGGCATGGCTTTCGCATTGACACCCAGGTCCTCGGCATTGACAACTCCCTTGATTGCGTTTCTCTCCAGATTTAAGGACCTCATGCCCCGAAGCTTGATGTGGACGAGGGCTCTAAGCCCTTCAATCGAAAGCTTATTGTTTCCGAGGTTCAGATGGTGTAAATCAGGAAGTACGGGGCGCTCGGTCTTTGCAGAGGCTGCTCTGGAGATGGCTGTAGAGAAGAAGCCTTGGCCATAACCCAAGCCATCTTCGGAAGGTCCAATAGGAGAGTCAAAAGACAAAGATGCTATGGAGTTGCTAGAGAGGTCAAGCCATTGGAGTTTGGGAAGGAGCAAGGTTGAGCGAGGGATGGAGGTGAGCTTGTTGTGTCTAGGGATAGTCAGCATTGATAGCGTTGAGTCTCGGATTCCTTACGAAAGGTCTAGCGATGTCAACCTCAAGAGGTCTGAAAGGCTATCAGGGATGGCAGTCAGTCCGTTTCTGCTGAGCTGCAAGGCCCATCAGCTTTTTACCTTGGTTATAGAAATTGAATCGCACATCTAGAATCTTGAGCCCACCAAACATGCCAATTTCCTTGTCCACCGTCAAGATCTGATTATGCCCCGCTTTAAACGTGGTGAGCTCCTCCTCAGGTTCCGTCCACACTTCTTCTTTCTCTAAAGGCTTCCCAAAAACATCGTCTTTTAGTGCGTCGTTTTGAAAGTCGTCTTCAGTCGCGAACGGGCTCGCGCTAGCTGGTCGTGCTTTCGGCGCCAAGAGAGTGGGTTTGGGTGATGGAGGTGGGGGAGGGTTGGAGAGCCCCTTGGGGTCGAGACCGAGTAGCTCAGTGAAGACCTTTGCAGGGATACGGTCAAGCTCCAATCCAGCAATATTGAGCTTGCCTGATTAGCAATGAGCGCAATCCAGTGAGATGTAACCCAAAGACTCACCACTCTTCTTGGCCTTCCTGATCTGACCTTCCACTGACTTGTCATCGATCTGATCCACTCCATTCCCGTCAAGGTAGACAAATCCTCGAGGAGTGCCGGCTCGTCTGCCAGCCGGGCTACCGTATGTTTGAAGGTCGCCCGTTCGCTGAGATTTGGGGGTCTTGCGCAACTCGGCGCGTCGGGCTGCTATAGTTTCGCGTATGGATGGGCGCGCAGGAGAGTCCCTGCCCGTTGTAGGCATCTTGAAGAGCAGGCGATGTGGCAGTGGGCGATGAAGAATGTGTTTGGAAGAAATCGCTTGTTTGGTGCCAAACAGAGGGGCCAGCTGTTTGGCGGGGCGTTCCTGGCTGCAAGTGGAGGTCGGCCACAAGTGATGAGTACAACTGTACAAGGGTGGTAAGGACGGGTAGGTCGTGGCCTGGGCAGCTTCAATACATGCTCATCTCAATCTTCATCGGTAATGCTTCCACTGGCAGCGCGTCTTCTTCCACCCCGCATCTCCATCAACTCTATCCTCTCTGTCGTTTGATCACCCTTGCCAGCTCGGCTATTAACTTCACCCCTGCCTCTCCTTCGGCTCTTCCTGGTTCCGTTGCGCCAAGTTGCAAACAAGCAAAGAGCACCAGCCACAAGACCCACTGGCGGGAGCAGCCAGCACACCCTCCACCACCAGCCCGAGCTGCCTCCTTGCTGCTTCTTCCACTTCGCCACGGTCCTGTCAACTTGATCAGTCAGATCTGTGAATGATCCGCTGTTATCAATAACCGATGTGGCATAGTTGAGCTTGGACGAGAGGGCTAGCTGGGAGGCTATGCGGTTCTGAGCCTGGGTTTGCGTAAGGGGCGGCGTGTCATCTGCGTGCCGGGCAAGGAGACGAGATAGTTGGAGGCGCTCATTCCTTGTAATCATGAGCTTCAATCAGTAGATATACGCAGAGACTTACACATAAACAACCACAATATCACCAACCCACTTCCACATGCCCGCCTCAATCAATAGCGGCACATCCACAATCACGCACCATTCTCCTTTGAGCCAGTACCGCAGGATGCTTCGAGCCATCTCTCGTCTCACTCGTGGATGAACCACACCATTCAACCACTTTCTCTGTTCTCCATCCCTAAAGACGATGTCGCCAATAGCAGACCGGTTCAGAGTGACGCCATCATCTTGCAGAACGCGGTCAGGACCAAAGTGGGATACCACGAGGTCGTAGCCAGACGTCCCGGGGGCTATGACCTCTCGAGCAAGGAGGTCGGCATCGATGATGGGGATGTGGTGGCGATCAGACAGGAGCTTGGAGACTGTGGATTTGCCTGTCATACGGATTAGCGAACGTCGAGGGGAGACAAGAGGACTTGCCAGAGGCAATACCGCCAGTAAGTCCGACAACTGTATGCATATGAATCAGCAACCCCTTCATAGATAGTTAGGTTAGAGCGTACCGAGCATTGCTAGAACTGTATGATAGCCAAGATAAAGTAGACACTGACATGGATAACGGCGAGGAGAGGCCAAGGTGAGGCCGGTGGAGGCGCGACATCGTTCTCTTGCATTTCCGTCACGGTCATTTTGTTTACAAAACCCATCAGTACCAGGCAGCTGTGATAGATATGCCCGCAGACACTATCAACATCTCATCCCTGGCCGTCCACCTCCCAAACGGCCTCGGTCCCTCCGCCTTTCACCTCACCCCACCTCCGCCATGCCCTGTCTCCATCTCACTCACCATCCATCTCTTCGCCGGCAGCGTCAAGGCCACTTCTGAGGGCGACGACATGGCCGGACTCGGAGTTAACTACTCTGCAGTCTCCAAGGCTGTCTATGCGCTTGCTGGAGGTCAGGAGAAAGTCTGGGGTGATGCATGGGAGCTGATGAGGGGTGTTTCGGAGATACCTCTAGACTTGCCGGATGTGCAGAGTGTGGATGTCCGGATAGGCCTTCCCAAAGCACTTCTTCATGCTATGGAGGCCGTGTACACTGCTACGTACACCAAGACTGGTGGTTTGGTGGAAGAAAGCAGGTCGTCGGAAATTAGAGACTTGAAGGTGGCCTGCATTGTCGGTTTGCACCCCCATGAGAGGAAAGAGAAGCAGCGCCTGGAGGTGGATGTCAGGGCATATGATTGTGACTGGAATGCTTGGGGACACAAAGGCTTTGCCGATCAAGTATACGAAGTAAGTGCTTAAAGCTGTATGATGATCTGAGCTCACTCAACGTACAGTTTGTGTTAAATTCAGAGTACGGCACTATCGAGACTTTGGACCATGAATTGGGACATTCTCTGCTGAGCAGCAAATACCTCGGCTCAGGCAACACTCCCCGTCTTCAAATAACCATCCGTAAACCCTCTGCCATCCCCTTTGCCACGCCCGGCATCACCATTCACCGTACCCACTCCGACTACTCCCCAACCCCTTCCACATCCCAAGAGTGCACCGGAAGTGAAAGAGTGTTCATAGCTGTGGGCGGCAATATCGGCGATACTGTGAGCAATATCAGGACAGCTGTCGGATTGTTGCAGTCAGGCGGTTGCAACTTGATTGCGACGAGTAGACTCTATGAGAGTGAGCCTATGTATGTTGAGGATCAGGACAGGTTCGTCAATGGTGTCATCGAGGTGAGCAAACGCATCATACCACAGACGGCACGTTTAAGTCGTTATAGGTTACCACCTCTCTCGAACCTCTGAACCTCCTCCGCCTCCTGAAGCGTACTGAGCGAGCCACCGGCCGAACCAAAACGTTCACCAACGGTCCCCGGGTCGTCGACCTCGACCTCGTATTCTATGGGCAGCGCGTGCTCAAGATTGGAAGTGAGACCGACACGGAAGATGCCGATGGTGTCAGATGGCTCGAGTGCCCGCATGCGAGGTTGGGTGAACGAGAATTCGTACTGCGGCCTTTAGCAGAGTAAGTTGACCTTGCATCGCTGAAGAGGGAGCTGATGTGGTGTAGTATCGACGCTTCTTTCACCCATCCTGCTGTGGGCAAATCCATCTCTCAGCTATTGGACTCACTCCCCGACCCTTCCTCACTCGGCCCCATGATCCCCCTCCGAACACATTCGCGGCCTCTCCGCCTCTCCTCTCCCGCGACTCCCAGGATCATGGCCATCTTCAACGCCACCCCCGATTCATTCTCTGACGGCGACCCATCTCGGACCTCTACCAAGCACGCCTTGGAAGAATGTCTCAAACTTGTAGAACAAGGGGGAGCAGATATCCTTGATATTGGGGGTATGTCGACGCGACCGGGGTCGGAACCTTGTACAGAGGAGGAAGAGGTAGAAAGGGTGGTACCCCTCATCGCTGCTATCCGACAACACAGCAATACCAAGCTTGCCCGCATCCCTATATCTGTCGACACCTACCGCGCTTCCGTGGCCCAGCAAGCGGTAGCAGCTGGTGCGTCAATCATCAACGACGTCCGTGGCGGGCGTGAACCTGGCATGTTGGCAGTCATGTCAGCCGCAGATGTACCCGTGGTGCTCATGCACTCGCGAGGCGACTCCAAAACGATGACGTCTGCAGAGTCGCAAGACTATACAGCTCTTGGGGGTGTGGTGGAAGGTGTCAAGAAGGAGATGGCAGAGACGGTAGAGCTCGCTTTGAAAGCTGGGGTCAAGCGCTGGAACATTATCCTAGATCCTGGACTTGGTTTCGCCAAGTCTGGTTCTCAATCCCTCGCGCTGCTTCGTCGCCTCCCCGAGCTCGTCTCGTCATCTTCGCCCCTGCACAACTACCCACTGCTAGTCGGCGCGAGCAGAAAGGGCTTTGTAGGCCAGGTGACTGGGAGAACGGTGGCAAAGGAGCGAAGCTATGGAGATGCCGGGGTCAGCGCGTGGTGTGTTGGGAGTGGAGTGGTGGATATCTTGAGGGTCCATGCGAGTGGGGAGATGGGGGACGTCGTCAAGATGGTACAAGCTATTAGAGATGCCGAGTAGATGTGAGACATGTAATGACCCATAATAGATTCATGGCGTGCAAAAGACCCAAAAGACTCGACCCCTATCTTACAATACAAGCAAAAATTAAAGATTTCTTCCTCCTCGAAACTCTGTCCTGTGTACCCTATCGTTGAAGATGGTATATATTAAGGTACTGTTGTACAACCTGTTGAAAAAAAATGGTATCTCTCCGCTCCCTCACGAGTCAAGCTTTCCTCCCAATCCCTGCACCAACGCCTGGATCATGCTCCTCTTGACCGACAATCCTTCCCTGTACCTGCACGTAATCCACCCTCCTGGCCCTCTGGAATGCGACGCCCGCACCACCAACTCTGCCGCCATCTTGCCCGTATTGATCCTGTTCTCCCCATCCGCATCTCCCCCGGGGTCCAACGTCGCCTTCAACACCCTCCACGCATCTTCCAACGTCAGACACTCTGCATCGCTGACGGGATGCGGCTCGGTGTGCGCGCCATTGAACGAGCAGCCGAACGACTGGCAGAGGCGCGTGGCAAAGACAAGAAGGCCTGGGTCGTTGACGACGTGAGAGTCGGAGACGTGGCAGCAGTTCTTGAGACGGGTGAGGAGGTCCATCTGCGCCGGGGAGGCCGCTGTCTGGGGGTTGGTGAGCGGGGGAGAGATGGGAGACGGCTTGGCAACCGGTGGGGTCGGGATGGAAGTGTTTACAGAGTTCTGAGCACCAGCCTGAGACGACTCGCCTCCCTCGTTGGGCGAAAACATGTTGAACATGTTGCTAAAGTTGTTGGCTGACGAGGACGAGTTGTTTTTGTAGATGTCCAGATTGTTTGTAAAATCCGGAAACTGTGGTCCAGGGGACACTGGAATGTTGAATGGCATGGGGAGGTTGTACTGGAACGGAGCAGGGGACACGTCCGAGGGCGTGTTGAAGAGCGGGGGCACGCTCGCAGGGTTGGTTGTAGAGCCCGAGGGGGCGGCGTGGTTGGACGAACTGGCCGGAGGATGGGGGTGGGGGTGGGGGTGGTGGCTGCTGGCCCCTGGGCTCAGGGTCACGCTGTCCCGCCCTACACGCTCGCTTTCGCTCTGGTCCGTGGTATCGACTTCCGGCAGTCCCAGCGCCCGTCGTTCCCTCTCCCTCGCCTCCTTCCTCGCGCGCACGCGCTCGCTCATGGGGACACCGCCCTCCTTGAGAGACTTGCCCCGGCCAGTGGGGCCGGACCCGATCTTGCCGCGATCCGCCGAGGGCAGACTGAGAAGCGCGCGAAGCTGGTTGTTTTCAGTCTCGAGAGTGAGAATACGTTCCTCGAGCGAGGCGAGATGCTCTGCTCGGCGGAGACGGAAGGCACGCTGGACCTCTCTGGCGCGAGAGGGGGGCAGCTTGTCATTTGGTTTTCGGCCGCGTGGCTCGTGGCGGTCCTGGGGGATGTGAGCGAGGAGCGGTGCAAGGGGGGACCCTTGGACGTACTTTGGGTGCGGTGGCTGAGGAGTTGCCCCCGTCCGACATCTTATCTAATCTGTTGACGTGCTGGGGGGGGGAAAATGCAATACGTTATTGAAAATAGCGAGTCGAGTGATTTGACACACGACGAATTCTAAGCGGCATCGAATTTCGCACCTACTTCCAGATGTGATATTAATTTGCTTCCGCCCTTCACGGGTGGAGGCATGCATCCAACAGTTTGGTTCCCCGGAGTGTCCTCCTGCTCTCTCCCGGACAAAACATCCCTCGTGACCCGTATACAGGCTCCGTACAAGTTCCGCCCGGACACGCAGCGACCGAACCTCGCAGCGATCGAACCTTGCGACGATCTGTCCGGTCTTGTGCGATAAGAGCATCCTTTGGCTCCTTTGGCTGTGATAATGGCTGGCACTGGAGAGTAAGTCGCTGGTGTTGTCCCTATCCCGCTGCTATCCCTGACATGACCCCCAGATCATTCCTCCCCCAGGTAGTCGGAGTACGCACGGCCCCCGCCCCGCCCCGCCCCGCCCCGCCCCGCTGACACCCCCTAGCTCTTCTACGCCACCTTCGACCCCAGCCTCGGCCCCATCGTCCAGTACCAGGTCCCGGAGAACCTCATCGTCGACAGCACTTCAGAAGAGTCCCGCTCGAGGTCCCACTCTCGTTCTCGCTCCCGCTCCCGCCCCGCCTCCAATCCCGACCATTACCCCTCCGCATCCCACTCTCCGCTAGGCAAGTATCGCTCACGCGCCCTCCTCAACTTTGTGCCCCTGTCCGAGTATGTCATACCCAAGAAATCCCTCCACGGGCGGCTCGTGACACTTCTCACCTCGGGCCTCGACGACAATGCGGATCAGGCTGAATACAGGATCATGGGGTTTCCCAATGTCATGACTGCGCCCGAGGAGGGCACGTATACGAGGAATGAGTACATGTGGAACCTGTGTTTTGTGTTTCACGCGAGCAGCTCGCTGGAAGCGTTCGAGCCGATCGTGAGAAAGTGTGCGAGGATTCTAAGAAGCGCAGAGGTGTGTCACGCGGGTGTTGCAGAGGACCGAGCTGACAAGACACAGCGAGACTCTTCGTACTTGTCGAAGCCGTCTAGCAGCCATACCGCACTACCCGCAGTCCTTGAACAGCTCTTTGAAGATCTCAACTCGTATTCAGAAACGAGTATTCCTCTGGACGGCTTCAACTCGCTGGAACTCAAGCTCTTTCCTTTCTACCGTAAGTGTCATCAACAAGTAGAGTCTTGCGCTGACATGATGCAGCAAACCCGCCGGACTGTGAAGATTGGCATGTTCCTATAGCCTTGGTCGATTTGAATGCCCACAAGGACGATAATTGGGACATTACTGCCGCCCGCGTATGCCAGTTCATAGACGGTGTCAACCATGTCAAGAAGATTGCCGAATTAGCAGACGCCGACGAGGCTCTCACAAGAGAGATCTTCCGGCACATGCTATACTACCAAGTCGTCATGATGGTGAGTGCCCCGCTCCTCTATTGCGTCACGCTGACTTGGCGCCAGGTCGACATCTTCCAATACTCCAACATGTACACTCTGAAACCCGTCATCTCCCGCCTCGCCGCCGACGAGACCATCATCTCTGAATGCGCAAGCTACGTCACCCGCCGTGGCTTTCCCCGCCCAGAATGGCCCATCCTCCTCCACCTCTACTCCAAACTCCAGCCCGGCATCACCGTCCACGACTGGATCGAAGCGCACGAAGTGCTCTCCTTGGGCATAGATCCCAGGCGGTTCGTGTCTTTTGGAATCATCAAGGGGTTCTTGAGGCGGGTGAATCGGTGGGCAAAGTTGGTTGAGAGGAGGGAGCCATTGATACAGGTGCCAGAGCAGAGAAAGAGGGTGGGATTTGATGAGTCTGCAAGGGCGAACTCAAGCGGGTTCCATCGGGAGAGGCCGCAGACGTACTTGAACCACAGTACTCTTGGTGCCAACGAGTCTGCCCTGTCTCTCAAGAACCCGGGCGAATCGACATTTACGCTACGATCCGTCGGGTCCAACGCGTCCCTAGGCGTATCGCCCTCGTCAATGGCAAACTTTACCCCTCCATCTATCCATAATCGCTCTCCTCGACGAGGCCCGTTTGGTGCAGCCTCTACAGCGGGCACAAACAGCACCCACACCGTGCACCCCCGCTCCCACGCCTCGCACGCCGACTCCCAGACCCCCTCCCACCACTCCATATCCTCCCGCCGCGCCATCGGCGGCAGTACAACCAACACCACCCTCACCACGTCCAACACTGCTTCCGGCGGGCTTCACCCAGGCGGCAGCGGCTTCAATTTCCGGTACGGCATGTCCACCCGGCAGAGGGAAGAAGCGCATGCGATCAAGCAGGCTGAAGAGCTTGAGGAGGATTTGATCATGTTTTTGGATGGGAGTCATCATGCGGATGAGATACAGGTGAAATTTGGGTGGAGTTGGGGGCAGTTGGAAAAGATCTTGGGGTTGGATGAGGTTGAGGATGGGATGGGGAGGAAGGGGATAACGGTGGTGTATCGATAGCACATCTTTGAAAGCATCTTCATTCATCTACACATATAACGGAGCATGTATTATCAGCAAGATTATAGTATTTCTCTAATATCTTTTTTTTGGCGGCGCAATATTGTATCGCCAAGTGTCCATCTACCGCGTGACCCATCCATCAACCATCTCCCACTCGACCCCCTTGGTCTTCATCTCCTCCAGTACATCTTCATAGACCACCCACCACCACTTGTGTACCTCTCCATAATCCGTCAAGCTCTCTTGCTCGGGTGTATTGCGCACTATCTCGAGCAAGGCGGGCGGTAGTGCGCGGCGCTTGGTGAGTGCCGATTTGAGGTAAGCGTAGGAGGGCGGACATTCATGCGTAGACTCGACCGAGGCGGGGGAAGGGGGCAGATCGGGCGAAGGCATGGTGGAAGAGGGGCGATGGGGAGGGAGGGATGCGGGGCGTGCCGCCCATGGCTTGTCGATACTGAGGCCGAGATCAACACCCGATATCCCCATCAAGAAGATGTGACTCCTCGGCAGCCCGAATGTACTCACATGTAATGTATATTCGCGACTTGCTCGTCTTTCCACAACGCCTTGTGCGCTCCCCGTAACGTCTTGAGCGCATTGCACCACCAAGGCAACGGCCTCCATCGGCCCTTGAACGCCTCGGCAATGACGTCTTGGTCCGCAAAGAGAGCTTGAGCGACGGTGGGTGATGTCTCGAGGAAGGAGACGAGAGAATCGAGGAGGGTGGTGGACGGGTAGAGGACGACGAGGCCAGAGTTGAGGAGATGGGCGGTACGGGGTGCGTCGAGGGACGGTATTTCGGGAGAGAGGAGAGGGGTTGGAGATTGTTGATGCGAGAGACTGCAGTTTTCGGGAACCCTGAGAAGAGTCAATATGGTATATAGGGAGGCGGGCTGTACTTGCCAGTCTTTCGGGTAGTGCTCGAGATTGAGAGGGTTACAGACACAAGCCGGTGCTGCTCCGATCCAATCTCTCCCCGGCAACTCCAGATCGAACAGCTCGTCCATATCCTTCAAGAAGATCATGTCCGCATCGATCAAGATCACCTTGTCATATTCCACCAGCCCAAACACCTGCAACTTTGTCCAGGCATCGTTCAATCTCGCCATATCCGGGTTGAACCCGGCGTGTTGCGATGTGGAGGGAGAGAGATGAGAGACGGGGATGAGTGTGAAGCCGTAGGACTTTAGAAATGTTTGGTATGATTCAGGGAGTGAAGGGGTTGTCATGACCAAAAGTGGGTAGTCGGATAGTGAAGAGATCGTTCGATGAAGCGCGAGGAGACCTACAGAGATGCACGTGTGAGCTAAGCTAGGACACTGATTTGACAAGCATACCAGCGACATAGGATGGATTGGTGATGAGAGTGACCCAAGCTCTGCCACCAGAGCCTGGTGTAGCGGGAGGAGACAGAGTCATGATCGAGGTGGATCTGAGAAGCCCTTGTTGCTAAGATGAGCAGTTGTCGAGCAGTGTCGAAGAAAGCGATGAGGCGGAACGCTGCCGAGTCTCGGAATAACGGAGCAGTGGGCGACTGAAGGGCGCTTTGAACTTTGCAATATCTTCGCTTACCGAGCCGAGTAGAGAAAGAAAAGTGAAAAGAGAGATGTTGACGATTGCACCATCGATCTTTCTCTGCATCGGCCAAGTGCGACGTCGGGCACATCCCGCTATCATCATCGATTCAGGGTCTTGGGCCGACCGCTGACCAACCCCGACCAAGGCGATCATGACTGTCGTGTCAAAATCCGTCTGCACGGCAGACAGTCGGTCATTCTGGCTGCAGTGATGTTATCCTTCGAGGCCTACTGCCGGTAAAGCAATACATATAACGTGAAGACTTGATCGGAGATGATTCACATAGGAGTAATTGAAATTCGGAAACGACGTTTTCGTTCTTGTCCTCCAGCCATCTTCATATGTACGCTATTCAAGACGTCTACTTGTACGGCGTGATTGTTCAGAGCTTTCCACTCCGCTGAAGTAGTCTACAGTTGATAAGGTCAAGTCCTGCCGCCTCGCGGACCGGTTACCTTCCTACATCCTCTTTCTCCACTCGTTCAACGCGAACGCTTAGCTGCGCTTCCCCTCCCTGTCATCAAGTAGTCATTATATACCCCACGATACGAGAATAGAGGGCCCCTGAAATACCAGCTGATCCTCCACAGAAACGCTTTGTCTCTTCCGACGCTCAAAACACCATCTTTCATGACTCCTTCTCCCTCCCCTTAAGCACGAAGGGAACTTGCTTCCCACCCATCTTTCCCTCCAGAAGCGAGGACGACCAGCGCCAGAGCCATCTCGTCTCCGATGTCCTCGACGAGAATTGTGTGGTCGAGAGACCCAAGTGAATTGACAGCATTGCTGTTGTCATTTGGCGTGCAAAGGTGTAAACAACTCCTTGTACATATATGTGTGCTTGGTATGAAGAGACTTTGGCCATCCAAGGGAAGAAGGCAAGTCGGATGGCGTCTTGGATCGCCAGAAAAGGTTCCTTGCGAGCCGTGAAAGACTTGACCGTCTTCTGGGTCATTGTCATTGTGTGGGATGTCTTCGAAAAAGCGCACAATTGTCTCTGTCATGTACGGTCAGCTGATAGAAAACCCGCATGCTTCAGCGAAAGACCAAAGGCGTACCGTGGACTTTTCTGGCCCTCATTTGGGTTGCATGCTCGGCTGCAGCAGTGTTGGCGTACTTCCGGAGGTGGGGTTTGTGATCAGCCATCTCCTTTTTTCGAAATGCTGATCACAGAAGGCTACACACTTGGTCCAGCTTATGCAGGAGCCTGGTAGCATCGGCTGCACACAGCTGGTCGAAATTTAGCGCTTGCGATTCAATGATATGGTTGAGGTTATTACTCACGACTTCGATCGCGCTCGCTGCTTCGGGATACAAAGAGGGCTCTGGTGAAGGATATAGTCGTGAAGAGGATAACTTGCTTTCTTTCCGGGATGGCCAAAGTCTCTTCGATACCAAGCACAAATATGTCCAACGAGTTGTTTAGGCTTTTTGATCGGGCTATGTGGTCGTTAGCCCCTATTGCACGATGATGGTGTAAGGAAGCTCTTGTAAAGATCTTACCTTGCCAGTAGTATGGTAAGTTTTGCGCGGCATGACTTCCGTGCTAGAAGCAGCGGGAGGCGGGTGCATGAGCTCCCAGGGAGCTAACACAGCGTGCGACTTGCAGCGGTGGGCGGTGAGAGGGCCGGACAGTCCAGGGGATCGCCCAAAGATGATGCTCATGTCGATGAGGAGAGCTGTAGAGGATAGCCGTCCTGCAATATGAACTCGGAGAAGATAGTCCAAGATGCAAATGCTTTACGACGTTTGCCATGTGGGGGCAGGGGGCGGTCATCACCGATCCGACGAGGCAGGTGTCGAGCCAGCCCCGATCTCAGCGACTTCCTCGTTTCTATATTCCGAGAATAGTCAAGAGCACTACGCGATACCGAGGATGGTTTGAAGGTAACGATATAGTCGTCATCGGTAAGCATGCAACAAGGTGGTCTTCTGACTTGGTGCACGTCCTTGGACTCACTGTAGAGCGGCGATGTTGCTCAACTCGTCAACAGTAAGGTTGTACCATTCTATAAGTCAGTCCCCTTCTATCTTACAACGTTACCGGTGAGCATATGCTTGACTGAAAGTCGAAGTATGATCACAGTGTAATGCATGACGGATGGAGGTCGAGTTGTCCTTATGATGGTCGTCGTGTCTCTGCTTCGTCCTCTCCCAAAGCCTTCTTGAGCTTTGAAACATGTCGGTGTGGATATCTATCTTGGATGGCCTTCATCTGGGCGAGCTCTATCCGTCTAGCACGTTGGCATGTTTCCCTGCGACATTGTGAGCTTTCACTTCTGGGACGATTGGTTCAGGATCCTACCATTGGAACAGGGTGATAGCCAAGAAGCTGCCAACTGCCCAATTGGCTGCACTCCATGGTCCTAGATCGGCCAGTCAGCCGGCGATCATCAACAGCATTCTCAACTCACTCCGTGATCCCAAGAACCTGACCGCTCCAATACCAGTCCCTCCAGCAATCCCATACAACAGACTATTTCTAGCACAAGGCATCTTGCCCAGGTTCTCTAGATCATTCTTCGGCTTTATTCTCTGTGAATTCAAACGTTAGCAGACTCCCCATAAAGGTATAACATGCGTACACCGAAAGCAGACTTGAAATCTTGCAACTTGTTGCCGGTAAGTCGCTCCTCGGGCTTTAACGGCTGAGGTTCGGGCGTGATCTGGCTGTTTCCTGAGGGAATATTGAGCGGCGCCTTGGGCTGGTTCGAGTCGGACATGGCGATATGGCAGTATAGATGACAGAGCGTATCGATGCCAGCTTTTCGATGCTCGCTCTGCTCTCGGTGCAGCGAACTTCGTTGTGCCGATCTCTGCTTGTCACGTGATCTGCTATACATCTCTTGCAATTACACAATTTCTGAAACTGTACTATACTGCATTGCCCCATCAACCATGTTCAGAGCGCCCCTGCCGCAACAGGCGCAAAGAAGCCAGACGACTGAAGCTGGGCCCTCGACGGCATCCTCGCTCCCAGCTGACGGAGTTGTGAGCACTGATGGCGCTCCCTTGCCGCCTGCTCCCGGTGCTTCGGCCGAGGGCGATTCTCTCTTCAACAGAGTGATGGCAGACAAGCAAGTGCTGTGCTATTAGTGTCATGCAATGCTGACATCTCTTGCAGCCCATACTTTTCTGCTGGTGCCGGTCTTATGGTACGTATGGAGTCCAGATCGCCCGACTTTGTACTCAAAAGACATCGTAGGGTATCGGCGTAGTCCTGACCGCTCTCCGTCGCTCAGTGACCCTCGGAGCAACTTTCGCCCAACGCCGTATGCTAGTCACCCTCGAAATACCCTCCAAAGACCGCTCTTACCCCTGGTTCCTCGAATGGATGGCACACCAGACCGCTGCCCAGCAGAAAGGCAAGGCGAAAGCACCTGGATTGTTTGGGTTTGGCCAGGGACTGAGGAGCCACGAGCTTGCGGTGGAGACGAGCTACAAGCAGCATGAGAATGGGGCGAGTGAGGCTGTCTTCAACTTGGTGCCGGGGCCGGGCACCCATTACTTCAAATACGACGGGTCGTGGTTCCAGGTAAGTCCCATCATCTGTCTGGAATTTAGCTCACAACGATAGGTCAAACGAGAACGCGATTCCAAACTCATGGACCTCCATTCCGGAACCCCCTGGGAAACCCTCACCCTCACAACTCTCTCCACCTCCCGCAACCTCTTCTCCAACCTCCTCTCCGAAGCCCGTGAACTAGCCGAGGCTTCGACAGAGGGAAAGACGGTGGTATACACTGCTTGGGGAGTGGAGTGGCGGCCGTTTGGGAAGCCACGGAGGAGAAGGGAGATGGGGAGTGTCGTGTTGGCAGAGGGACAGGCGGAGGAGATTGAGAGTGACCTGAAGGGATTCTTGGGGAGAGGCAAGTGGTATGCGGATAGAGGTGCGTCGTTGGCTCTTGCTCAAACAATGCTGACAGTACCTAGGTATACCATATAGAAGAGGGTATCTCCTCCATGGACCTCCAGGTTCCGGTAAAACCTCCTTCATCCAAGCGCTCGCCGGTTCTCTCAACTACAACATCTGTCTTATGAACCTCAGTGAACGAGGTCTGACGGACGACAAGCTCAACCATCTCCTGGGTCTTGTCCCCGAGAGAAGTTTTGTCCTGTTGGAAGATATCGACTCGGCTTTCAACCGGCGTATACAGACTAGTGAAGACGGGTAAGTCTTTTGATCTCGAGCTTGACTGCGATCTGACTGGGGCAGCTACAAATCTTCAGTGACATTCTCTGGACTCTTGAACGCTCTTGACGGTGTGGCCTCTTCGGAAGAACGCATCATCTTCATGACCACCAACCACTTTGACCGCCTCGATCCCGCCCTCATTCGTCCAGGCCGAGTAGACATCCAAGCGCTACTCGGCGACGCCGAGGGCGAGCAGGCCAAGCGGCTCTTTATCAAATTCTACGGCAACACCCCCTCTGAGATTGAAGGCGCTGTCAAGGGCAGGATCATGCGGGAAGGCGAAGTACCGCTGAGTGACGAAGAAGTGGAGACTATGGGCAATGAAGTGCAGGCGATAGTAGAGGATGAAAAGAGGCAAGGGAGGGCGGTGAGTATGGCTAGTCTACAGGGCCACTTTATCAGGAATGGGGCGAAGGAGAGTATAGGAGGTATCAGGGAGCTGTGTAGGCCTCTAGAACAGCAGTAGAGCATTAATGCAGCACCATTCTTAATCCACTGCATATGCACTCAAGACAAAATACCCTACACATCGAATTCTCTCCACATTCTCCGTTTGATCACGAATCGCGATTAACCCTAGGAAACATATCATACAAGAGCGTTATTTCTGATACCACAAGAGATTGACTTGCACCTCAAGCCAGAGGCGCAGCCTGCCCCTGGGACTCAACCTGAGCAAGATCTTCCAACCTCTGCTCCAAGCCCTTACCCAGCCCTTCTCTCTGCCACTCCCCCTCGCCCAAGCCCAATGCTCCACTCCCACCTCGCCCAGCCTCCCAGCCCGCATTCAGTTCACCTGTCGCCCCCGCAGCAGCAGCGGCAGACGTCAAGGACGAAGCAGGGACTGGCGACCCCGCATCCTGCCGAGCAGGGAGCGAGTTTGCCGCACTAGGGAACCCATTCAAACTCGGTACCTGTCCTTGCCCCACCGCGGGACTCCTGCTGCTCAAACTGGGCGAGACGGTTCCGGGCAAGTGGTCCGGAGAGACGGTGCCAGAAGTGATCTCGCCGAACGAGGTGACTTGGGTGGGGACGGAGAGGAGAATGTCGTTGTAAGAGACAAAGGAGAGCCGGTGGTGCGGCTTCGATTTGGAGGGGGAGAGGTGGGGAGGGACGGGTGAAGGAGATGGGGATCCAGAGAGGGGAGCGGCGGCGGCGGGAGCTGGGACAGAGGAGGAGCGCTACATGGGATTAGTATTTGTGCGACCAAAAGGGAACAAGAGCTTACCTCTTCGCCAGGAGTAATTGTGCTGTCCTTGACCCAGCCACCAGGGAGCTGAGGCCCCGTACTGATTCTTCGAGGCGCGGCAGGCCTTGGCACACTTGCAGTAGCCGCTGTAGGCGACGTGGGGCTCGCAGGACTATCCCGCCCGGCACCAAAAGTCGCGGGCGGAGCAGTGAATGTCTGCGAAGGCGACAGCTGGGCCAATATGGGCGGCGACTGGTGAGGAGAAGCCACCGACGAAGGACGGGAGTTGGTACTGACGGGCGAGGAACTCCTGGAGTGGGGGGACCAGACGGCACTGGGCCCGGTGGAGAGCTTGCGTCCGGCCGAGCTGGTCAAGCTGGTAGAGCTCTGACGTGTCATCCCAGCGGGGTTGCCCGTTGGCGCCTCAATCTCTAAACCCTCCAGACCTCGACTGGTAGCCCCGCCTAGGGTCAAAGCCTCGACGGCATCGTCCAGCACTGCCGGGACAGTGTGATCCAAGTTGGAACCGTGGGAAAGATGGAGTACACGGCTCGGCTTGTGGTTGAGCGTATGCGGGGAATGAGGCGGGTTGGCACCGAGCGCGAGGGAGGGTAGAGGGGGATGCTCAATGTCCCTTTCAAAGATGGCTGACCCCGACGAGTGGATAGACGAAGGGGAGCTCGGTCTCGACAAGTGATGGCCCAGGGTTCCCAACGAGGCCTGATGCGGTATCTGCGGGGGCGGTGTTCCGACCGCGGGGCTTGCCCTGGGGAACGGCTGGAGCATTGGAGACGCGTCCTCAGAGACAGGAGACCTGTTGCTGTTTCTCATGGGGGATACATCCCGGGAGGATATAGGGGAGCGGGCCCGTTGGGGGGAGCGGGCACCACTGCGTCGAGATGATGCGACTGCAGAGGGTTCGCGGGGGTCTGCGGAAGGTGGAGGTGGAGGCAGGTCGGCTGGGGCTGGAACACGGGACATTGAGATTAGCTCGGCACTTGGGGTCAAGAGATGAATGGACATACCGAGATGGGCACCAAGAGGGACAGTGGTCATTGCGAAGGTCTCTCAACAAGCCACGAGTTGCGCTGTGTGTACGGAAACGAGGCCGGGGTGTTCCTGGCGGATGTAAGGAAGGGAACAAAGGGATTAACGAGGGGTGGTATGGGAGTAAGGGGGTGTTCTTGGGGGTGTGGGGTGATGGGGCTGACGGCGAGAGGGGCGGAATGGATGATGACGACGGGAGGCAAGGGACGGGAGCGACGGCAGCGGCAGTGATGGCAGTGGCGGGGGTGGCGGGGGTGGCCGCGTGGTGGTGATGGCGCACGGGGACTCGTAGGCAGTAGACGACTAGAGGGATGGGAAGACGGAGGGGCTCAGCGTCGTACTTATTACAGCTGCAGCCACAGTCGAGACCGCCGCAATCGGCCAAACCATAACGGGTGGAGGTACGGCTTATGTAACCATCCAATCACATCAAAGTGGGGGGAACATTATTTAACAAAGTCGTCCACTTCTTGCATCGAATTCGTACTTTTGCTGTCCTGCATGCGCCCCTTGTCCAGTATCCCTACGCCAGACACCAACACCCCGACACACTTGTAAACCCCTATTGCCAATCGATTTCGCATCAAGAGACACAAATCCCACCATGCCCTACCAACCAAACCACATCTTTAAGGGTGTCGTCACCAAAGTCGGAGTCATGAGGAAGACTGCTACCGTCACTGTAAGCAAAAGAATCTACAGCTTCTGGGCACGTCTGATATCCAATAGGTCGAACGGACGTTTGAACATCCTAAAATCCTGAAAGAGGTCAAAAGACATAAGAAGTATCTGACCCACGACGAAGGAGAAGGTTTGTCCTTTCGGCTCGTCCCACTAGGCCAACACTGATATCCGGGTACAGTGTCCAGACTAGGAGACAAAGTTACCATCATCCACGGCGCCCGTACATCCAAAAATAAATCTTTCCGTCTTCACTCCATCCTCTCACGCGACACCCACAAATTCCCCAACGACCCTATACCCTCTGTAATCCCCCCGCCAGCGCTGAGTGGGAGACAAATTAGGAAGGCGGCAGCAGCTGAGGGTGGGTCTGGGAAGGTGGTGGAGGCTCTGAAGGAGGCTGGACTGTAGATAGGGACGGGCATTTATGGATTTACCATATCTCATTGTCTGGTGCCGCCCGGGAGTCTGGGTACAAGTGTCTACGCATATGCTGACTGTATAGCCTGACATAATGGTCTACCAAGATCGACGGAATCACGGCAAGGGTCAACAACATACCTCAAGAGATCTTCGCCCTCTCAACACATCATCAAACTCTAAGAAGCATATCACGCACTTGACCACTTTTGTGTTGCGTTTCTGTAGTATTCAAGGGCGTCATCGACCAACAGCCTGGAGGCTAGTGCCGCACTGTTCTTCAGGAATGAGGCTACATACACGATACTCGCTAACGATAGAATCTGACACAACAGGGATCGTGTAATGATACGTACGAGTCAAACACTCGCCAGCGCTGATGCTATATACAACAAGTAATCGTGTGTTGGTACGTATATGCCATTACTGGCCAACTATAAGACCCATGTTGTAGGACTCGTCACTGAGCTCATCCCGCCACAACTCATTTTAGTAGCTGAGCGCTCACACGCCTTTCCCCAGTCAATCATTTCCTACCCCTTCCCGTTCTTTGCGACAAAGAGATGCCTTGGTGCCAAATCGCCATTCGTGTACCCCATCCCATGGACACCCTACAGCCACTCGATCGTCTCTCTTCTCTATTTTGACAATGTCAGAAGAGTATTCGCGTACTCATAGTGAGAACGGGGACTGCCGCTGGTTCGGCCCCCGAGCGCACCTTGCCGGCAATCACCGGCTTCCTCTTCGTTGCTGTCAAGTGAATGTAGCTCTCTCTTACATTGACCCAGACCACGTATCATTACTTCACTCCCAAACAGGAGTGACCCTCAGCCATGTCCTCAACCGCTGTACAGTCCACAGCCGTGCTTCGCTCCCGCCTCAAGGAGCTCATCAACGCATACCTCCGCCACCGACCATTCATCCAACGGACTCTCACCGCAAGCTTTGTCATATACTGCCTTCTATCTACTTATAGATCTTTGACGGGCAAAGGCCCTCAGGGCGGCGGTAGAGAAAGAAGTGGGGGAAGGCGGGGCAAAGGTGTGTCATTGCCGTGATGTGAAACGTCCACTGACCAGTGGTAGGAGGCAAGAGTGTGACGGGCTCCATCAACGATCCGAAATTCCATGTACGCCTAAAGAGGCTCATGAGGGTCGTCATACCCAGTCTCAAGACCAGGGAAGCTGCCATGTTGGCCCTGCATTCGGCCTTTCTCGTAGGACGTACCGGTCTCAGTCTATATGTGGCCGAGCTCGACGGTCGGTACATTGCTTCGATCATAAACATTTGAATTCGCCTGACTTGAGCAGTATCGTATCTTCTTTGGTCACTGCCAACCCCGCACTGTTCCTGATGAACATCACCAGGTGGCTCCTGATAGCCATCCCTGCAACGTATACCAACTCTATGCTCGAGTACCTCCAGTCTGAACTTGGACTCGCTTACCGCACGCGCCTCACCAAACATGCTCTCAATACGTACCTGGATCCTCCAGAATCTCGGATAGAAGGCGATGTGAGCGGCGAACAGCTGTTTTACAAACTCGCCAACTTGGATGATAGAATCAAGAACGCCGACCAATACTTGGCTGTAGATATACAGTTGTTTAGCGATAAGCTTGCAGAAATATACTCAAACATTGCGAAACCCGTTTTAGATGTCATGTGAGTTCTGTGTGAGGACGAGGGGCTTTCAGCTGACACGAAGGCAGACTATACAACTATCAACTATCGAAGAATGTGGGAGCAGAGGGCCTTGTGGTTTTGACTATCCTTGTACAGGCTAGCGCTGGACTTTGTAAGTCTAGCTCCTGCGTCTTACCATACACTGACATGCCACAGTGAGAGCCATCACTCCCCCGTTCGGAGCCTATGCTGCTCATGAAGGTACGCTCCCGTCAAGACTCGAGGGCGAAAGCTGACAGAAGCCATAGCCAAACTCGAAGGCGAACTACGCTTCACCCACTCTCGCCTCCTCGAGTCTGCCGAGGAAGTTGCTCTCTACCACGGCGAAGAGTTTGAAAAGAACATTATTGAGCGCGGCTACTTTGCGCTGGTAAAGCACATCAACCGGGTGTTGCGGATCAGGGTTGGACATGGGATGGCAGAGGAAGGGGTCATCAAGTGGCTTTGGGGCAGCTTGGGACTGGGGATCTGTGCGATACCAGTGTTTGGACGAGAGTTTCTGAGAATGAAGGGAGGAGATCTAGGTAGCCGGGCGGAGGGTATGCCATCCGAGTTACTGAAATATCTGCTGATGGGTCGCAGGCTTTGTGACCAATCGCCGACTTTTGCTTTCCTCCAGCGACGCCTTTGGACGAGTCATGTACAGCTACAAGGTCAGTATTGTTCTACAGTGCGGATCATGCTGACTCTCATTAGGAACTGGCAGAGCTGGCGGGCTACACTTCTCGGGTATCCGACCTCTTTGAAGCGATGGATGACGTGAAGAAGGGCAACTACCAAAAAAGGCTTGTCAGTGGTGCTAGCGTGGAAGACAATGCCAAGAGTAAGCCCTTTTCGAAAAGTCATTGACTCCCGTCACTCAAAGTAGACAGTGCTTCAAGGCCGAGGCAACATTATCGAGTCGGAGGAGATTAGATTTGATAAGGTGCCGCTGATAAGCCCCAACGGTGACGTCTTGGTCAAGTCCATGAGCTTCAACGTGGAAATCGGAGTGCGTCTCTTTTTCCCATCATCGTCTCGGGCGCTGACGACCACGTAGAAGCACCTGCTGGTGATTGGCCCCAATGGATGTGGCAAAAGCAGTCTTTTCAGGATCCTTGGTGGACTATGGCCTGTCTACGGTTGGTCGTTTGTCTCTTACTGAAGCGAAGCTGACAATGACCAGGCGGGACCGTTTACAAACCTCCTGCATCTCAATTCACATACATCCCTCAGCGCCCTTACCTCACCTCCGGCACCCTCCGCGACCAGATCATCTATCCCCACTCCCACTCTGACATGCTTGCCAGAGGCACTTCCGACGAGGATCTGATCAAGATCCTGGAGGTGGTGGAGATGGGTTCAGTTGTGGAGCGAGAAGGAGGATGGGGAGTGGTCAGGGAATGGAGAGATGCGCTCAGTGGGGGAGACAAGCAGAGAATCGCCATGGCGAGGCTGTACTACCACAAGCCGAAGGTGAGTCTGAACGTGGCCTTGCTAATACCGTGCTGATGTATCACAGTACGCTATATTGGATGAGTGTACCAGCGCTGTGACGTTGGAGATGGAGAGGATAATGTACGACCATGCTACTGGTGAGTCGAGCGTGATCGAAAGCATCTTGTTTGACACCGCGATAGCCCTCGGTATTACTCTCATGACGGTATCACATCGCCCCTCGCTCTGGAAGTATCACTCGATGGTCCTCCAATATGATGGTCAAGGCGGGTATATCTTTACCGGGCTCGATGCGGAGAAGAGGTTGAAGCTGCAGGAGGAGAAGCAGGAGCTGGAACATAAATTGCTCGGGGTGCCAAAGTTGAAGGAGAGGTTGGAGGAGCTGAAAGTGATCAAGGCGGAGAGGGAGAAGGGTCAAAAGTGAGACAGTACGAGGGGTGAGGATGCCCGTATGTGCTATATAGTAAGGTTGTATTCCTGGATGTTGGTTGAGGAAGCATGTATGTATCTGATCGAGCTCACTGTTGAAAGGTTTCATGAATAGGGAAGAAGACTTTGGTGACGTGATGCTACTAGATCGTGACCCACTGTTTGAAGCGTGTACAAGGACTGTTTGTAGATAAACGCTTGACAGTATCTAGTCACTATGGGACCCGCGCAGGCTCACGCAGGTTTGCTTTGATGCTATGCTCCCAGTGCAGACTCAAAGTCGTTAAGGGTAGTCTCTCAAGTCCGTCAACAAATGATGCGGCGGTGATGACCGCAGCGGTGAACGGGATCAATCGGTGTTTCGGTATTTCGAAAAAATCGGTTTTTCGTGGCATGTGCCGATTTGAAGTACACGCAAAAGCATTCTGGGATTTTCTAGACAGCAAGCGAAAACGGTTTGAGCCATCAAAGTGAGTACGATTGCCGCAGGGGGAAGATCGAGAGAGCGGGGGGTGAGGAGCTGTCTAGTGGCTGCGGGGGCTGGAGTCACGGGGGCCATGCGTGGGACTGGTTGCTGACATTCGACATCAGATCTCCACGCCCAAACCCCACCAAATCCATAAACCTCAAATCATCCAATATGTGAGTGGCCCACGATACCAACAATAAGTGTGAGAGGCTGACAGACGTGTAGGGCTCACTCTAACGTTTGGTTCTCCCGGTAAGTACTCGCGGTCATACACCTGTATGCAACGGCGGTCGGGATGGAAAGGAATCTGGAGGTTCAAACGAGATTATCGGGATGAGGGGCAATGTCAGAACGAAAGGGGCAGACGAATGGAAGCGGGCGATAGGGGTCAGAGACGTTTTTTGGGTGTTGTCGATAAAGGCGTCGCTTGCGGTGTGCGCACGCCCACCTCTGTGATCGCCTTTCACCGCACACCTTGCGACTCTTTGGAAATCCTACATCCGCCTCCATTCGACATACGGTGCACGGAGAACCACGCAAGAGACAGGAGAGTTGGCGCTTAGAAGAACATGAGAATGGAATCCAGAGGGACTTGTCGGAATCCGAGAAGACCTAGTCGCTGACCCCTTTTCCAGCCCCAGGACTTACGGCAAGGGCTCCCGACAGTGCCGACTCTGTGCTCACCAGGCCGGTCTCATCCGGTAAGTTGCTTTTTGGCCCATCTGTGCGATAAATGCTGACTGCCTTTGTAGAAAGTGGTATGTTACGTTACGAGAAGAGAACATTGGAGGGTGCTAACTATTTCCATAGGGGTCTTGACCTCTGCCGACAGTGCTTCCGTGAGAAGTCCAAGGTCATCGGCTTCGACAAGTTCAACTAAGCATATCGCTAAGCCGAATTACGAGGTTTAGGGATGGGTTTTGTACAGCGTGATGCTATGGCTCTCCACATTTAAATTGCTCCTGCTTTCGTCCATGCTGCACACTGTTCCAATTTGCATACACGTCCAGACTCGCTCCCTCCAATGCATGCTCGTGGCTTATAAAGGTCGTTCATTGAGTGGACAACGGGATCAAATATTCGGCGTTAGGGCTGTGAACCTGGTGGCAGTTTTTCCGCATACAAATTATTTCACGCAAGTTCTAATTATCACCTCAAAACCCGCCTCCATAGACATAGACTCCCCGGGACGCCCCTCGGACTCGTTGTACCTGTACCACCACCCACTCCGCTGCTTTAGACTGTACTTCTAGAAGCTTTCTTGGGTACTTGGGCCGAAATCAGTGAGTCGTTGAGTCTCTGGTCCGCCCGCATTCAGTGCTGGAACCATGCTTCCATGCGCTTCCATTAACAGTGATAACGCTGACTGAGATTCTCGCAGCCTCTCTCTCTTTTCAACAAAAAACCACGTGGAAGGACACATAGGATTGCTTGTCGCTAAAAGTGCGTTTCTCGCAAATTTCATCATGCTGCCAAATGTTTGAACTCCGCTGACGTTAGACCTTCTTCTTGTACAGCTCGCAATCCCATCCAAACGCAACCACATCTATCAAAATCATGGCCACAGAGACCATCCCAAAGGACGTCGAGGGCGGGAACGTTGCCGGAGACGTGAAAAACGGACATGAGGCCTTGGATCTCGCTCAGACGTCCGAAGTTTCCAACCAGGTTACCGTAGACCGTCTCGAGCAGAAGCGCGTCGAGCATGAGCGCGCCCGCCAGGCTCAACGTGCCAAATTCGAGCAGCAGATGCGCGAGCTCGAGGCCAATCAGCTGGCTGAGGAACGTCAGCTCTTGTCGACCAACACTCCCGGCCACTCTGCTGGTGAAATTGCGTCGGCCCCGACTACGCCCCCTGGCGCCCTGGGGGCTGCCGCCCACGACAGCACCAAGGAGGCCCCTGCCCCTATCGGTCCGCCTACTGGAAACACCCAGCGGGAAGGTCTGAACGGAGCAAAGAGTATGCCGGGAAGCAGGAGGACAAGCACCTATGGCAACACCTTTGGCATGGAAAAGCTGAGCTTGAGTGGTATGGCGGATGGACCCAGGAGGGAGTGGCGGCAAGAGGACGATGATGTGGATGCCGAGGGTGCTCAGAGTGCGTACACTTTGGATTGGAAAGATCACGCTGATGGATTTTTAGGCTCTGTCAAGTACCTCGGTATGAACGACGACGACCCCTTCCCCGGAATTCCCAAGGAGCCCAAGCGTCTCTCTACTGCTTCTGCTGCTCTCGACCTCGCCCCCCTCTCGAACACCCCTCCCCGAGCGTTCGGCACTCGTCCCTTTGACACTTCTCTCAAGACCTCCGAATGGCCCCAATTCTCTGCTGCCCCCGGATCTGCCGCCGCCGCCGCTGCTGCTGCCCGAGCTGGCGTAACCTCCCCTTTGCAAGCTACTGGCCTCATGTCTGACGAGCTTCGTGAGCCTACTTTGCTCACTTCTCGAAAGACTTCTCCCACGGCCGCCCTTGCCGACAGCATCACCAGCTTGCCTCCTATGCCCTCCAAGAGCGTGCCCGGCACGCCCTTCGGCTTTGGTTCCAAGGCTGCGGGTGCCGGTGGGGCTAGGGCCGACCACGATGGATTGAGCCAGGCGCAGAGGGGCTACTCCAACCCCGACCTCGCGCGGGCGTTTGGCAAGGTTGGCTCTGGATTTGCCATGGGCGCCGAGAGGCCTCCTTATAATGACATCTACAACTCGTTCTCCCCCGTCACCGCCAGCCTTCCTCCCTCTGCCGCCGTCGCTGCCGCCGCCTTTACCCCTCAAGTCGCTTACGACCCTTACGGCTTTGACGAAGATGGTTACGGTTCGGGCTCTCTTTACCCTGGTGGATCCATGGGCCTGAAGAACAAGCGTGCGGATCAGGACCGCGAATTCAACCGTTTCGCCGGCGTAAGGATCGAAGACCTCAAGGGCGAACTTTTGTCTTTGTGCAAGGACCAGCACGGTTGCCGATACCTCCAAAAGAAGCTCGAAGAGGGTGACCCCCAGCACCGCGACATGATCTTCAACGAGACCTATGGCCATTTCCCGGAACTCATGACTGATCCTTTCGGCAACTACCTTTGCCAAAAGCTTCTCGAGTACTCTACCGAGGACCAGAGGTCGGCCATCATCGACTCGGTCGCTAACGACCTTGTCGGCATCTCTTTGAACATGCACGGAACTCGAGCGGTCCAAAAGATGGTCGATTTCTTGGCCCAGCCTAGGCAGCCCAAGCAAATCAGGACATTGATCCTCGCGTTGAGCATGAATGTTGTCGCCTTGATCAAGGATTTGAACGGTAACCATGTAAGTCCTTATCTTATCGGTAACGTTACCACAAAGCTTATACACGTTTAGGTTATCCAAAAATGCTTGAACAAGCTCATCCCGGAAGACAACCAATTCATCTACAACGCCATCGCTGCCAACCTCATCGAGGTCGCCACCCACCGACATGGATGCTGTGTCCTCCAGCGAAGCATTGACCATGCTTCTCCTGCTCAGAGGATGCAGTTGGTGACCGAGATCATCTTCAACTCTTTGTATTTGGTGCAGGACCCCTTCGGAAACTATGTGATCCAGTACATCCTGGACTTGAACGATGCGCGATTCTCCGAGCCCCTGATCAGGACCTTCATCGGCAACGTCTGCTCCTTGTCTGTCCAGAAGTGAGTCCTCAACAGTGTACATGTGTCTCATTCTAACACGAATCAGATTCTCTTCCAACGTTGTCGAAAAGTGCATCCGAGTTGCCGACCCCGAGATCCGAAAGGTCCTCGTTGGTGAGGTCCTCAACCGCTCTCGTTTGGAAAAGCTTCTTCGGGACAGCTACGGAAACTATGTTATTCAGACCATACTCGACTACTGTGAGATTGGCCAGCGCATGGTTGTGAGTATGATGATGTAATGACCGAGTCGCGCTGACAATATCCCAGCTCGTCGAGTGCATTCGACCTATCCTCCCTTCGATCCGCAACACTCCCTACGGCAAGCGAATCCAGTCCAAGCTCGCCCGTGAAGACGCTTCCTTCCAACCCTACAACGGCTACAACTCTCGAAGCGAGCGAGGTGACCGAGGCGACCGTGGAGGCGGTCGAGGCGGCAACTACCACTCTTCGCGAGGCCACATCGGTCGTCCCCAATTGCAGCACATCAATGCTCTTACCGACATCTACGGCGGTGGCGGACCCTTCATGCAGTACGGCCATGCTCCTGCCATGCACCCCGGTCACCCTGGTGCCCATCCCCACCAGCACCCCCATGCGCCCCCACCCCACGGCGCTTGGCCCGGTGGACCCCGTGACCCTCACGGCGCGCCCCTCGGTCCCACTCATACCGGCGTGAGTTACCACGCTCCCGGACCTGATGGCCAGCCGTGGTTGCACCTCCGAGGCGGACCCGCCGGTGGGCCCGCGCCCAACTGGCACCTCGCTCAGCAGGAGGGGATGCCCGCGCAAATGACGGGTGCTTCCGGACAAGAGGAGGAAAGCCAGTGGCAAGACCCTTCGGCTGGAGGCTACTACAACGGGCCTTCCATGCCTTTGATGTAAGAAGCCTTGTGCTGCGTGGAGGCTGAATAAACCAAGCTCGGCGGATGGAGCTGTATACCCCATTCTTCTCTTGCATATAGGCATAGGCTTGCCTTGTCTTGTCTCTGCCATTGTTGATAAATGCCCCCTGAACCCTCACTGTCGACAATACCTTTCCCTTATCATTGATACCCCCTCTTACTCCAACTGTAACCCAGCATATTCTTCTCTTATACACTATATATGTGTGAATAATTATAACCTTTTCTCTCTCTTTCCAAACCGTAGCAGTAGTGGTGTCGTGTGGCGAAGGCGGAGGAGGAAGGGCGATTTCTTTTTCGCATTTCTATTGGGTCTTTCTTCTTTTTCTATACTGTGATAAAAAGGGAGTGAAGGGGGCTGTGTTTGAGGAGCCCAAAACCAAGATAATTTATCTATCTGTATGCATTTCAGGTGTGTGTTTGTGCAAATGAGGGGAGCGTGAGCAGATCTTTGGTCGCTTTTGCTCTGCATATCAATAAACTCTATGAGTACAGATCAAGGTACTGTAATTATAGAAGAATGTGTGAGCCACTCCAGGTTACCATCAAGATACTATTAGGGAATAACGTCCACCCGGCCGGACTGCCAGGCTTTTACCAGAGACAGCTGAGGCTCAGTCCAGATCACATGTCATGCACGACAGCTATGAACATCCTCAGCAATGTGATAACAGGGCAAGCAAGATGATCTACTCACACATGCTTGCAGCGTTTCCGTCAAACACTCCGCCATGAGTTCCTACTCTAGTCAGCACCTGATGCCTCAACGTACAGTCGTATTCGCTCACACAACATTCATCTATCCCCTGCCCAAATACCTCACATCCATAGCTGCAACAGTAGTCTGAACAGGGAGGATTGTCGTTGAGAAGCTGTTCGCCGCCGACTATGCCGCCTCCCATGCTGCTCTGGAAAGAGGAAGCAGATTGCACGGAGCTGTCTGAGACTGCCTGGGCTGGTGCGGGGGCTATGGCGTGAATTAGTAGGGTAGGCAAAGCGATAAGGGGATTGATGTACCCATGCAGGTCTTTTCGGTCGGCTGTTCCAAGATGACGCCCTTCTCACACAGACTCGCCTCCATAGAGCCTTGAGAGGTGACGGGTGAAGACATGATGGGCGCGTGCGTGAATATGCCCAAAGAGCTCGATTTTGATGGTCTTTATCTTGAGTCAAGGATGATGAAGGTAAGCCATCGTGGAGCGGGGGGCGTGTGATGAGTGATGGGTGATATGAGAAGCATGGCTCCTTACGCCCTTGGCTGGCCTGGGTTCTCAGTGATCGACTTAGTACGGTGGGGAAACGCCGGGAAAGGAGGTGTCGGCAGTCAGTGCTTGATGGCAGAGGTACGAAAGGAGAGGGGATAGACTATGAGATGACATCGCGCAGAGACATCGTGGAGTATCAGAAAGAGCTACCAAGAGAACGAAGAGATGGACAAGTCGAGAATAGCCCGGGGTCTTACTCATTACGTCATTGCCTTGTTTGTCTGAACTCTCCTCCATTCACCGTCCCTCTCACGCTCTTTTTGTCATCCACCATGCACCCCGCGGGCCCCACCGCCTTCTACGGCGCCTACGGATCGCACCCGGCCTCCCGCTCCACCTCCCCCGCCCCCAACTCTCCCGGCGGCGTCGTCCAGCCCCCCTTCGACTTTCCCACCGTCTCCTTCCCCCCGCGCCTCAAGAACATCGGCCGCCAGCTGTCCCAGATCTCAAATGACTTTTTCTCCGAGGATGAGGGCGAGACCATGACCGCCAGAAGGGAGGCGCTGAAGAAACAGCAAGCTGGGGGGACCCGGCCCCAGACGCCCGTGCAGAAGGGGTTCAAGATTGAGAGCGTGCCAGGGATGGGGGAGGACCCGGTGATGTGTCCCTTCTGCGAGAAACCTCTTCCACCGGCGCTCTTTCTCGAGCACACGCACCACTCTGATCCCAAAGCTACGCCCAAGTCTGTCAAATCCAAGGAGAAACAGCAAGACGCCCCTATGCCCAAGACGCCCAAAGTGTCGTCCGAAGACTTGGCGACTACCGTCAAGGAGGGCGACATTGCCAACCACGACTTTGCAGAGGGGCTCGTGTCTGCGGATGATCTCAGAAGGTGGGCATCTCTGGCCGGTATCACCCTGTCTGAATCGGCCATCCCCAAGCCAGCTACGACTGCTACTCCGAAAAAGGCCTCTCCCGAACCGGTCAAGCCGGCCGAATCCAAGGCCTTCCCCCTCCTTCCCCCACCGCCTCCACCCTTACAGGCTGGTAGTGGGAACCCATCTCAGAAAGCCAAACCTTCACGGCAGGATTCCGGTTCGGGCAGATTCGGCTTCTGGAAAAGCTCAAAGAAGGAGGACGAAGAGAGTAGTGATGACGAAGGAGGCGCTGTCGGGTATCAGAAGATTGGAGCGGGAGACGAGGAGAGCGATGATGAGGAGAAAAAGGTCTCGGAAGTGAGCAGCAAGAAAGACAAGGAGAAGGCGGAAGAGACTGTGGCAGTGAAGGACTATGTACAGGACGAGCCTGTTGAGGAGCCGGAGAAGACTGACTCGGAATCCGAGCCAAAGGTCGAACCCGTCGTTCCAGTGGACGATGCGTCTCCAGCTTCCCACGATGATCTCAAGATCGTTCTGACAGAGGTCCTGGCCAAGGTCGGCCAGATGGTACGTCTCTAGAGCCACAAGTTGACCACCACTAACAATGATACAGTCTCAATCACAAAACGTCCTCTTGACATCTCATTCCTCTCTTCTTACATCCCTCAAGATCGCCCGCTCCAATCTCGCCATGGCAGAGGCCAACACTGAAATGCTCGAAGCCCAGCTGGCTCGTGGTCCCACGCCTGTCGTGCCTATCAATCAGCGGACAGTCAGCAGCCCCGTAACGTCGACGCACCCCAGCCGGCCTACTTCTGCCATGGGCGACAAGCAGCGACCGTCCAACCTTCAGTTGTCCTCTCTTGATCCCACCGGTGCCCCTGCATCCGCACCGGCAAATGGTTCAGAGAAATCCTCTTGGTTCTCCAACAACAAGAAGAAACTTGGGAATCTCAATCTTCCCAGTGCTGTTTCGCTAGTCGACTCTTTCTCCTCGCCCACTACCGAGTATACTAGCAAGGGCAGATCAAGCGGCGACTACTTTGGCGGAAGCGCGGTACCGTATGGAGCGGCCATGCCTAACGAACGGCCTGGGGTCGGCAGGACACAGAGTCATTCGAGCGTCTCTCGGTCCTTGGGCGGGACCACCACCATCGCCCGCCCTGCCCAAAGCGCCGACATTATCCAGCTCCGCCAAGCGTACTCTGCTGCTGTCGCGCAGATCAGCGCTCTTACCACCGAAGTTGCTGATCTCAAATCGGGCAAGAAGGAGATGGAAGAGGAGCTTGAGAGTCTCAGCCAGGAGCTGTTTGAGGAAGCCAACAAGATGGTGGCGGACGAGCGAAAGAAGCGGGCAGAGGCAGAAGAGAACTTGAAGGAAGTGAGGGAGGAGAAGGATGCCTTGAAGGAAACTGTCAAGGTGCTTGGTGGAAGGGTGGACTCGCCTGCCCCGGGAGTGCAGGAGGAGCCGGGGGAAAACAAGTCGCTTTCGGGGTCTGAAACTGTCGAACCACGAGATCTGGACAAGCACTATGCTGCTCTGCGCAAGTCTATCCACCACGTGTCGTCACCTCCCACCTCACCGCCTGCCACCCAACCCTCATTCCCCGACGTCCTCCACCAGCCCCTACCGGTACTTCCTCTGAGCAAGGAACACGCCACAATGTCTATCGTGCCGGAACAAGGTAGATCCACAGCCACACCCCCGATTGATATACCCTCTTCGAGACCGGTGTCGACACAGATACCGGCAGAGTCGAACCCCTGGGCGTCATCGCTAGAGTCGAGCGAGGGGGAGGACGGTCAGCCGGAATTCAAGATGAGTTTGATGACGCCGAGTCCTCAGCCTGAGGAGAAGGAGAAGGAGGTTGAATGAGGAATGACTCGAGTATGTGGGAAGGACATGTGGTGAGGCTGCGCTGATTAAGCGTACAGATCTGTCAAAGATACCTTTCCATAGACTATGTATGCTACGCCGTGTATAGATTGTATATACGATGCAAAACAAGCGGATAGTTGAGTGAGTCCATATGGATTGCAGCCCCCTCTGAAACGCGTGCACTCGTCCAAAATTTCCGAATCTACATCTCACTTCCATCTCCTCCATTGTCCTATCCCATCACCCCCTCCCACGCCCCCTCTCAACACTCTCAACGCCGCAAGCTGTACATTTTCCGGTAGACCATCCTCAGCCCCACAGCACGCTTTCAAGCATCAGAAAATACAGATTACAATAAAAATTACCCGACAAGCGGAAAATTCATGAACACCCACAATGCCTCGGACGACCCTCCACCAGGAATCCCCGCTACTATCCCTACTACCATACCAAGCTCAGAATATGGTCCCCCTCAGCCAATAAATCCCCTCTCGCTGCATCTCCTGCCACACCCGCAGCGGGGTAATGGTGTCTTTACGGATCGAGCCATTCCGGCTGGAACAGTGATTGAAGAGAGCCCGGTGCTGCTTTTCAGCAAGGAGGAATGGGAGGAGAAGGGGCTGGACGACACGGTACTGGGGAGCTATGGGTTCTGTTGGAGTGGAGGCGGCATGGGTTTGGGCTTGGGACTCGGTCAGTACTCTTTTCTCTTTTGTGATGGGCGTCGTCCCTCGCCTGCAGGCAGCGTGGTGTTCCGTTCGACGGTGATCGTGTGGATGCATGCTGACGATACGCCTTCGCAGCATCCTTATTCAACCACTCTCCCAAACCCAATGTCAACTACATACGATCCCCCCAATCTCGCACCATCAAATTCCTCGCATCCCGCTCCATCTCGCCTGGCGAAGAATTGTGCATCTGCTACGCCGCCGATCAGTCCAAATTGTGGTTCGTTCCTGCCGACGAACGGGAATTTGCTGCCCGTAAGGAAGAGAACGGGGAAGATAGCGAGGATGACGAAGAGAGGATCATGGGCTTGGAAGTCGAGGAAGACAAGGAGGTCGAGCGGAAAAGGAAGGAGAGGGAAAGTAGAAAGGCTGCTGCTTCTACATCCTCTATCAGAACAGCTGGTTCCCTCCAAGCCACATCAGACTCTGATCTCGTGTCTCCCCCGATACAGGCTCCCCGACCTGTCCGAGCACCTTCATTCCCATCTCTCACTTCTTCGCCCCCTGCCTCGCGACCGTCATCCGCAAACAATGCAGCGCATGCCATCCCCACCAACGCTCTACCCGCTCCTCTGCATAGCTCAGCCCACAAGGCTCTTTCCAGACGCGGTACGCCTACGTCTTCACCCTCCCGTGGGAGCGTATCCAGACATGAGCCGGATGTGAGCTCGCGATCGAGCTCCAAGCAACGTGCAGGTCTTGTACCGGACCTGAAGTGGTCTGATGACGAATGGAAAGATGCCAAGGGGAGAGATAAAATGCCGGACGGCAAAGTAGAGGGGGTCGATTATGGAGAGACAATAAGAATCAAGGGACCTGCAGAAAGCGAGAATGACGGAGAGGATAAGGATCTGAGTGAGATTAGCCCGTCAAATCTAAGTGACCTGCTGACGGTGGTGTCAGTACAAGTGTGGATATTAGAGTTTACTGATCCCAAGTTGACCAAGACAGCTCTCAAGTGAGTAACGCTTGCTGTTTCAGACCTGTGCTGACCTGCAATAGTTTCTCAAAAGAGGTATGGCCGAACGATGTCAACGAGCGATTGAGACATCTCAAGCGGGTGTGTCGACGTAAAGAGAATGATCTAGGTATGTGTCGGCCAACCGTATCCCGCAATCTATTGACCCTTCTTCAGAAATATGTCGAATAGCCCTTTGCCCTATAGATGAGCACTCTTCCGAGTCCCTCTCCGCCCTCATGGTCGCCTTCTCCCCCGACCTCGGCACTTTGTCCCCAAAGACCTGGTCTGTCCCAGCCACAGGTGCTCGCACCCAAGAACAGCTCAAATACAAGCATCACATCTGGCCCGTCTCCTTCTCTCCCGCTCCGATTGTGCCTTCAAGCTCCTCTGAAGCTGGCTGGTCCCTGACCAAGAAGGCCTGGGTAGCCAGTGGTGTGAAACGAGTATTGGAATTGGCTTTGGAGGCCAAAAGGAATGGCGAGGTCCCTGTTGCGACCTTTTGCATCTCTCCTCCAGACGCCTTCTGGCCCAAGTCTGATGGTGGCTTCATCGCACCTACTCCCAACCTTCGTGCCTCCTCTCACGACACTCGAAATTCAGAAAGCCACCCTCTGCGCCATGCAGTCCTCAACTGTGTGGCCAACATCGCTCACTTGCGCACCGTACCGCCTTTCGCCGATACGACTCCGGCGAGGAACGGCGCCGACTACTTGTTGACGGGAATGTGCTTGTTCTTGAGCCATGAGCCTTGTGTGATGTGTTCTATGGCTCTTTTGCATTCGAGAGTCAAAGAAGTCATCTATGTCTTTGGACAGAGGCGGGGAGGTGGATTCGAGATCGGCAGCGGCGACTCTGTTGGCTTTGCTGCGAACCAAGGCTCCGAAGAGGCCTCTCACGAGCTCTCGCCTGACGCAAAGGGATTCGGTATTCATGCCAGGCGCGACCTCAATCACAGATACGAGGTTTGGCGCTGGGACGGACACGTAGATGAAGCTGTGCGGGCAGAGCTCGAGATTGATGAGGACCTGCAGCTCTAAAGAGATTATTGTGCGATGTTGTGATGTTGGTGCGATCTGTCCTGGGATGTGGAGAGTTTGATACGGGTATCTTATCTTGTAACATCATGTTTGAAGGACTATTTCTTGGGCCTTCTCATTCCTTTTCTGCTCTTGTTCATAGGGATCAAACTGTCTAGAAACATGGATAGCCTATCACATGTTGAGACACTTGTGGGCCCCTCGTTTAGAATAAGCTCCTGACCGTGCGGGTCATTCATCATTGTTTTACGTCTCGTTCGAGGGGTCAGAGTACAATGTAGGAGGTGGTCATGCATGATGTAAGAACAGTGTCGGTATATGGGGCACATGTCGGGACATTCTCAAGGACAACAGGTATCAAGACGAGTATGCTCATCCAACTCGTTCTCTGTCGGTTGTCGGTTATCCTGATTGAGGGAGATTCGCCGAGCGCCTGTTCCTGCTGATGTAATATGGTTAAATACTTTCGTAAATAAGCGAGTCTCCCCTGGTGGCGCCGGCGGTGGGTCGGCTTTGTGCTCTCCACAGTTCTTCTCCATCTTCTGAAAATTTATTGCCACCATGGGGCTCTCACGACAGGCAAGGATCAAGACCCTCCTCGCCATTGACACCGTCTTCTTCTTCATTGTCAGTCCCCTCGCTCTACTTGCTCCATGCTGACTCAAGTAGGAGCTCATCACGGGCTATGCCGTCGGCTCTCTTGCCCTTGTGGCTGATTCATTCCACATGCTCAAGTATGTTCTCTCGACACATTTCGAGATCTGTCCTGACAAATCTGTAGCGATGTCCTCTCTCTCGTTGTAGCTCTTTACACCATCAAGCTCGCCACTTCTCCGTCCTCAGCTGCCAACTCGTATGGCTGGCAACGGGCTGAAATCCTCGGAGCCTTGATCAACAGTGTCTTCCTCGTCGCTCTTTGTGTTTCTATCGGTCTCGAAGCTATTGGCAGGATTGTCACTCCTCCCGAGATCAGCAATGCTCAGTTGATCGTGTTTGTCGGCAGTTTGGGATTGCTGAGTAACATTGTCGGACTCTTCCTTTTCCACGGTAGGTCTAGAGTCCGAAGGTGCGTTGGGATGCACTAATGCCATCACAACAGACCACGGACACTCTCATGGCGGACACTCACATGGCGCTATCGCCCTCCCTGGTGGCGATGATGACGCCAACGAAGAAACTCCCCTCACTCGCGATGATGTCTCTGAACTCTACCAGCACCCCGCACAGACACGAGCTCAGGTCATTGAGACCGCTCAGGAATTTGGCTATGGTTCTACCCAGGTGGCTTCCTCGTTAGATTCCAGTGCCATGGGCAAGTCACCGTTGTCTGCGCACGGACGAGCGCCAAGTGCCTCCAGGAGGTCGAAGAGGGCGAGTATCTCTAGACCTCACGGGAGGATGAGCAGCACTACACGTCCGATCCCTGGACAAAACGCAGATCTGCTCCCTGTCGGTGCTGAGGTTTCTTCCGCTGGGTCTTCTACTGTCGTCGATGCTGGCAAGCCCAAGGGTCATTCGTCTGCATCCGACCACTCTCACGCCGGACACTCACATGCTGAGGGTGAGCATGACCACGCGCACGACCACGGCAAGATGGCCAAGAATGTCGACGACGCTGAGGCTGGACACTCGCACGGCCATGGTCATTCTCATGGGTCCATGAACATGCGAGGTGTCTTTTTGCACGTTTTGGGCGACGCTCTTGGTAACGTCGGAGTCATCGCTGCTGGTCTCGTGATTTGGTTGTAAGTTGTAAATCATCTCGAGCGATTCGATCTAACTGTCACAGCTTTGAAGGCCGATGGACTCTTTACTTTGACCCCGGAGTTTCTCTTATCATCACCTGCATCATCTTCTCTTCCGCCCTCCCTCTCTGCAAATCTGCTTCCTACATCCTCCTTCAAGGTGTCCCCTCCCACGTCTCCCTCGACGCTGTGCGCCAGTCCATCGTCGATGTCGACGGTGTTGACTCTGTTCACGAGCTCCACATCTGGCAGCTCAGCGAGAGCACGGTGGTGGCCAGTGTGCATGTGCTCATTGAGCACGGCAGGGATTACATGGAGGTTGCTTCTGGCATCAGGGAGAAGATGCATAGCCACGGTATCCACAGTGTCACCATTCAGCCCGAGTAAGCCACAGCTTTTTGTACGTCTTCTGCATGCTGACTGGCTTTTAGGTTTTACGACGAGGCCGACACCTCTGCCGAGGCTTGTCTCATCCGCTGCCCTCCCGGGGACTGTGAAGGTGACACTTGCTGCCCCCCTGCTTCTTCTAGCAAGCCTCCTTCCGAATCTGGCGAGGTTGCCCACAGCCACAATCACACACATTAGGCCAAAAGATGATGATTGATCATCAGTCTCTCTATCAATACAAGTTTCCAGAGAGAGAGGAATAGAGAGGAGGGTTTGAGGCCTGTTTGAGGCACTAATTTAGGGCTAGTGGATGAGGTTTTCTCGGTTTTCAGGCTTTTTCTTTTTTCACTCGACGATGCTTTGATAATGATGCTCTTGACAGGGCGATTGCTTCTACATATATATCTAGACGCCTTCACGGCACATATATAGTAGTCATGCATCCTCTCATTATATTGCCATATACCACACTGATCGCAGCTCGTCCCAGGCCCCAGGGCACGCGACTGACGCGTTGCAATTCTCCGCGAAACAACGCGTTCCATCCCATCTCCTCTTTCATTTCACGCCTCCATCCACACCCCGACCCTCTGCCATGCCGCGCCACAACGTCGTGCTACACCTCCCTGCGCCTCTTCCCGCGCCGCCCATCGACCCCCGCCCGTCCCCATCGCCCCTACAACAGGTCGTCCAGTCCACCCTTCAAACCACCGATTATGACCTCGTCTCTCTTCCCCTCTCCAACCAGAAATGGCAAGACCGCTGGGAGAAACTGTGTCTACATCCCGTCTTTGATGAGGACACCATCTCGCCGGCCGAACTCGACAAGCTAGAGCGGGAGAGGCGCGTCGTCGACCGTGAGGCGGACTTGTGGAGGCGGGATGGGGGACTCAAACGAGAAGAAGTGAACATTTCGCGTATTGAAGAAGTGGGAGGTGTTGGAAGTGAAGGGAGGGTGCTCGCGGTGGCGAGTGAGTGGCTGGAAATGGACAGTGCGGATGAAGGGATCAGGTTCGATTCTGAATTGGTATGAACTTCTCGTCGCGTAAGCATGCGACCCAAAGCTGACATCTTTGGCAGGCACTTAAAGCAGAGTATGCCCACGCTCTGTACCTCTCTCTCCCTACCCTCATCATCCCCGCCCCTTCGCCTTTGAACCGCGCCCATCTCCCGTCTTATGCCCGAGCTATTATGGGATTACTGCAGATGGGCGGTGACAAGGCCGTCACAGAAATCTCTGTCAGAATCCCCGTCACTGACCCCATGGAGCTCATCAAGGACATTCAAACCGGCGGTGCAATCTCTCCTGTCCCGTTCAATCAGCCCCCTTCCGTACAGGCTCAGGCGGACAAGAAGCACAAGCGGTTGAGCTCTCTGTCTACTCGTCCGCAGTCGATGCAGGCCCAGATGGCACTGTTTGCCAACAATGCCCACCAAGCTCCCATGCCTGCCCCGAATGCGGCTGCTGCGGGTCAGAGGATCACTTCTGGGGCGAGCTCAATGATGTCAGCGCCGCTCTCAGTGGCCGGTGCAGCGCTGCAGGCGCCCCCAACGAGGACGGGCACGACACAGGTAGAGGAGATGAGCTCGACTTGGGAGATGTGGGACTGTATTAGGACAATCTGCGGGTACCACCCTCGACTGAGTGTCAGTAAGTGGCTGTTCGATTCACGATGAACCAAATATTGACACCCTTGAAAGCTTTGGATCTGACCAACCCTCTTCCTCCGAGCGTTGGCGCGCTTGCCCGATGGACCGCCGAGCCAGTCAGACATGTCTGGCTGCCCGCTACGAGCTTCATACCCAACGCCAAAGGCTACCCTGTCTTGAGTAAGGCCACCCAGGCTTTCATCCGCGGTATGAGCAAGGTAAGTGTTGTCATCTGTCCAATGTCCGAGAGACTCACAAGATTGCAGAAAAACCCCACATACATCCTTTCACAGACCACCGCCAAACGTCATCCTGCAGGCGGTCCCCATGCGTATCTTCAATATGTACGCCACATCACCAACACCCCTCCAGCCCACACCACCCCCCAGTCGACGTCGACTCCCGGCCATCCCTCTGCCCACATGGCATTCCCTTCCAATGGGGTCGCGGACCTTTACGCGGGTTACACGGATTACTTGCAAGCCCCGTTGAGACCTTTGGAAGACGATCTGGCTAGTGAGACGTATGCTGGGTTTGAGAAGGATACGGTCAAGTATGAGAGGTATGAGAGCGCTATCACGCAGGCTTTGATGGACCTGCCCGCCAACAAGAAGCAGTGAGTATCTCCAACGCCACATACATCAATGACTGATGATCGATAGCGTCATCACGGTCGTGGGTGCAGGGCGAGGACCACTCGTGGACTGCGCTCTACGTGCCCTCCTTCACGCCAGCCGCCAAGCTACCATCTACGCTGTCGAGAAGAACCCCAGCGCCTTCCTCACTCTCCAAGAACGCAAAGAGCTCGAATGGAGAGATAAGGTCAACATTGTCTTTAGCGATATGCGCAGCGTTGATGTGAAAGAAGCGGGAAGCAGGGTGGGAGACGCGGTGGAGCTCTGTGACCTGTTGGTCTCAGAGTTACTGGGTAGTTTCGGGGACAATGAGGGGAGTCCGGAGTGTTTGGATGGTGCTATGAGATTGCTGAAGCGTAAATCGCCCGCATATATCCTCAAATTGTTCTTGCTCATAATGTCACAGCTACTGGTATATCGATACCAACCTCATATACCGCCCATATCGCCCCGATCTCCACTACGATCCTTCATCAGGCAACCCACGGCCAATACACCAAACCCGGCACATCCGAGACTCCTCACGTCGTGATGATGTCGCAGGTTAACTTGATATCAGGCGACAACAACGTTCCCGGCGTAAGCTGGAGATGTGGGGAGAGAGTACAGCAGTGTTGGCAATTCGTGCATCCCAGAAGGGACATCGCTGTAGATACCAAAGGTACGTGTTCCTCAGCTTCCACGGTTATATGATCTGACAGACATTGTTTAGGATTACCTCTGACCAACTCGCACAACACTCGCGCGAGTACCCATACCTTCCACATCCCCCACGCGTCTACGCTACATGGCCTCGCCGGATATTTCGAAGCCCATCTTTACGGAGACATTGGCCTTTCCATCCATCCCGACAACGCTCACGTCGTCTCCCCCGACCTCTTCTCCTGGTTCCCC